AGAAGAAAAAAAACGCCTACGGGGGCATGCGCAACGAACGTAACTCAACGGGACTTTCCCCCGCGCCTCCTGCGGGCGCACGGAGCGGAGCTCTCTTACGTGCAACCCAACCTCGATCATCCCGACACGGTTATGAACACGTCGGACTGAAGAAAAAAAATAAAGCCACACTGGATCCTCAACTGTGACATAATGATTGTATAATGTTGGAATACGATACCTTCAAGCGATTGAGTTGTGCCCGAAGCTTCGTCTCAATCTCCTGTAAAGCTTTATCTTCTTGTCGAAGAACTTTAAGTTTAGCCAACATCTTGGGTTATCATCCACCACGACCACGGGTCGCGGTCGTTGTTGCCTGTTGGATTATGTAATGATTTAAACATCGAAATGGTCAAACTCTTGATAACTAATAAATAACATATTTGGACTCGGGTATAGAAGTTTTCATATTCACACAGGGCCTAAAATTACTATTTAAAAGAAGTATTAAATGAAAATATGCTTTCCGTCGTCGTTCCTAGTAGCAAAAGGCGAGAAAATTGTGTGGATTTTATGGGGGGGGCGGGGGTACTCGGATTTGGGGTGGGCCGCTCAAGCCTCGAAACCCCTATAGCTACCTCTTATTAGGGATCATATACGGGCATTTTTCTCGAAAAAAAGACCCGTTTTCCAAAAAATTCTGGTGTTTTTCTGGTGTTAATTTGCCTGGCAAACACCCCTAACACCCGTAACACCCGCTCTTGCGGACCCATTTTTAATTGTATTTCTTGTTAAAAAAAAAACATGTTTAGAGTTTTTTGTGAAAAAGTCGTCCATTGGAGCGGCACACGCCGGTATGTCCTGAACGTCATACAGCTAATTGGGTTTATACCCAATGTTAGCTCAGTGAGTTGTAGGCCTATACATCAAAAACGTATCATCTGAAGCTTATAGAGCAACTCAAATGTGTGGGTATTATGCATGCGAGGAGAGCCATTTTCGTGTGTTTAAAAATGCTAAAACGGACAAAAAAAAGCAAGATCTATGCTTCGGGAGCTCTACCCCCATGGACCCCGTGCCGTCAGCGTCATTTTTTTCTGCGGCACAGATTGGGGCTTTTTTTTTTTTTTAAAGAGGTCTTGATTTAACCCTAACCCTAACCCTAAACTTTCCCATAGGCTCAACACGCACCTAACCCCAATCTGTGCCGCAGAAAAAAATAACGCGTGCCGTCATAGGCGACTAATTGGGGGGGGGGGGCTTGCACAACAAAAAAGGGGCTCTTTCTGGAGAAAATAAGGGCACCTGTTCTGCAAAGGGGAATCTTTAAGCAAAAATATACAATTTTTTAGGCACTAGTATATAGTTCAAGTTCAAGTTTTATTTATCTGTCTTTCATAATACAATTTACAAATTAGACATGAATAGTAACAAGTTAACAGAGTATGGAGTTACAAAAGAAAGATGAGGTGACCTTGGTTGAAAGCAAGACTTGTGGATTTAAGGTCCCTCATGAGTAGCTTTATGAGTATGTCCTAAAAGAACAAACTCGTCAGATAAGAATAATGCATACATTTAAATGCTGACATACTAAACTAACTAACAGGACGTACGCATTGATGAAAATGTTTGCAATGACTCAGCCAGCCGCTGAATAAGCGGGGGGGGGGGGGGGGGGGGTAAGAGCACATTTTATTTATTTTTTTGGTCCCGAAAATTTGGTCGACCGATATTTCGTTCAGTTGGGATGGGGGGGGGGGGGTACGGTCCCAAAAACACACACATAAAAACATTTGAGGAGGGGGTTCAACCCCCCCCCCCCCCCCCTGGGTACGCGCCTGCTGGTATATACCCCTATATTGTGATTACATTATCAGGGATGATTTCCATATTTGTTTCTCTTTATACATCGTAAGATATATTGCTAGCATACTTTGCAGTACGTTGGGTGTGATGGTCTGGAAATTCATTTGCGAGCGAGGAAAAATTCGAAAATTTGTGAGGTCGCAGTGCGAAAGATTACAGAGAGGAAAAAACCCAATCCTGATGGGGTTATAAGCATATCACATTCTCATAACGGAAGACTAAATAACATCTTTGATAAAATAATTAACGCGAGCGAGCGTAGCGATCGAGCTTTGGGAGAAATTGCTCTTAGTCGCTTGAAATTAAGGGCACATTTCGTCCCTATTTTCACGAAGTGACGGTAGTGAGGAAAATCGTCACGCAAAGTGAATGCAATTTTTTTTCACTACCGTCACTTCGTGAAAACAGCGACGATTTAATAATGAGAGGAAAGGGGGACACTTATCGAAAGGGATAAGACACTTATTAGAAAAGAATGGAGCACGTTTCAAAGTACAAAGGCTAATTATCAGAGGTGAAAATGGGGCACTTCTGATTACACCTAAAAAAAGAAGAGGCACTCACCAGGGATGAAAAAGGCACATTTGAGAATGGTAAATGGGCATTTTTTGATGGAAAAAAGGCACCCATTAGATTTTTGATAGGGGAATTTCATTGTATAAGAGTGAAAAGGGGCCTTTATGCAAAAGGGATAGGTTCCTTATTAGAAAGCAAAGGGGGCGCGTATCACTGTTAAAGGGGTAATTATCAGAGGTGAAAAGGGGCACTTATCGCATCTGAAAAGGGACACTGACCATATATGAAAAGAGGCACTTATGAGAATGAAAAAGGGGCACTAATAATAAAGGTAAAACTAAAAAAAAAAAGTTATCCAAGTTAAAAAGGGGTAGTTATTAAAAGGAAGGGGCACTTTTTACAAAAAGGGTCGCATGTCAAAGCAAAAGGGGCACCGTTGAATTGGGCAATTATCAGAGGTGAGGACGGCGCACAGTGGGCCAGGGAGGAACCAAAGTGCGCCAAAACTCATGTTTGGGGATTTATTTTTTATAAATCCAGAGGAAATGTTTGGATTTCCAGGGATTTTCGCTTAAATTTTATTACCAACATCTTCTCTGATGTCTAAGCTTTAAGTTGATACCAGATTTGGCTGCCCGATTCTGCCCGTTATCATGTTAGAGCCGTTTTCCTTGCAACATTGCCCCGAAAAATGTGTTTATTTTGGTCCGCGGTGTCAGAACAAGTGTCACGCGCCCCCTCGCGCCGTGATTTATGACCACGAATCCTTCGTGATTCAGCCGCGGACCCCAAAAACCCAAATTTTTCGGGGCAATGTGGCAAGGGAAATCGGCTAGAACAGCGTATCAAATATAACATTCTACTACTCACCTACCGTTCACTAAATGGCTTTGTCCCTGAATATATTTCCTCTCTTCAAGTTCTTGTGCAGGTCTTCGTTCCTCCAATTCAACAAATATTATACAACAGGCGCGTACACAGGGGGGGGGGGGGGAGGGGGGGGGGGGGGTTAAACCCCCCCCTTTGGTATTTTTTTGTGTGTAAAACCCCCCCCCCCCTAAATTTCCCTAAAACCCCCCCCCCCCTTTTGGATTTTTTTTTTTTTTTTTTTTTTTAATAAAAAAAAAAAAAATAATAATAATAATAATAATCCCATGGCTGACCTCAAAAAGATGACCTTACCCCCCCCCCCCCAACGGAGCAAAATGTCAAATTTTCAAATTTCGATACCAAAAAAAAAAAAGTGTCCTCTTGCCTTGAAAAACTTGAAAACCTATCTAATGTCTGAATTCCTTAGTTAAGACGTAATATATTTCACAATCTGATGTAATTAACGTTGTTCAATTATATTGAATTATGTTAAATTATGTTCGTTCTCTGTAAATTCTCATGTACTTTCTTATGTGAAATGTAACCTAATTGTTAGGCGCCATAAGCATCTCTTGGGGTGGATATGTGCGCATTATAAATGTTGTTGTTATTATTATTATTATTACCAAAAAGTCATTTGGCGGACGGTATCTGAATTTCAAAGAGAAAATCACATTTCTAGAAAGTTCATTTCTGACCTGGCATATGACACCTCAATCAGGTAAAATGAGCAACAAAGTTCTGTTTGTTTAAAGTACTAGTGCTTGCATTTCCATTATTGTATGAAGAGAATTCGTTTTCACTGGCTGCTTGTCGTAGCAACAAACAAATTTGACAGCCAGCCATAGACGAAAGATTTCAAAATTGTGTCTCCCCCCCCCCCCCCCCCCCCCCCCCCCCGCTTAATTAGTCACCGGCTGGATATTTCCTCACAAATTAGACCCGACTCACAAAAAGGTGCTTTTACCCCCTCCCCCCCCCCCCCCCCTTATTCACCGGCTGGCTAAGTCGCCGCTAAATATTTTTTCACGAATTTGGTCCCCCCCCCCCCCCCCCCCCCCCAGGTCTGGCAATGGTCGGCCCAGTGAACTGACATGTACATTTTTATTTTAGCGCTTCTTATTTTATTTTTCTGTTAGTTTTTTCACGATGAAAATGTTTAAAAACAATATTTCCATACAACGAATCATAATGATGGAACCAAGATAACCCGGATGAAATGCAATATTGTACTTATATCGGACAATAATGGGTAATTGAACTTTAAGAAAAGATTTCTGTGAGTGGACGAATTCATTATTCAAAGCAGGGGTGTCTAAATATATTGCAAAATGTCGTTTCATAAAATTAAAAAATCTGTAGTGTTTATTTTATATTTCAAAGTTCCATGCATAATATGCAACATTTTGATTTGAAATCAAATTATAAAAATAATATAAATATGTAAAACTCGGTATCAGTAATGAATACTGTCTCTCATTTTGTGTCAGGTTGTCCCGTAAATTTGCTTGAATTCACCTGTTTTCTTGTGCTGACTTACTCATGAAAATGTGTTCTAAGTATGAGAAAATGCACATTTATTTCTTCTGAATACAACAGTCCTTTGACTTAATATCTAATGAATGTATTGTGATGTTTCAAAAGTAAATTCAAACTTATTTCCATCGATTTTAGAATGGAAATGTATAAGGTCTTCCTAAATGATCTTACTACGCCAAGGCATGCAAGTTGAGCGAGATGCCTCATGTAGATTATGATACACAGAGATCGGGACTGTCGTTGTATTGTTAGCAGCTGCTGCGCCCTATATTATGCACTGACGAGCACGCAAACACCGCCGCCATTTTGAAAATTACGTCTTCGCCTAAAATCGTTCAATTTCTAGCCATAAGTTTGCGGTATTTTACCACTTTTGCTTCGGTAAGTCATTGTATTTTTATGGCCCTAGATTATAATTATTGACAAAATTTCAGTGAAAATAGTTCTTTATCATGTTGTTATTTTTTCGTGAAATTATTGCAATATTTCCCCTTCGTCGTGTGAAGGCGGAATTTATGGGATTTCCCCCATTATTCGATGTAATTTTAATGACGAAAACAAGACAGGAATTTTAGTGATCTTATCATGAATTTCAATCCTTAATTTTGTAAGTATTTCTTATGGAATTCTTATCTTGGGCGTGGTCTGTTTGTGTGTTGGTCTGGCTTAACAGCTCATTGAAGTGTGTGTGTGGTTGTGTGCGAATATTGCAGGTATTTTCATCAGGGCTAGGTAGGGCGCGGTGCGTGTGAGTTCGCGTAATCGGTTTCTCCATGATCAGGCTATGCATGCACGTCTGGCACAATCCTGAAAAAAAAATATCACTGGGAACATTTTATTTTTTATTTTTCTATCTATAGACCCTAGTATGTTTTATTTTTGATAGTAAAACTTCAGATTTTTACACAGACTGATATTTTTTAAATGCTCATAATAAGTAGGCATGTGATTTGGCACAAGTTCTGACAATCATGAATTTGTAATTTTAACAATAATGATTAAAACTAAAATCTGAAGTAAAACTAACTAACAAAAATTATTTAGATAAATAATGCAGTGTTAATAATGTTTATAACGCTTAACGTTTTATCAGGATAAAGTTGGGCTGCAATTAAATGCAAGATTAAGAATAATGTTATTATGACGAGCTGCACTGCAGATTACGGAAACGGACCTGTGAGTGCGAGAGCCTCGACCGAAAATGTCTGTGTCTTTTATCTCGTTACCCTCTGATTTGGGAAAGGTCGGCTCCTCTACCCAAATCAGAAACTAACGGACGAAAGAGACAGAAATTTTTGGTCTAGCGAGAGCCATATAGGTCTAGTACAGTCTCTGAAAACTTTATTTAGAATTGGACACATGTTGTGATACAGGTTGTAGACTACATTGTGATGATGAGCATGATTGTGGGGGACTGTCTATATTATTATAACTGTTTAAGCTTCCCACCTTGTTTTCAAACGCTTCATCCTCTAATTCAGAATATGTGTTTTTGTTTATCTAAATTGGTTCTGCCTAATCTCTAGGTTGAGTTGGGGAAAAATATCACAACCGACAAACATCAATAACACTTGCATGTACACAGGGTCTAGACCACTACAATTTCAAGTCACTCTAAATGCTTGTGTGAAATTTGTTCGTCACATTTAAAAGGTCTGTTATGTAATAAATGAATACAAATCTTGATTTTGTGACTGATTACAAAATTATACATGTATAATGTACATTTTACCTCAAATTTAAACCAATGATTATAGAACAATCTTTATTAACGAAAATTTATATAATTTGGGGCAAAACTTAATGATATTCTCAGTCATCTGCTCACTCAGTCACCTCAGAAGTTAAGTTTGTGTTGCATCACATGCATTTGTAACTGTAAGGTGCAGATCGATATACAGCTTATGGGCCAGTGGCCATAATAGGAAGTTCAAACTAGAGTAGAAGTCGCCTAATTGGCAAGCTTAATTGCCTAGTATTAGTAATTCCTTGTTCAGAACTACACATACATGCACATATACAAGTATGAAATAGAATATGTATGATATGCACATTGCAATCTTGTTTATTATTGGAGACCTCAACCAAAATCTAACCTTAAATTTCAATGATAACGTACAGCACAGTATATACCCAGACCTTATGTTTCCGGACTGATTGTCTATCTAGACAGTTGAATTAAAACAGTAATTTTAGGAAGTTTGACTCCAAATTTCATACATATTTTAAGACTTCTGATGGACAATATTATAAAGACAAATATTTATGATGTTAATTGGTAAGTGCCAATTGATGAATACTTTTCAATAAGGCATTATTTTTTACAAGCATCCAGACAAACATCCCCAATGCTACTAGATTAAAAAAATCTCCAATGTTAATAGTGATCTACATATTAAGATGTAAATGTCACTATTAAATTCATCAAAAATGTAAGTCTCAGTAGTGCATGACTAAAACATGTAGGACTCTCTACTTTTGGTAATTTACCACTTGTTTTGAAAGTAACACCAAGCTACTCAATTTTTAAAGTTACGGATCACCTAAAAAATAGATTTGTGTACCGGTATACATGTAGCTAGAATGTATCAAATTAACCTTTGAAAAAACTTTACCTGGCCTTGATAGGTTAACGGTTATCGTATGAAGAAAATACATGATAATAAAGACTGCATACAGAATGTCAGAACCCATGTCCAGTTTGGGCTCTGTGTCTTCTCAACAGGTCTGTTTGACTCAAGAACATGTGTCAGCCTCTCAATTTAATGCAAATGGCCACTGCCGACTACAGTAGCTCCAACCAAAGTGATAAAATACAAGTCTTTAGCCATTTTTTTCCTTCTTTTTCTTTTCTTTCTTTTCTTGTCAGAAAATAAATTTTATTCATTTGATATATTTCATCATGAATGTCAAGTACCGACTTACAGTACTCTGTACAATTGTAATTGTATCGACTTCAGTGACCTGTCTACATGTATCTACTGATCTAAGTTTATGTGAATTATGTATTCTCGTATTTCCCTGATTTTTAGATGGGAAATGACTTAACATACTTTATACTTTCATTTTCCAGCCAATGTTGGCACTCACGTGATGTACGAAGGCAAGCATATTCACTTCTCAGAAGTTGACAACAAGCCACTATGTTCGTACAGTGCCAAGTTGTGCAAGCAGCGGCGCCTCAACGGCTATGCTTTTTGCATTCGCCATGTGTTGGAAGATACATCTGCTCCCTTCAAGCAGTGCGAGTTTGAAGCAAAGTACAATAAACTGCGCTGCACCAATCCCATCCCTGGAGAAGAAAATAGAAAGTAAGTACATGTAAATATAGCTGTGCATTTGGACGATGATCTGACTTCAATACAAGATTAATTTCAGGCATTCCATTCTGAAATATTTTTATATTTTTCATACAGTAACATCTTGTTTTTATCCAGCACACAATGTTGCACTATGTTGCTTAGTCCTTTTAGAACCCTTGCAGACTATTCTAATAAATCCAAATCAGTAGATATATTTTCCAAGACAGTGAACAGCATACCGGTACACAGGTCGTGATCACACCGGGTTTGGCTGGTAATGGAGAAAGGGGGGAGGGGGTAGTATTTTCTATATTATTGATTTATTACACTTTTTGCTTTATGTCTGGTGCTTGTGGTCATCATTAATGAATGATACATGTGTCATATTCGTACAGGTGTCATAATTGTACATGTGCTGTGCAGCCTGTGCTGGGTTGTTTCTTCATGTTATACTTGAAATGCAAATTTTATCTTGGTAAGATCAGTTATCCACAAAGTGTGAACGATTATGAATGAACCTTAATGTTTATGTTATGTTGTGTACTAAACCTGTTTTTCCACTTGTGCAAATGTAAAATGAATTACCTCAATATGGTAAAGGTCTATTTTTGTATCTTGTTTGTAGAATGTACACATACATTTAAAATGATTAATGTTCTTGCTCTACTCCTCAACTGCTATAAGCACTCTATAACTTGTTTTGCAATGCTTTATCAACACATTTGCTTTCTTTCTTCCTGGAGATATTTTTTATTGAGAAATGCTAGGAACTCTAGTAGTGCTTAATTTACTCTCTCTGTTTTGCTATTTTCAGATTTTGTAACAGCCACATGCAGGTCTTGGGACTGGTACCAAAGAGAGGAAAAAAGAGAAAAGGGGACCAATCTCCAGACAGTCGAAATGATTGCAGAAATGACTCATCAAATGCAGGCAGCAAGGGAGGCAGTCAAGAGAGAGAAAAGCACAAAAAGAAATCAAAGGACAAAAAGAAGAAGAAAAAGAAAAAGAAGAAGAAAGAAAAGCATAAGAAAAGGGGGAATAGATCAATTTTAGATGATGTGATGTTTAACTCTAAAGGCAATTTTGAATTGAATGACCTTAGTTTAATGTGCAGAAGTAGGCCACCAGATTTTGCCAGTGCTGTGATTGGTGCTGACAATCTTACAATTCACTCAAACTCAATAGAAAGAGCAATCAAGACGAAATCAAAGAGAAGGAGGGATGGCAGCACGCTACATGAAAGACTTCAGGAGAAGTTGGAGAGGAACAAGCAAAGATTGCGTCAACAGCGAGAAAAAGAAATTCTTGCCAAATCTATGCAGCACACACAATTCACCAATGCTGCTTCCCTGGAACACACTAACAATCTACTTGATAGTGGAGTAGCACAGTACAAAAATTCTTCATACCTCGATTCCCAGAAATTCCTTCCCCTCATACCTCCATTGGTTGAGGGTAAAGGACGAGTCCCAAACCTTCCATGGCCCCAGATGCCCCAGCATATTTCCTCGCCAAGGGAGGCATTTGTGAAGCTTCAACGGAAGCACCCAAGAGATCTCTTTGCTCGCAAGTTAGACTCAAAAGCAGTTGACCTGCTAAGAGAACGTCTTCAGCTTGATGAAGATGAGAGGACTGATATATTTCCCTTAGGTTTGTGGCATTTAATTCCTTTGAACTTTAAGAGAATACTAGCTTGTGAACAAATGAATAATTAAAAAAGCAGTTTAATGAAACAAAAATCAAGAGACACAAGTTTGTTAAAGTTTGAAAGAAGCTGAATAAATAAGAGAAAGGTGTGGAATGTTTGTTAACCCAGACCTCTATACTAATGCTAATCTCAAATTACCAAAATGTTCATTTATCTCCAATGTGACTTTTCACTTTCTGCAATAAAGAAAGAGCCTCCATGTCAATAAGATGTGGAAAAATTTGTGTGTAGGACATAATGGAGATCGGTCTCACATTACATCTCTTTGACATTTATACCAAAACACAAATCTGTAATTCCAATATATCTAGTGATATATCTATTTTATTCAGTATGATTCTAATATTCACCAATTAGCTTCTCTGCTTTCTATCATAGCAATTTGCTGTCAAGGTTTTAATTTCTCTTTAATATTTCTGGGCAGTTCTAAGAAATATCATGAAAAATATAAAGTAGACTTATTCAATCTGTTACTGCTGTAAATGTATCATTTGCATCTTATACTGTTTGCTCATTTAACATGAAATTCTCAAACCTCATGTAAAAGGATAACTTTAACTCGACAGATCCAATCTTCTGCTGTGAAAACTTAAATTACAGTTTCCTATGTACAACATGTACATGTATAAGCTCACAATATTGTCTAGATTGATATAGATCTTTCTTTCTTTCCCTGACATTCTGTTATTGCAGGTTTAGACTTTTCAGACACAGATGATGAAGAGAGTGAGGAGGTTACAGACAGAAGGTGTAGAAATACATGTAAAGAACAATATAGTGTAAGGTAAGTAATTTCTTCCTTGTCTTCTGTTCTCAAGACATGCCAACCTATGGTACAGGTGTCTATTATTCAATTTACTTATATGTATTGTAAATCTTTGCCTTGGAAGTCTTTCGAAAATTGTGGTATAAGTTTGAAAATATTTGTAGTTTGTAAGAAATTTGAGGTAACAAAAAAGGTGCATTATATTTCCAAAGAAATAGAAACACTTAAAATATTGGGGCACTAAAAGAAAATATGGTCCTTTGCACGCTCGGGATGCTATTTCCAAAAAATTGTTCAGTCATCACATGAATCATACAGGCATGTGACACAGATTTTAAATATCTAGTTTATGGTATTTGTTGACATTCTTTCATTAAATACTGATACAAACTCATACATCTCGGAGAGAAAGTGTTTCTAAAGAGAATAAAACATAAAAAAGCAATTACAATAATTGATTGTATGTATTTCAGTCACATATCCAGTACTGATGAAACCAATAGCTCATTGAGCCGGCACAGCAGATTGAAGCAGCTGAAAAATCACCTCCAGCGAGATAGAAGGAAGCTAGAACTTGGTATACAATGTGATGAGCATGAGCAGAGAGACATGAGATGTTCTAGTAAACTCCTAGCTGATGCTGCCAGAGACCATCCCTTTGGAACAGCTGTATCTATACTCAGGGTTCAAGAAGAGACATTACAAAGGTACGCTCAACATAGTGTTGTAAGAAATGTGGAGGTATTGTGCAATAATCTTCTGTTTCTCTCTAATTTTTTATTTAGTATCCATGATTATTTTTAGCTATGAGCAAAATTAATGTGAGTTATCTGGGCTATTTTGGATGTATACTTGTTCTAGTGTTTACAAAAAGTCTTACATCAATAGGCAAATTGTGTGATAGTTGAAATTCCAAAGAGACTTCATATGATTTCATCCTCCAAATTTGATTGTTTTTAGCAGTATTGTCTCTATCAAATAAATTGTGTTTGTAGTTAATATGGTAGCTGTTTAAATGACCTGCATTTACTTTGATAAAATATGATTCTATATGATTTCAATCTGAATATGGTCCTCCTAGATACTAGTTTCACGATGTCATAGGTCGAATATTTCTAGACATGCTTAGATATCAACAAATATTGTTGTTCTTGGTGTTGATTATTCTACTAGATTTGTAAATGTAGAAAATGATTGAGATTCACCTCAGACTTACTTGTCTTGTTACATCATTATTATTTCATAAGATGATATTGATCAAGAATTGACTGAGTTTCTAATATTGTTGTAGGCCCAAGCCTCAGGCCCCTCCAGAGAGGATCTGCTGCAGTAAAGAGGAAAATGATGATCCTTGCCAAGAGGAGGCTATGCCATACAGCAAGCACTGCTTCAGACGTATCCTTTTATTCTGCTATTCTTTATTCAAAGAGTTATGTTTTGACATATAACTCCATGTGAGCCAAAATGTTTAAGAGCTGATCCCTCTTTTTAATACACTGGGGTTTTGTCGTTGTTGTTGTTTGTGTTTTTTTTTTTTTTGTTTTTTTTTTTTTGGGGGGGGGGGGGGTTCCCAATCCTTCATTATCTTGAGATTTATCAACATACATAGAAGCCTATCTCTGAATTGCTCATGACAATTTCATCTTTTTGGTACCGTAATTAACGTTGTATTAACCGCACTTTTTTGCCACCGAAAAAAATTCCAAGTCGGGGTGCGTCTTATACACAGGTACAAAAAAAAAAAAAAAATATAAAGTTTTGATTTATGCCCCTCCACCTGGCGCTATGCCTGGCAAAGTCTCCCAGCTCAGTAATCGGTGTTGACTCACCACTCGAAAACTAGAACAACACTCAAATTTGTCTGTCATCTTGGTTTGAAAGTAATCTTTCTGATAGATCTCAATATGTAGTTTATAATAATAATTCCTCCAATTTTTCTTCTATTACACAAAACACGTACCACAAGGTTCTATCCTAGGTCCTCTACTGTTTTTTAATTTACATTAATGATCTTACACATTCAACAGCACTTCGCAGTTAAATAAAAGGCCTTCATGCGTGGGTTTTAACACGGATCTGGCTTGCTGCCGACAGAGTCGCCCAAATTTGTTTTCTTTTTTTTTCTTTCTTTTTGAGGGCGAAAAAGAGGGGTGCGGTTAATACACGAGGGCGGTTTATACAACGTTAATTACGATATTCACAATTTGTTAAATGTGCCACAACATGAAATATATACCATAGCTGTGATGAATGCATCTTAGAGATCATTGCTAGATGTGTTAGTTGTCGAAAATGAAGGCATTTCCAGAGCAAAGTTTTGGGAGCTCTCGTTCTACCCCCCATAGGTGAATCTGAAATCAGAACATAAAAAACTCTTCTTCTTTTTACCCAGTTTACTTTTATCAACAGTGTGCATTACCTTCTAAAGCATAGAGCTTAAAGAGAAGGTTGAGTTCTGGGAAGAGGTGAAAAATAATTTATGAACTTTATCATTCTTATTATGCAAGTGTGGAAGAACATCGGATAAGACATGTTCCCTGAAAAGCATGGCTCTTCAAATGCCTTCATATTCTAAATATGTCATGTTCATCGTAAAACTCGGGGGGGGGGGGGGGTAGGTTTTTTACGCCACGTGTTCGTGTAGTCCCATATACATCTTTCTGTGTACAGTGTTTGTAACTTTACCAAGACTTGGCCAAATCTCTTATCATTTTGATGATTTCAGAACCTTGCAATACACACAAATTATTATATGCTAGATGATCAACCTTTTCTGGTCGATTCCACACCGTTTCTTTCACAATGCAATCGCATGACCAGAACTCAACTTCATCTTTAAGCAGGAAGTACAAGTTTAAAAAATCAAGTGAGATATAATCCTTAATAGTAAACTAATATACAGACGTACTTGAAGATGAAGATCAAGTATTGTTCTACCAGTGTGGTGCTGAATTCCCAGGAGGATTCCGCTGTATTGAGCCAAGTTTTGACATGCTTAATGAGCAGCCTCTATGCCAGGAACATGCCAAGAGAGTGGTAAGAATATTATATGTATTTTATAAAATGATAGATTTTGTCTCTAAATACCGTATCTTTATAAGTGTTGTAGAATAACACTATGCCTATGGAAACTCGCTGAGAATGACTTATATGTAGGTTTCCATTTGACAATTCAATAACCTCAGACTTTGCCAGATGCCAGGGAAAAGCCAACTTACAAATATGGCAATAATGAAAACTTATAATTATCAATTTTCAAAAAGCATTACTTTATCACATGAAAAATCGGTAGGTAAATACTAATACTACATTGAAACATCCTTCTTGCTGTGTTTGATTGTTCTTGAGTTTCTAATCAATTTCTTAAAACCATTTCAACTTTGAAGCGAATGGAACCAAAGTCAAAGAGACCAAGAAAGAAGACCAAGCCTTCAGCTCTAACCAGGCCTTTCAAGAAGAAAAAGAAGAACCAGCGCAGGAAGTACCGACCACAGAAACCAATACCTCCACTTGGTAAGAGATTCCTTTTGTATGCTTTCTTAGACCTATCATGTCAGAATTTGAACTAAATTCTTTTTAAATTGGAGAATTTACCTGTTGTTCCAGCCACTAGTTCTAGAAAAAGCTCTTTTTTTTCCTTAGGGCTTATTTTGAAGTGGATATTCAAAGGGTAAAAATTGTAATATATCCCATTATAACCTCAATCTCCAATGCTTTATTTCCAAAATTGTATGCAAGAATATTCTTGTATTCATGGACCAACTACTAAACAGGATCCTTTCAAATATATGAGCCATCTTATAATCAAACCAAAATAAATTTAATTATAAAAGAAGCAATGCCAACTTGACAACAGTTGTTGATATGTCAGTGCATCATTAACTTCTTAAAAATGCATGAGGTTCTGCAACACAATGCCTTTCAATAGAAAGTGGTTAAGTCAATCAATTTGCCTAGGATATAACAATTCTACTGAGAAGACTGCTACAATCCATGATGCTGAAGCCAACTTGACTTCAGACTGATTTTTTTTCGTCTTCAAAATCCAGCTGTCATTATATATATTTTTAAAATACAAATATTGGTCTGCTGTGACATTGGTGTTCAAGTTCATACCATTCTTGAGCGAGAAGAGTACAATTTTGACTGTCAAGTTTTGCACGTCATGTCTCACGAGACCCATGATCTGTAGATATTTGATTACAACCCTGAAAGCAATTAAAATATGGAGGCGGGATAGCTCAGTTGGTAGAGCAGTGGCCTCGTAATCCGGTGACCCGAGTACGAAACAAGTCGATGCACTAGTGCCCTTTGGTAAGGCATTAATCCTCATTACCAGGTCCCTCGGAGAGGACCTAAAGCCGTCGGCCATCTGGTTGCTTACTAACAAGCATTAATTCTTTCTTAGCAGTCCGGTAAAATAACCACCACCACTAGTAAATGTTTCCTTGTTACTAAAGGGTATGGTAGTGGGAGGCCATGCCATTACAAGTGTAGCTGATAACCCCATAGTGTATGTAAAATAATTTGCATCTTCCCTGCTTTCTCTTCAGAACCTCTGCAAAACTACCAGCTACCCATCAGCAGCACCCCTGTGATCCCTGTGGCTACTCCTCATCCCCCACCTCACACCCCTGCATTCAGGAGCATTGGTGCCCATGATCTCCCTGTCCATCTGATGGACATGTCTGCTCTGGAAGAAGTCATGAATGCAGAGGCAGTGGAGTCACCTCCTGAAGACCTCAACTCAGACGCAGAGGAGGAAGCTCTTTCAAGCGTTCTACAAAACCTGAATGACATCTTTGAAGGTAATCATGATACTAGAATATAATAGGAAAAAACGGGAGAAAAAAGACAACAACTAGATTGTGAAGCAGCATAGACTTATACATCCTCGGATATCAAAAACTATTGAGGTTTTCCTGGGCTTTGGTGCAGGATATGTAACCAAGTCATATTTTTAACTAGATACCAGAGGAAAAGATTCTTTTCTCCACCAAAGATTCATTGCAAACAGTATTTGGAAGAAAGAAAATCCTTGTGAGCTAATGTGACTCTGTAGCCAGGAAATTTGCTAATCTTTTGACACCAAATTTACCTTTGAGATAGAGAAAGGAAATTTCATGGGCTTATTGATAAAATGCTGTATCTTTGTGGCTGAAAACTGGGAGGGTACATGAACCTACCCCCTCTCATAACTTCCTTGATTCTTGTATGTCAAAAAAAGAACAAAACAAACAAGATTTAGGTTCATAAAAAAAGTCAAATTTGTCTTGCTAGTGAAAGTAAACATATATTTAATCCTTTTCCGTTTGTGAACCATTTCAGGAAGGAATGGTGATTTCCTGCCTACAAGGGAGGAGGCAGAAGCCTTGGAGCGTGCATTCTTTCAAGCATCAGAGGATGTCAATGATGCTAAGCTTTCTCTGGAGCAGCTCTTTAACGACGGAGAAGAAAATAGCAACTCGCTGCCAGGAGATGTGACTGAGGCTGCCATCAGCCAGGATAGTTCAGATGGACTCCCCAGCGATCTTCAATCTGCAGCAAATAGACTTATAGCTGATACCATGAGACAGAACTCGAATGATGGTTCTAATCATAATGCAATCAAGCCACCGTCCTCTAATCTCACCAATGCAGTGCCTTTGAGTAATATGTCTGCCACAGCACAATCTGGCCAGGCCTTCACCCTACCTAGCACTCTGGCAGGCCATGGGGTGTTTACGAACAGTGTTGCTCAATTCAATGGTCCTGTAATCCCTCAGACACAATCTCTGCTGACACAGAACACCCTCAGCACCACAGCTGCAACGACAGAAAACCATCATGATTCCTTGCGTCACACTGTCCTCAATGGAGTCATAAGTGGCAATCGTGCAATGGTGCCCTCGTTCCCTATCTCTCAACCTATGTTGTCTCCGCATGGAGGACAGCAGGTGCCTCACCCTATGATGTCACCTCAGAGTCCACAAATCATCACAACCACCTTGCCACAAGCTAGCCCTAATGCTTCATCTGGAATGAGCCCAAGTGCATCAGCGCCAACCCCTTCTCAGGCTGCTCATCAGGCAGCCCTACCCAGTTTCCGGCAAACATGGAGTAGTGTTTCCAACATTCAGAATGCCTTGCGCCGTACCAATTCAAACAGTGTACCAGCTGTGAACGGCATCAACTCTAATGGCGGACTCCCTTACAACGTGCATACGAGTCAGTCAATGGGTTCCCAGAAGTTGCCAAGTTTTAACTCTGTGGTAGCAGGAATTACCCAGAACCATATTCCACAGCAGCAAAGTGGATTCGCACCTGGTCTGCCTTCACCTCAACCTACTAGTGGGATTCCTACCCCTCCCTACACTGCACCCAATATCAAAAACATACCTCCTATCATCAAACAACAAGGAACGTGACATATCAAGCCGCTCGTGGCTCATAAAATATTACCAATTTATGTCGAGAGTATTCAATTTTTTTAGTTTGACAATGTTTTGTATATTTGTTTATGTTGAGATTCATATGTACATTTGGAATATTTACACCCTAAATTCTTTCTCAGAAGCCATTTTGAATAGATTAGCCATGCTTTAATATTTCTTATTTTTGTCAAGAATGACAGGTTCAGATGTGGCGTTACTGTGCCTCATTAAGTAAATTACTTTTGATAGTGGGGAGTTACTTTTAGAGCTGTTATACAGAAAGGAGCCCAGAGAATCAAACAATAACTGAAACCATGATTTTTAAAAAGGTGAATAATTTGGAGACAGTTATACTTTATGCAGATTGAAATACAAAGGTGCCATTTTGATGATTCAAGCATTGAGAGCCAGCTGAGCATTCATTCTCATCAAAGTATAGTTTGTTGAGCACTTATATAAATATATCAGGCAGTGATTCTATCGGTGCTCCATAGAGAGCCATATTTTAATTAGCACCATTGTATATTTTTTCAATCTGTGAGATCACTATGGTACATATGATTTATCTTCATATTAACTTATTCATGGTTGCTGTATAACAGCTCTCAAAGTTAGCAACAATCAGTTGGCCTTCAACAAGGAATTAAGGATGAACTACATGTAGTTTTAGGAACATGATACAACCCTTACTCTGCACTCTGTAAGTCTCTGTGTCACCTTGTTTACCTGTTTTTATGTCGTGTATTTCTGTGCATGTATTCTTTTACAAACATTTGCACATAGCTTGATCTGCTTCTCTGTGTACCTGGTACTTTCTTTACATGTTTGAAAAGGATGCATTTTTCATGGTGTTGAAAGTTATTTCAACAAGGAAATGTGTTTTGTCTGTCTGTGGGACCAAATGAGAAGACATGCCAGTTTTTTGAATTATTTCAAACATTATTTCTAAGGGAATTGCTTGAACTGCAATTTGTGTCAAATTTATCTACAAGTTTCATACCTGTTGAATTTATTACTTTTATTTTTTGCACTTGATGTACAGTGTAGGGATGAGTTAATCTTTTCTGTCTTTCTTTCTTCTTTCTCTTCTGCCCCAATGGAATTACACCCTGGAAAGGTATTTCAGACTAGGTTTTCTCTTATGAAATGGCTATCAAGAATTAACTGATTTGCCCCCATCAAAAGTGGTCTGTATTAGCTTTATTCCTCAATATTTCAGTTTCTCCAAATTCAACCTTCACTGTTTCTTCTACCTTGCAGTTTTTCAATTTTGAGCCACAAGAGTGTTAACTCACATGCTTTTAACACAGAGATAATGCACTTCTGGATCTGAACTGATGATTTTTTAAATAGAAGAACCTAAGGCATGTTTAGAATTGTACTCATTTATTTTTCACACACTGTCACACAGAATTTTTAGTCCCAATAAATAAGGTATATGAACCAGGACACTTTTTTCCCCACCATTGCTTGCTGCATTGGAGTACTTAACGTATCCGGCTTGCGCTTGTACTTGTAGATACCTTGTGGCTTCCAGCCAGTCTAAACAGCTACGAATGATCCACATTGATCGCAAAGCCTCCAATCAATCGCAAACTTACAAAGTCGTATCTCTTTAGTATAGGGTTGCGATTGATTTGAAGCGATGGCAACTGTTTGTTGTAGGTTGTTGGAAGATGATCCCTTCCATTGGCTGATGATGTCATTACACTCTCTGTCAAGGGTACAACAACTGGAAGGTGTTCTTCTGTTTCTACATAATCTGGAAGCAGTGTAAAAGTAATGCATATGTTGTTAGAAATAATGTATGTGGAGTTTATTGTAATCTTTGTATAATTTTGTCTTAGAGTAGCATAGTTTTCTTGATAAATGTGTAATCGAGGTTTTACCTTTCCAGGATCCACTGAAGTTGTATTTATGACAGATGAACATATTCTGGTACCATACCATTTGCATAATATGAAAGCCACACACCTTCACAGAAATAGTCAATTTTTGTTTCATGTGTAACAGAACTCTATTTAGATAATTGCATGTGAGCGTACAGTGTATTTCACGATTGATACTGCTGTCATATTTCAACAATATGCTGGACCAAATTTATGTAAATTATTTTTATACAAATCTATTTTTATGTAGCAGCAATATAGTGTGGTTGCTGCATGTTGCATTCAACTTGTGTTTACTGTGTGCATCTGAGCAAAGGGTTGGCTTTAGAGTATAGATATGAAATAGGGCTAGCTTGGTTTCATCTCAAAGTTTATATATTGTAATTTGGCACCTGTCTTGGTTAAAATGTAATGACACCAATTTTCTTACATATCTGTTAATTTGTTTATTATTAGTAAATTGTATGCACTATTTGGCTGCCAAAGGATGGATGTAGACAAGAAATGGAATTTGTCGCTCAGTTTCCTACAAAGAAAGGACAAAAAAGACATTAATATTAACAAGACAAAATTACCATTTGATAGAAGAAATACTGTAATTCTGTTCTTAATCATCATTCATGATTTTCTGAAGTGTTTTTGTAATATACGGAATGCAATTACACCTATTCATCTCCTAAATCTAGGCAAGCTGGCTGTTCAAATTATTTAGTTCATGAATATGATTTATTTCCTAGATTTTCAAGGTATTCAAATTTTGTTACTGTAGAAGCATCTTTACAATACAGAAAATAATGCAGTACAGATGGTCCTAATGTGGTATATTTTTGTCTTTTTTGGGGGGGGGGGGATGATCTTTATAAATCTCTTTTTCTGTTGATTTTAGCACTTTAGTGTGTGTGTGTAATCTAGTAGATTCTAGGCTGCATATTTAATTTGTTCTGCTTGTACTCACCTTCCAAAGCCATCTCAATCATTCATCAAGTTCACATTGTGTAAACATTTTCTCAGGTAAAATGGCTTTCCGCCATACTTTTGATGAATTTGATTAAATTTCTAAGATCTTATCACAATTTGGCACATGTGATCAACTACTATTGCAGTCTCATTCTAATCATATGCTTTATGTTTGTATGAAAAAGGTATTGTTACATGTTTACAAAGCTATATGGGAAGGGGGTGTAAACTTCAGACGTGGGTTTACAGCATACTTATATCTTTGAAGTTAATGTTTTATATTGATAACTTTGTCAGAATCAATTTCCATTATTGAATGAAGCAATTATATCTCAAAGTGCTGGCATATTTAGGGGCATACTTTGGTCTGAAGAAAAAAAATATATATTACTGAATACTTTGATTATATTCTCAAAGTCTAACCTTTAGTGAGACTTAGTGAGACAAACGATTTTTAAAGAAAGGATAGCGAGGAGAAATGTTTTTGATGTGCATTGTTTACTATTCCTTCTGTTCTAATTTTTGTTTTGATGTCTTCAAAAGAATGTCATACCATTGCTCTCTTACCAGCCTGCATACCTTTGATATTAAGCCAATAAAAATTAAAAACAAATGTATTTTTCTCTTGTTTCTATAGAGTAATAAAGCAAATTGTATTTTTCCACAAAAAGACTTAACAAATAGAGTTACGCCCCCACACTCTTTTTGCTGTTGTTGATTACTTTACAATCTTATCTGATACATTAAGACCTGTCAAAAGAAATTTATGACATTGTGTGAAATGTAGATCAACCATTGTACTTGCCCATTTTATATTAGTGAAAAAGGCTGTAGAAGAATATGCTGAAAGTGTTGTTTCTCTCACTTAGAATTAGGTACAGCAAGTGGCCAACACACAATTCAGATTTCTTTGTTTGGAGGGGGGATGTGATTGAACATTCTTAAGAACATTTGCATAAAATATCAACTGTTGCAATTATTGTTTCTACTGTTAAATACCTTATGCCATATCATATACACACAGAGATTTCTTGAAAAAATGTCGCCTTTAACAATTGCTTATTGAATTTTTTATCACAACTTCATTCATATAACTATTTTTTGTTACGTCACATTTTTAATTTGCCAATATTAATATTTTCTCATATTTTGACAGTTCAAAATATATTTGAAAGTGCAAGAAACTTGGGCATATCAATGCATGTATGCTTTTAAATCATATATTTTGATATTAAAAAAACGTCGACAAATTCTAGCTCGCAGTCACATATTTTTTCTTCACAAGTTTTGTTCTAAACAAAATTATGTGCTGGTGACTGGTGTATCATATTACTACATGTATGTTTGAATGGTACTGCACTGCAAAGTCTGCCACATTGGTGTAGTGTGTTTTATTGAGCTTTACAGTTCCACTGTAGTTACGAAGATGACTTTTGAAATCTATCTGTTAAAGAAGAGTATGCTTTGCACCTTGTTAGGTTTCATTCAGTGTTTGTCTCCTACAATACACACTCATTATAACTGATAGCATGGAATGAAGATTAGAAAAATGTTCACATCGTGGTATTGGCCAGAAATTTTGTTTACAATAATTTCCACTGTATAACCCTAAACCTTCTGCAAAATTAAATAAATAACTCGTGGAATATCCTTCATTGAGATCTGCGAACAAACATTCTATAAAATATGCCTAACGGAAAAGCCAGCTGTATTTCCAAACTTTTTTCCAATAACTTATTAATAGGTTTCAACATTTTGAACATGAAATTATTATTATTTTTGAGGCTTTGGAATTTTTGGAATGTCCATGAAAACAGACATACTTTATTCCACTACTCACTTAATAGGTATATCATCAAGAGTTGTATAATTTACTAGTCTGAATTTAGCACGACATACACCAGTGCTATTATTAGTAGTACATGTACCTCTCAACCAAATTTCTAGACTTTTTTCCTTCTTCAAAGTTTGTTGCACTATATTGTGCATTGTAAATGTATCATGCAATCTGGGTAGAGAGAATATAGAACTAAGATTGAACAGTTGTGGAGTAAATGTATAAAGATGCTGTGGAGACAATCAAAATGATTAGTTATTATTCCTTATGTAAAGGAGTAAAACATAGTACTATGCAACCATGTTAATGTGTAAATGTATACATTTTCCACAGTTTCATCTATATATTTTTGCTTTCAAAATATGGTAAATATTTCAATTCAGTCATCAATCTCAGATGTGTTGTTCATGTTGCTATTTTTGAGAAAATCTCTTTTAACCACAACCACAGGTCTTTTTAGTTTTTATTTGGGTAATAAGCTGACTGTCTTCTGTCTAGAAGTGGCTGATTGTAGGAAAAAGTTAAACATTTTTTGTGTGATAGCACCTAATAAGAAAAGATTGTTGGGTAGATTTGAACTCGAGGCATCATGCTCTGCATGCATGGAGTGAACTTTAGACGTCTTTGTATGACATGTACTGGCCAAGTAAAAACCGTCGGCCAATGAAACCAACTGAGAGCCAGAAGGATATTTAAGCTTTTACTTAGAGTTAATAATGCCTTTCTGACTCTTAATAAAAAGAAATATTCATTAATGCACTCATTTTAGTTCAATTCTTTTCACCACAATGTATTCAATGAATTGACAGAAATCATGTTAATGGCCAGATAAACAAAATAACAGGGATCATCAATTTTGATTCCTGTTCCACTTCTGGACAATCAAGAGCTATAGATTGTAACAGTGGTGTATCACATGAATACTATAGAATACATGCGTGTAGGCCTATATGCAGTATAAAGAACCATTTTCTATTGTAAAATGAGAGATTTTCAAAAGGGTAGAAATGTTTCAGGTAGCCTTTTGGTCAAAGGAAACTCATGAACGCCAAGTCTATTGCAGTCTGCATGTGTTCATGAATCTTTATTCGCTGTGTAAGGAATGTACTTGTTTATTGAAATGGATATATATGTGTGTAATTGATGTCTTGTTTACTTTTTGTAATATATGTAATTGAGAATTAGGAATTGCAGCACTGTCTGCATCCTGTGTATTGTGGTATATTTTCTACAAGAGAGAGAGAAACACTATTTTGCCACAAAGAGGATGGAAAATATTGTCAACATTAAATCTGTTTATGGCAGGTGTAAGAAATCAAATAACCGCATTTTTGTGTCTTTGTTCTATATTTTAGTTCAGTGGATATTCTGATATGTGTTTATAAGCTGCTGTAATGAAAGCAATTATAGGTATGTCATGTTCAAAATTCTTTTTGGCTTCTGAGTCAATTATGCTAGGTCATGTTTTTTTTTTTCTTTCTCTTTTTCCTTGGTAGAATTACCTCACTAAATTCATGCAGGCCTAAATGTTTTCTATTTATTATTTGGGTATAGCTAGGGGCATGCAATATAGCTAGAGCCATGCACCTCGACCATTTAATTGATTTTTATCTCAAGGCAATGCTATGGAAACGTGGAGCAAAACAAGTAAACTATCGTTTTCATTCATTATATCGTTCAACAACATCTATAACTTATAAGGAAATATATATATCAACAGGAGTAGCGAACATGTCTAGGATTTCGTCCAATAATACAACGACACGCTCACTACGATAAACGCCGCACGTAGTGTAGGTTTGTAGACAACTCGTCCGCATAAAATTCTACTGTTTAAATAGTAAGCTCTCGATCTCGTAGGCTCTCACTCTCGATCTCACCAACAAAGCTGCTTGTTAAAAAAATGAAATAGCACTCAAAGTCTCAAATTGAGAGTCTCAAATTTACAAACATATACAATCGGAACGTTTTTCAAAGTGGAGTATTAACGATCAGGTAGATCGTAAATTGGCTTGGGGTCCAGGGCCTGAGCCTCGGCAGGGGCTCACGGTTTTTAGGCTTCAAATTACGGTCAGATAAGCATATTTAGATACCTTATTTGTGACGCTGGCAGGTCACTAATTGGCGGAGAGTCCAAGGAGCACAGCCCCCGGAAGCTCAGAGGTTTTTATATTTAACTACGATCAGATGAGCATCCAGTGCCCCGCCTTAGGGCCCTTGGTGCGGTCCAAGGGGCAGAGCCCCCGTAAGTTCAGGGATTTTAGGTATTTAATTACGGTCAGATGAGCATCCAGGGATCCGCCTTAGGGCCCTTGGTGGGGTCCAGGGGGCAGAGCCCTCGGAACCTCAGAGGTTTTTATATTTAACTACGATCAGATGAGCATCCAGGGGCCCGCCTTATAGGGCCCTTGGTGGGGTCCAGGGGGCAGAGCCCCCGTAAGTTCAGGGATTTTAGGTATTTAATTTCGGTCAGATGAGCATCCAGGGACCCGCCTTAGGGCCCTTAGTGGGGTCCAGGGGCAGAGCCCCCAGAAGCTCAGGGATTTTAGGTATTAAGTGCCCCAGAAGCTCGGTTTTTTTTAGGTATTATGGTCAGATAAGCATCCAGGGCCTTAGGGCCCTTGGTGGAGTCCGGGGGCGGAGCCCCGTAAGCTCTGGGGTTTCAAGTTTTAATCACGGTCAGATGAGCATATTTTGATACCTCATTTGTGATATTGGCAGGTCACTTAATTTTTCTCTCTCTGTTTCTTTCTTTCTCTCTGTAACATACTTTTTCGAAAAGTGAGAGGGGTCGAGCCCCCCAGCCCAGCGGTTTTGCAGACCATGACATAAAGGCTGCTAAATAAGCATATTTTACGCCCGACTGTACATTTGGGAATTTCTGATTGTTGAACAAACGTATAAAAAGGTATGACTTACAAAAAAAAATGAGAAAAAATACTGGAAATTCATGTCATTTCAGCAACATTTGTAAATCACTGGTATCGAATAAGAAATACCCCCCCCCCCCCCCCCCCCCATCAGTACGCAAGCGTTCAGGGGCTCATGTCTTCTCAGGCGCGGATCCAGGATTTCTTAGGGGGGGGGGCCCAAATTTCAAATTATGCGAGCCAAATATTGGTACGTAATGGTGACCAACAGTGACGTAATGCGGGGGGGGGGTCGGTGCAAACGCGAAACGCGGAAGCTTTGACGTTTTATTAAATTAAATCGAGAAAGAAGACGACTCGTTGTACCGTTCTCGACTCTTAATCTTCGTCTGAATTTAGTTTTTCCCCTCCTGCGCGAAGCGCGAAAATTTTTACGATTTATTAAATGATTAGAGAAAGAAGACGATTCGTTGTAGAGTTCTTGACTCTTAATCCTTGTCTAAATTCAGCCCCCCTCCCCCTCCTGCGCAAAGCGCGGAAGCTTTGACGTTTCATTAAACTATTAAAGAAAGAAGACGATTCGTTGTACCGTTCTCGACTCTTAATCCTCGTCTGAATTTAGTTATTCCCCTCCTGAGCGAAGCGCGGAAAATGTTACGATTTATTAAATTATTAGAGAAAGAAGACGATTCGTTGTAGAGTTCTCGACTCTTAATCCCTGTCTACATTCAGCCCCCCTCCCCCTCCTGCGCGAAGCACGGAAGCTTTGACGTTTCATTAAACTATTGAAGAAAGAAGACGATTCGTTGTACCGTTCTCGACTCTTAATCCTCGTATGAATTTAGTTTTTCCCCTCCCGCACGAAGCGTGGACAATTTTACGATTCATTAAATTATTAGAGAAAGAAGACGATTCGTTGTAAAGTTCTCGACTCTTAATCCTCGTCTAAATTCAGTCACTCCCTCTCCCTCTTGCGCCGAAGCGCGGAAGCTTTGACGTTTCATTAAGCTATTAAAGAAAGAAGACGATTCGTTGTAGAGTTCTCGACTCTTAATCCTTGTCTGAATTCAGGTCCCCCCCCCCCCCCTCTCCTCCCGTGCGAAGCGCGGAAACTTTTAAGTTTCATAAGATTGTGAGAGAAAGAAGACGATTGGCTGTACAGTTCTCGACTCTTAATCCTCGTCTGAATTCAGGTCCCCCCCCCCTCCCACGCGAAGCGCGGAAGCTTTTAAGTTTCATAAGATTATGAGAGAAAGAAGACGATTGGCTGTACAGTTCTCGACTCTAAATCCCCGTCTGAATTCAGGTTCCCCCCTCCCGCGCGAAGTGCGGAAGCTTTTAATTTTCATTAAATCATTAGAGAAAGAAGACGATTCGTTGTACCGTTCTCGAAAATAATCCTCGTCGGAATTTAGTTTCCCCCCCATCCCGCGCGAAGTGCGGAAGCTTTTACGTTTCATTAAATCATTAAAGATTCGTATTACCGTTCTCGCCTCTGAATCCTCGTCTGAATTCAGGTTCCCCCTTCCGCGCAAAGCGCGGAAGCTTTGACGTTTCATAAGATTATGAGAGAAAGAAGACGATTCGCTGTACCGTTCTCTATACTCTTAATCCTTGTCTGAATTTCAAAGATGTTCTTTTTCTGCTACTTTTTCTTCCTACGTCCTCTTCCGATTTGGGGGGACCGCGGTCAGATAAGCATTCAGGGGCCCGCCTTAGGGCCCCTGGTGGGGTCGAGGCGGCGGAGCCGGCCCCGGAAACTCAGGGGTTTTAGGCGTTTAATTAAGGTCAGATGAGCATTTTTTTTAAAATACCTATTATTTTGTGACACTGGAAGGTCACTATTTGGCGTAGGGTCCAGGGGGCGGAGCCCTCCAAAAGAGGGATTTTAGGCATTAAGTTACCGTCAGATGAGCATCTAAGGGCCCGCCGTAGGGCCCTAGGTTGAATCCAGGGGGCAGAGCCCCCGAAAGCTTTGGGATTTTAGGCATTTAATCACGGTCAAATGAGCAATCAGTATCAGTACGCCAGTATCTCCTCTTTTCCTTTTTTCTTTCCCTTTCCTTCCTTCTCTCTTATTTTTTGATTGGGGGGGGGGGGGGGGGGGAGGGGGTCAACAGCTTTGGAGGCAAGGCCCTTTCGGCCCCCCGATCTCCTTCTTCCCCCTTTTCTTTTCTTCTTCCTCTTCTTTCTTTCCCTTTCTCTCCCCTTTCCCTTTCCCTTCTTTTCCTTTTTTCTCTCTTTTTTTTTTTTTTTTTTTTTTTTTTTTTTTGCGGGGGGGGGGGGGGGGGCCAAGGCCCGCTCGGCCCCCCCCCTGAATCCGCGCCTGTGTCTTCTCACCCCTATAACAAAAAACAGACACGCTTTCCAATTCTCTCACAATATGTCCACGATATGCGCGTATCGCTATTATAAAAACCTCCATTGATAAATATAGGTGGCATTTTTAGGAAATTTAATTCCTGTTAACTTTCCTTTTCTTTGAATGGAATTTTATATGTGATTTAATTCTGGTTTTTATTATTGTTATGTACTTTTGGCTTAAAATCACAACCATCTTTTACAATTTTTTTTGGAGGGGGCGTTTTTGGGGGGCAATAATGCGTTTTGCCCTCACACTTTTTTTGATTGGAGGGCAACTGCCCCCCCCCCCCCCCCCCCGCCCCCCGCCACCCTACTTTCGGCGCCTATGACGACAGTGAATATGTATCCAAGAAATATTGTGCAGCACTTACTAGGCCAGTTCTTCCGCCACTGGTACGGCGCGAGTTATTACGTTTCGCAAGCTCGCGCGCATCGCTCGCCTTTCCAATATATACGAACGAGATTTTGGTGGACGAGTTGTCTAAGAATTTTAGTGTGTGTCGCAGCCGCGCCTACCTGAGCCCCAGCCAGCTAGCTAGCTAGCTCTACGCTGCCTGGCCCGGCGGGCCCGGCGGCCCTGGACGTCGATGATCCGGCCAGATGATAGTAGAGGCCGAGGTCGAAAGCGCTTGTGCATTGTATTTTGCGACCGGATTTGCTGGAGTAGTGTTGCTCGCTGATCTGCTCTGAACGTCAATACATTCTCAAGAACAATGTCAAAGTCTACTTTTTTAATTGTGGTCTTTCTCGTCACTTTTCTAGCAACAACATATTGTGGCGATGCTTCAGAAGAGGAGGAGGATGGTCCGTCACAGAAGTGGAAGAAGAAAGATGTTCGAGATTACAATGATGCAGATCTGGAAAGATTGTTCGATCAGTGGGAGGTAAGGACACGGCCCTGCTGCTTGCCGCGTCGCCAGCGCGCTCCGTGCCTATCGAAGAGTGAGATGAGACTAGATCCAGCTGGAAGAGCAAATGCTTTAGGGCTATGCTCTCTTTATCTTTACTTTTACCCGAGATCCTGGAAGAATGCTGTGTTATCACTTCTCAGCAATCAGGCTTAAATTTTGTATTTAAAAAAATTAGTAAGATTTTTGAAAATCTGATAACACCAATAGATCTAGAGTCTAGATCTAGACCTATTTGAAAGAGGAACCTAAAATCTAAGATTAAGAATTTTTTTCTCTAGTCTAGATCTAGACTAGACCGAATTTTCCGTCTCTTTCGTTCGTTAGCCTCTTATTGGGGTAGGGTCGGCCGGCTCTCTCTTCAGAGACGGAAACCGTCTATACACATTCCCTTGATAACGCCACGGCCATTTCAGGTCGTAGCGTTTTGCCCCCAAAATCCCCCAAAATGTCATTTTACCTCGTGCATGTTATATTGTAAATTAGGCCTAGGCTATAATAAATCAGTTCCACTTACCAACTTGACTGAAATAATCAGTTTAATAGTCCCTTTTTAGGAATTTATGGGTCAAAATCGAAATCCATGTTGAAAAAGATTTTCAAAATGGATTTCGATTTTGACCCATAATTTCCTAAAAAGGGACTATTAAACTGATTATTTCAGTCAAGTTGTTAAGTGGAACCGATGTATTATAACCTAGGCCTAATTTACATGTGGATATGCACGAGGTAAAATGACATTTTGGGGGATTTTGGGGGCAAAACGCTACGACCTGAAATGGCCGTGGCGTTATCAAGGGAATGTGTATAGACGGTTTCCGTCTCTAAAGAGAGAGCCGACCCTACCCCCAATAAGAGGCTAACGAACGAAAGAGACGGAAAATTCGGTCTAGATCTAGACTAGAGAAAAAAATTCTACGGAATGGGTATGATTTAATGCAAATATTGACAAACGATCAAACACATTTTGCTGTCTTTTAAGTTCTAAAAACTGATTGGGGGATATTTTGCCTTGCAAATTATGCAACTATCTTAGTTTGATAATGTAGATTGTGTTTTGGGGGTTAAATAAGCTGTAAACTTCATTCAATATGCAAAGTAAGGTCTTGATTTTATGACTTTTTCGTCAGTTGCATACAAAATGTTTACCACAATAACAAACAAAAAATTTTCAATGGGCTGTGCCCTAATGAGGATCAGAAAATATCTCAAACATAAATTATCATTTTATCTCGTTTGTTATCATTGCTCAGGAAGACGAAGAGAAAGATCCCGATGACTTGATGGAACATGAAAGACCAGCACCAAAGATCGACTTCTCCAAGATGGATCCCAGCAATCCTGAGAGTATCCTTCAGATGAGCAAGAAGGGCAAGACCCTGATGATGTTTGTGACTGTCTCAGAGGATCCAACTAAGGAGGAAGCAGAAACCATCACCCAGCGATGGCAAGATCAGCTATTCAATGCAAACTATCAAATCCAGAGGTATTTGAAATTGGTAACATTTCAAACAGATATTTTAATACAGTCAATACAAACCATACTATTTACCTTGTTTGGTGGGAATACTCAGATTGGTATCTGTAGCTGTACATAGTCAAGATAGTATGTAATGTTAGTCCTAAAACACTAATGGACAATTCCATGAAATGTGTTCTGTATTTTGATGCGCATTTATGCACATTGACTATACAGTGTAAAACTGTAAATAGTATTGAAACCAGATAATCATTAGGCAATGGTCATTTCAGGAGATTTTATTTGTGGGATGAAATAAAAAGATAGTAACTTATGCCGTATGAAAGACATTGCAAAGAATCATCCTAATACAGCCTCTCTGAGATATGTTTCAACTACAACAACAACAAAATGCTTATGCAAAAAAAAAATCTTTGTAGATTGATGGTTTTGTATAATACATTAATGGTTTCCAAGACAGAAACACTGTACACATGGACTCTGAGGCCAAGCACACTACCATTTTGTAATTACAGTGAAACCTACATAAAGACCACTTAAGGAAAACATGAAAAATTGTCTTTATAGGCAAGTGGCCTTTATGTACAGGTTCCTTTTGTACAGGTTTCAGTGGGAAACCATTTTCAAAGAAAAAGAAAAATGTGATCTTTATAGACAAGTGGTTGCCAAAGCAGGTTTGACTGTATCACACTGCTGAGGAAATGGTACCATGATGAAGTCTAGTCCTGTTCATATTGACATTTGAAAACTTTTAAAAGTTGTGTTCTTGAACTCCAGTGTGAAGATTTAAAATTTGAAGATCTCGTATTTATATCCGGGATATACAATATATCCGGGATATACAATATATCCAGGATATACAGGTAAGAAATACCTGTAAAGGGAAAACGAGGCGATATGCCAGGGGATCAAAGTTATTTTGAAAATGTATTCCCCTATTACTAATTTGATGAAATGGAAGCAGCCCTAAATTAGCGTATTTTGAAGTTCCTTTTTTAATCAATTGATAGAAATCTTTCACATTCATTAATTCTTGAACGTAATTAAACATCAACATTGTTGTATGTCATAATATTAACATAGTACGACAATGTACTAAACTTTTGTCATAGGATTGAAATGCACTGACTCTCCACTTATACCTTTAAAACGACACGAGATATCTGTTCTTTTTTTCTTTCTTTTTTAAAATTAAACACAATTGTTGTTCAACAAACAAGTGTTTACAATGAGCAAGTATATGCCATTGAAATGGGTAATATATTAACTTCACTTAAACTTTAGTGCAATCATTCTGTCATGTTTTTTAAAAACATTTTCTGTTTTTGCTTTTATCACCTGCAGGCCTGATAAAAACCCGATTTAAATCGGTTTCCCGATTTTTTTTATTTTTCCCGATTTTTTCCCGATTTTTTTTTTCTTCCCGATTTAAAAAAAAAAAAAAAAAAAAAAAAAGATTTTTTTTTTTTTTTTTTTTTTTTTTTTTTTTTTTACCAGATTTTTTTTTTCTTCCCTTTTTTATCCTGATTTTCCTGATTCCCCCCTTATTTTCTCTATTCTTCCCTATTTTGCCCTATTTTTTTCTCCCGATTTTCTTACTCGAAAGGGGGGAATGTTGTTAGATGCCGTTTTTTCCCCGCGAATCGCCTTTTTTTTATTTTACTCAAGGGGGGCGTGGTTGAGGGGAAAACAAAAAACCTAATTTTTTTTTAGTGCTCACTATCACCCCTGCACCTGTATTCAGATTGTACAACAGTATGGAATTGAAATTCATACTTTGACAAAGTATATCTTTTCTGCAATTCTCATTACTTGTTACTTGTTTTATTACATGCAGATACATGGTGGACAGCAACAGGGCCATCTTCCTCACCAAAGATGGTGCCACTGCTTGGGAGATGAAAAACTTTCTCTTAGAACAGGATCGATGCCAGGAGGTGACTATCGACAACAAGAGCTATTATGGCAAGGGCTCTGGAAGGATGGATGAAAACAAACCTGCAGGGGGAAAGAAAGATTCAAAGAGTAAGACAAAGAAAGAAAAGGGGAAGAAGAAGAAGAAGGAAAATAATAAGACAGAATTGTAAGTAGATAGCAAAAGAATAAAGACACTTTCATGTACTTTTGTGTTTCTTAATGTCTTGTGTAAGTTCTGTAACACAAGTGTATTGTGTGTATTGTCTCTATTGTGAACACATTCTCTTTTGACAGTGATACAATCATGATTTGATCGTGAGAGCTTAGAGCAATAACTTTTTTGAATATGCTGTAAACATTTCATAAACTATATATTTTCATAAGGTGTATCAAATGAATTGAATAATGATTTTTTGTTTGTATTTATGAAATGTATTCCTTCCATTTCCATATGCACCCTATATATAATCAATGGTTAGTGATGCACAACTGCTTTCTCGTCATGTTTTTGTCATAACTGTCTTATTAGTACCAGGTTGCTTTCTGATCATGCTTTTGGAATTGCATACCGGTATACACTACAAAATTCAACCAAAATCGTAGACACTAATGATAGGACATTTTCAGATTGGATTAGATTTCAATTCTTCTCATGCTTCAAAGTAGCTTAGCTTAGAAATTATATTTGAATCATTGATGGCATTTAAGGTAGCTTTTCATTAGAATGTTGTGTTTGCTGGAGGGTGGCATAAAAACATGTAATCAGTGCATTTTGATTTCATACATGTACCATAATTTGTCAAAATTGTTAGGCCCTGTAGCTCAGAATATAACTGAACATGGCTTTATTGTTCAAAGAGATGAATATCAAACTGTTTAAATCTATTTGTCGCTGTTTATTTCGCTATAAAATCGTGTATGTATGTCTTTATGTACAAAGAAAAGTGCCTTGTAGATTCTAGATCAATTCAAGTTCTATCAATGTTGAAGGTAGACTTGTGTGTACTTCATTAATGTATCTTAATCTCATGAACTGCCTATATTGTTCAGTTTGTTGCACATGTCGTACAATATTTGGTCATTAGGTACTTATAATTTGTTATGTTCATTTTACTCAGTCTGTCTCATGGATAATATGATGTTTTGTGTAATCTTGATGATTAAGGAATCTTTGGATATTGTTTTTTCACATATATACATGTGTAAGGATGGAAAATATGTTGCACTACTGAAAAATTATTTTAAAAAATTATTGTTTACAGAAAATATACACAATGGAAATATAAAAATCTCTTCAAAGTATAGTGTATTGCTATATTGTTAGAAACCAACATGTAAAACGTTGTAATTACGAAAAGAGTTAAACAGAAATACACTCTTGATTTCCTGTAATTATTGAGCAAGATTTACTATTGCTAGCATAATCAAGATTGCTAATGCTCATGGAATGAATGTTAAAAATACAGTAACTATTATTGGTATGTACTGCTATTAATTTATATTGTACATTATTAATCCAGAGGTACTTTAGTAACTATTCGGCAGAAACAAATTGGACTCACATTGGATATCAATGAGGAGTACTCATTTATCCATATCTTGTTAAAGGTACAGTGTACTGTTGAAATTGAAAACAAAATTTGTCAGCTTTTAAGATGTGTATTTTTCCAGTCTCTATTAGAATTAATAAGTATTGATTCAAACATATACAGGTATATGTTATCTCACAAATCTTGCATAGTGTATTTTAAAAAATTGATTTAAAATCATGTTTTTATAATGTATCCGATCTTCATGCCGTTTTATCATATGGTTTTCTTAGCATTTCTTTCTGTACTTGAACAGTTTTATACACTGTTCTGCTTTTTTTTTTGTTTACTTGGCACATGCATTTTGTTACCCTTTGATTTTGTGCAATAGCATCCATATATATGCATTTCATGTCACTTTGTTGGCCATGTTGATGAATTTTTATGAGAGTATGTATTTCTTTGAGCATCTCTTTCAATGAATATTTCTATAATAGCTGAGCCTGTGGTATCATGTCATCAATGGTCTGATGAAGGCTATGAGCCAACCCAACCTTTCCTTTTACCGTCATGCATCCATTTTATTTCACGTTTTGAGATTTATTATGTGAGGCTACTGTAATTATACTAAACTCATTAACACTTCTATGCTGGTTGTATTTATTATTGAGCAAATTTTGAATTCTCGTACTTGTGGAGTCCATTAGAAAATAAAATACGCATTCAATGTGTAATTAATTTCTTTGAAAAGGTGTTTTTTTGTTGCTGTACCCTCAGTAAGGTTTTCCAATATGCAAAGATATATTTGTTACCTCATTGACTTTAACTGACACAATAGTTTATCCTTTTGAGACTCACAGTTAACATAGATTTTCACGGGACAAATAGTTTTGATGATTAACTTAGAAGTTCTTACAACTACATCCCATGGGAGGTAACAATGTTGGTCTTGCTTGGCCATCTGTAAAGTTAGTTACATGTAAGTAAGGTTTCTGTCTCATGGACTTTCAGTCTTGGGCCGTCACTCTAATGGGATGGACTGCTGATCTCTTGGGCTCTTAGTCCACTTGGATGCCCCCTTATTACACCGTCCTGTTAACTAAAGGGTACACTGAAGGTTCATATGGGCAGAAATGGTGGATCCAGGGTGCACAATGTCAATTTTTTTTTCTTCCCCAATTCAAATGCAGGGTACCGGTAATTTTTTTTTTTTTTAAGTAATGGAAACAAAACCATTGATATATTTTCAAAGGCTTATTTTCGTCTGACAAAAAGGAAATTTCAAGATTAGCTGTTGGAGGGACACACGCATATATCTTGTGTGAATAAAGGTATAACAGTTCTTGCCCTTGAATGAAGTTGTGACCCCTGTTTTCAGATTGTATAAGAAGTAAGAACATGTATTATGCATGATTGTGGCATAATATGCAGTATGCAAGTGTGTAATTTGTGTGGATGTGTGTGTGTTAAGAGCTTACCTGAGTATATCATAAATATAATAAATTATTCATAAATACCTGTAGCAGATACATGTATATACTGTATATATGTCAGCCCCTGACCATGATAAAAGGATGGTTGCTCGGGGTACAAAAATAATATAACATAATTTGGCACACATACATACAAAATTTGTGCGTGTGTGTGTGTGTGTGTGTTTCAAGTTAAAAAAACAAAGTTTTAAAAAATAATCCAAAGTGCCCATTTTCCACAAGTGTACAGCAACTAAGGGCGCCACCCCCTCCCATGCACAAGCTCTTAACCAAGAACACGGAGAGCTAGAGAGCCTGAGTCGGTTGGGTTCAAGTAGCTGCGGTCGAAGTTCTTGACAAAAATATAATATCGGGGAAAGTCTTAGCCCCCCCCCCCCCCACACACACTTTTTTTTCTCCGCTCAAACATTCCCCTCTAGTAGTTATTTGAAATTGGCATATTTCTCTGAAGAGCCCTTGCAAAACTGGGTCAGGAATGGGCAAGTGATTCTACATTCAAGCTAGCCTGATACTTTCCCAATTTTGTTTTTAGTGCAGTTTGAATAAGCACGATCCAGCCACTGGCATATTTAACGAGATACTATTACCTTCATGGCATCTTATATGAACTTTATGGAGGGGATAAGAGAAAAATAGGCCTATAATGTATATGAGAAAATGTAATTGGGCAAAGTGCAAATTGAGTAAGAAAGAGCGAGAAGGACATAAAATAACGCATGCGACATGGGTGAAATTATTGATTTTGTTTTTAATGTATTGCTTCATAAACACTTGAAGCAAGGGAAATGTAAACCGAGGTCTAAATGGACGGATCTAATTTGATTGTGGATAAATAACCTATAAATGTTAGCAATTGAGCAATTTTCAATTGGGTCTTTAAAATAATATAGATAACATACATGTATATTCCACATATTCAGTGCAATTGAAAATGATAGAAAAACTACAGATCCTGGTAATTCCTGACAATAAAAGTTATTCCCCACAAATATATAATACAACTATAAACAAAACAGATTGGAACCTCGCGCCGCAAACTTCAAACACTTTTTCCATTCCACTGGATTTTATTTTCATTGGCTGGTTAAGGATTGTGGGCGTAGGGCGCGCGTTTCTTCTGTCAGCGTTCGCGAGTATACGATTGATCATTGGTCGCTTATGATTAAACAGTGTGACGTAGACTAGGGCCCATAGTACGTACGTTATATATGCAAATGAGCATAATTGTGTATCTTTCCCGTAAGGATGTTGTATACGCAGAGTTTTGAACACAAAATCCAAGTAAATCTGGACCATCGGATTATTCTAACTGGTAATTCTTTTTAAATGTGTCTGTTCAATTGTTCTTTTCTTTGGAATTATTCGATATTACGTGTAGATCAAAGTTTCAGTTACTATCTTTTTACATTTTAGCAAGTTTTTTCGGAGCGGAGACCATAGGAAATTTCGACCCGAGCTCTCGCAGTGTTTTGATCGGTTTACGGTGGTCGCACGGTCTAGCTAGTTGGAGTTGGACGACGCTGCAGTACGGCAGTATAATTGTGATCATTGTTTCATTGCCCTTTGCCTTTTGAGGTGTTCTAAAGGAGGTCATACGTAGGATATAAACTATCGTAGAATATGACAATTGTATCGCATGGTATTTGTTTTGCGTTAGTCGGATAATCAATCGTCTTCATCATGTTTTGGTGACAAAGAGGAGAACATGTTTCTTGACTAGTTCTGCTGATCCAGTAGGCTGCGATTTCGTTGACGTTTGATTTACGAAATAACGGTATGTGTTGAAAATGGTTAGATTTTTGCTTTTTGAATTATATCTGAGCGCTGCTGATGCTTAAAGCAAGGCTAATTGTTTATTTTTCATTGTTTTTCATTTTTTGATTTATATCTCTTCAGCGTGTAGACTCTATGCTCGATTAAACGATTTTGGAGGCTGTAATTTTATAATGTCCGCCCGAAGACGAATTAGCTTCACATAGTATTTGTGTGCAAAGATTTGCGGGCAGACCGTGGCGTTCCTGGCGTCTGCCATCGACATGGACATGGTTAATTGCATGAAGAAAATCGAACGACAGATTTTAGTGTCAGTGTAAAATTGTATTGTATAGTATTTCATTGTTATTGTTTAAAATATTTTACAAGTAAGCAAAATCCTACCTACTGTGCAATTCCTTAAATTCTTGTTTATGTGAACCCTTCTATCATTTTTTTCAATGGACCGACAACAGTCGGCTTCCTGGTTATCCCATAGATTTTGTTTATGGGCTGATACCACTTTACCTGTAGGGGTAGTTAAAATATTCTTGTGGCGTGTGTCATTTATAATTGTTAATAATTTGCTCTTTTCTTGGTAAAATAAGTTTTATATAAGTTTTAAACAATTATTTGTATTTAAAATGTCTTAAGTACAAAATTCAGTAGTTGTTGTCTCCTAGATATTGAACAAGTGAATAAAGGCTGACCTGTAAGCCATATTTTGAAGGCTGGTCTCCCTGTATAGAATGGTTCATGCTGATCAACCTAGGAGGATTTCAGTCAGCCATCTTTTGACACAGCAACAACTTGCTTCACCCTGTGCATACAATGCAGATTTCCATGTGAACGAGTACTGTACGAGAATTGTACAATGCATGCATAAACACATTGACCTAGTATTACTAGTAGGATCAGTATTTGGAAGTGGTACATTGCTTAATAAGCACACCACATTTTACAGCTAGTAATTTATAGTGGGTGCTCATGTGAAATGGACAATGAAAGCTTTGTCAGCATTATTGTTAAATAATATAGGCCTAGACCGTAGTCTAAGCCAACATTTAGATTAGAAATTTTATTGTAATATTGATAAAGACAAGTCACAAAATAAGGAAATCCTGGAAGTTTAATACCAGCAGATCTACTATTTTTTGGACAATATGAATTCGTTATTTGCAAAGCCCAAAATGGATTTCTTCACTTGTAATTTAGCATGCATGTTTACGGAAGGAAGTACTGGTCATTTGTTCCTTTATACCAATGAATATAAAGGGTCTACAAATGCAAATTAAAAATTTAGATTTTTATTTTTTAAACAATGTGAAAAACATATAAAATGTAATCATCTTTAATGACATTAATATACATGCATGTTCATGTAAGATATCAACCCTACCCTGTATCCATGCAAAGACTTGAGTAATGAAACAAAAATGTAGTACAGACAAGATTTTGCTGCTGCTTTTTTTAAATAATAATTTTAGTTGATTTGTATTATTGATAATCCTAATTTCACCCTTTAACCCTCACACATATGTAGATTCTTAATGCTGAACTGTCACGTGAATCGGTTCTTTTCATTTTCCTTTTTTGTGTAGAGAGACCATATCATATGCGGTGTTGATATTTTTGCATTTCTGGGTCATCTCTTTCTTTCTTGGATTGTTCTTGAGTTTTCTGGGCTTCTTTTTATCTTCAGCATGGCTCTACTAGGTCCTTAGTATCTATGTAAAACAGATAAAAAATATATATGATAACTTGATAATAATAATAATGAATTATTAGTTTTAACGAAGAAATTATTTTGATTAATAATTATATTTGCTTATATAGCGCCTAACACTTACTTTATCAGAAGTCTCTAAGTGCTCTACAATAACTTTTTGAAAGGTATTGCTCTTGACCTTGCTTTTATTTTTTCAACCTATTGTGAAATAAATACCGGTAAGAGCAGAAATTGAGGAGATGAAGGGAAAAAAGGAAAGCAGATAAAAATGTTGTACTGAACAAATGAAATGTTGTTCTTTGTATTTTTGAATACTTAAAGAATTATGCTGATTGTTCCAATGAGTTTTTTAATTCCAAGATACACGATGGTGAAAATTAAGTTTGATTTTAAAGAACTACTTCTATGCTGAATTGAATTTGTTATTTTATTAATTTATGATATTATGTCCAGTAATAGGGTTTCTTTCTGAATTTTATGGGCTACATGTATTCTGTAACACCCCATCTAAGGATTGTAGTAATGAAAGGAGTGCCTCATACTTCCGAAGTGAGAAAGTATCTAATTTGAGAAGTAGATCTTCTGTATTCAAATTCTATCACCTTCATGTAACCTACAATAAGATGTTATAATTTACCATCTGCATGAATATTTCCATGAATTGATACAAAGGTAGTTTTTTTTTCTTTGAAAATCGAAATTTGTCTTGATTGCTTTCCATGCAGATTCTTGAGATAGAGGACTCCTAATATTCTTCTTCTGGTTGGTGCTACAACATTATGAAACGCACTGGTGCGGATCCTCAGGAGAGTGCATTCCCGCAGCAGCGAGTCAACACAACAGTGCCTGTCGAGAGAGTGATCGGCAGCCAGCGTATTCCGTTGCCTTCATCTGTTCCTGTCTTTGAGCAGGCAATACAACCCGAGAACATGGCCAGTGGCTTACATTACCAACCTATGCCTGGATATTCGTAAGTTAGCTTCCAATTAAAGAAAAAATGTCCATGTACTAGGCTTGAGTCGGTACGGTTGATCACACCGGGACCCGACCGTTGCCGTCGGGTCCCGGTTTCGTTTTTTGAGAACCGACGCTCCGAAAAAAATAATGAAATACCTATGTAAGAAATTGCAGTTTTGCACACCACTAAAATCATTCCACCTTGAAACTTAAGTATTTAATTGTTACCAATCATATTCTAGCTCATCCTGAATCAATCCGAACTGCTGATATAAATATGGGTTGCAAAGCAGTTCGCCCCATGGGGTTGTTGTTGCCAGCTAGCTAGCTGTACTGGCCGGGTCTCTCGGCAGGATTAATAAATCAGGTTGAAAGAAACATTAATGTTTGAATAATAAAACGGCTTTCTAAAAAGTACTTCTTTACAACATACCGATCGAATAATTTTTAAAATACAAAATGGATATTATTTCTTTGATTTTGAACACCGCATGCTTCTTTTAAAAGCTGAAAATTACTTTGTAATCACAAGAAGTTTCGATACGGATAGCTGTTGCAAGGCAAGTTCAGACTAGTCTCGGAAAAATGCGCAGTGCTCCTCGTAGTTAGCTGTAATCCGTGCCAGAACAAACCCAAACAAAGACGTGATCGTAACGAGAAAAAATCATTAAAAACTACAAGAGCACAATTAGAAAGACAACTACTCAAAATTATCGTAAGCAGATACATAACTTGGAGGAATAATACAATAGTTGTCCAAGAAAAGCCACAGAAATAGTGATATTTAAGGAGTTACTATAGGTACAATCATTATCGGAATGGACCTGCTGATATGTCCGAATTACACGTTATTTGGTTTCTAGCCTCGTGTTCAAACACGAGGCTAGAAACCAAATAACGCCCTCTACGGTAAAAGGCAGTATAACAAAGGATTCGAGTATTTGCAGCAAGCCCCTTGCGATAAAAATGTACCCAGTTACTCCTCGATTATCACAATTTCTTTGGCATTTCTTGGGCGATTATTGAATTCTTTGTCCAAGTTATTTATCTGATTATCGTAATTTTGAGCAGTAGTTGTCTTTCCAATTGTGCTCTCGTAGTTTTTAATGATTTTTTTCTCGTTACGATCACGTCTTTGTTTGGGTTCGTTCTGGCACGCATTACAGCTAACAAGGAGCACTGCGCATTTTTCCGAGACTAGTCTGAACTTGCCTTGCAACAGCTATCCGTATCGAAACTTCTTGTGATTACAAAGTAATTTTCAGCTTTTAAAAGAAGCATGCTGTGTTTAAAATCAAAGAAAAAATGTCTATTTTGTTTTTAAAAATTATTCGATCGGTATGTTGTAAAGGAGTACTTTTTAGAAAGCCGTTTTATTATTCAAACATTAACGTTTTTTGACCCGATTTATTCAACCTGCATGAATCAAAATGGCGACTCGATCGTTGTCTTTCTATTTTTGCTCCAGTTTTTTTACTTTTAGAGGCACGATAATGGCACTAAACATCGCCAATCATGGATAAAAAATAATGTCAAATGGAAGAATATACCGATCTGTGCCGAGGTATGCATGTGTTGATTTATTTGACTGATAAAAAAGGTTACTTTTAAGGGACATACTGATGATATGCGCTTTTTATAGAGGCAAGTGACAAATCCTGCGAGCTGATTTCGGGACACCGGGTCCCGATCGGTGCAAGGCCGTCGGGACCCGGTTTATGAAAATCCCGACATGACTCAGGCCTACCATGTACATATATACCTGATATTTTACTACCGTACCTTTTTTGTTTACTTCTTTCTCTTTTTTCATTTTTGTTGTTAAATAGACAACTTTTCTCAATTTTACCATAGTTTTTTTTTTTAAATTAAGATTAGAATGGTTAAGTGAAGGATTCAAGGAGTATTAGCTATGCAATTTGACAAATAATAAGAAACCCTAAGAGTAAGACTCTCCCTCAAATTCCTCAAATTAGATTTGAAAATTCATATGCCATAACTAGCCATAACCAATTCTCCCATTTTTCTTAGCAGAATAGAGAGGAAATGTAGACTTTGATGTTTGATAACTTCTTGCGTATGATTGCTATCCAGTACCTAAAACTCAGCATAAGTTTAATACATGTATGTTAGGACCACAACATTTGAGATGTCCGACTTTGTGTTGCGCAGAGTATTTCTGTACCTCCCTAAATAATTTTTTTGTTGTGTGTGTGTGTGTGTGTAGTGTTCCAGCAGTCGGTCAGCCTGTAAGCCACCATGGTGGAGTTCACCATCCAAACCACCCTCATCCACATGCTGCCTCCCAACCGGCTGGAACTCACCAACAAACGATTCATCAGGCTCAAGCACAGTCACAGGTACAAATGTTCGCTATTTGGCAATATGTCAAAAAGTTTTGAAGCCAAACATGTGAAAAATGTTGATTTGATATTCATTTCAAAGGAAACTGCTCTTAAACATACTGGGTGATATTTCTTAAACAATTACATTGCTGTTAAAGAGGAAGTCCACCCTGATATAAAACTTGATTTCATAAAGGCAGAGAAATTAGGAAAACAAATTAGTGATAGTTTGAGCAATATCCGAATAAATATAGGAAAGTAATGGATTGTTGAAGTTGTCATCAGTGAAACACAAATTGACAACACTGACATATCTTGCAAATCTATACTCTCTAATTTGCTCTGTACAGAAATGTTATAAACTTTCATATCTTAGCTATGATGGAATAGAAATGTTTTATACAGGGCGGCGGCGATGGCGTCAACATCAAAAACTTAACCTAAGGTTAAGTTTTTGAATTATTGATATAATTTTGAATGTATAGGTCCTTAGTCAATGAAACTTGGACGATAGGGTTATCAAGTATCCCCAATCATGTGAGTTGAATTTCAGGTCACAAAGTCTAGGTCAAAGGTCCTTTCAGGTCAACAGACTACATGTATGTTGTGGCATCATTATCGAAAACTTAACCTAACCTAAGGTTAAGTTTTTTAATTTTTGATATAATTTTGAAAGTATAAGTTCTTAGTCAATGAAACTTGGACTATAAGGTAATCAAGTATCCCCAATCATATGAGTAGAATTCAGGTCACTATGTTAAGGTCAAAGGTCATCTTAGGTCAACAAACTTAAGACTTTTTTGTGGTTTCAACATCAAGATTTTGAATTTTTAGCATATTTTCAAGAGTGTTTGTTCAAATTCCATGAAACTTGTACCCAAGGGTTATCAAGTATCACAAATCATATGACACAAATTCCAGGTCAAAGGTCATTTTGGGTCAGTAGACTTAGATTATGTTTTCACAACTTAATATGAGAATAAATGAATCATGATTCTTCATTAAAATTCACTTCAAAATGCTGATTATATTCTGAGGATTTCATTTTTTGGGGCCTGCTAATGGGCCACCCTGCCTATAGATAATGTTCTAACCTCAATTTTTCATCATATCGAATTGCGTAATGCAGGCGAGACCGCCGAGAGCGTTTCCCTTGTTTTCTGTAAGAATGGTGGTCTGTCATGGTTTTTACAGCTATATTGAATTGCTGTAGAAAAAAGGAAATGGTTGTTTTGCTGAATGTAATGGAATATTAAACGTGAGGTTTCTTGTGATTCAACTTATTTATTCTTAATAAATAAATTCCCTGATAGAATATTACATTTTTGTATTCATTTTATAGAGTATATTTCGATACATGGTAAGTCATGTCCTACCATATTGCATATTTCTTTTTTCTTTTATTCATATTATTCAAGGCACATATTGCTCAAGTACAAGGCCAGCAACAACAGCAGCAACAACAACAGCAGCAACAGCAGCAACAACAACAGCAGCAGCAGCAGCAGCAGCAGCAACAACAACAGTATCAAAGACTGAAAGTTGAGGATGCTTTGTCATATCTTGATCAGGTCAAGCTTCAGTTTGGAAGCCAACCTCAAGTCTACAATGACTTTCTAGACATCATGAAAGAATTCAAGTCACAAAGGTGGGATTTGAAATATCAATTACTCCATTGTTACAAACTTACATCAAATGTTACTGCTTTCCCATCTATATTTATGTTTCAGTGTACTTGTCGCCTCTGATGTATTGTGTTAGTTTGATTTGCATTTCATAGAAATTGTTAATAACTAAGTAAAGAAAAATTAAATAGATTAATTAATTAGTTCACCCCTATTCTGGCCTATTCTTGGGTGGGGGGGGGGGGTATTTTGACCCCTCCCATGTACAATATCCATGACTGCTGTAAAACTGCCGCTGCAGATCCGACTTGCCTTTTTGTTACTTTTTCCTTTCAAGTGTCTCCCAACTTTTGAGCGGACCTTGTAATCCACAGTCTGATGACTTATCCATTCTACCACGACACCGATACTAATACATTTATAAGCAATTTTTTTCTGAATAAAAAAACATGTAGCAGTACTCTCAATATGCATGTCAATATCCCTGCAAAATCTATAGGACCTTCCGCGGCCGAATGCACTTCAGAGCTTTACAAAAAATGTTTATAACATCAAAAATATGATTATGACTGTAAAACATCCATGGATACTAATATTCCTGAATGATAAAATCTCTCACATGGTTATTGAATATCATATTTCCTTTCCATTTCAGTATTGATACCCCTGGTGTTATCAATCGAGTTTCAAACCTCTTCAAAGGACATCCAGATCTTATTGTTGGTTTCAACACTTTCTTGCCTCCTGGATATAAGATAGAGGTCCAGGCTAATGACCCTTCACAGATTAATGTCAGCACTCCTGGAAACCCAATTCCAAAGGTAAGAATTTGTTAAATCTACATATTACAGTCTCTGACTTATAATGTTACATGATATGTTGTTAGTGTATATGTGATGTCAATTGATGATGGTTGAGTCCTGTTGATCTTGGAATTACATGATATGTTGTTAGTGTGTATGTGATGTCAATTGATGATGGTTGAGTCCTGTTGATCTTGGAATTGTGAACCATGTCATCCATAGTTGATCCATGTATCTTTCCTGAAGTAGAAATGTACAGAAGATTTGAGTGCTGTATGTACATTGTAAAAGCCTGCTAAATGTGAAGAGCAAACCCATTTCCATGCCAGATAAATACAAAAGTAAAGTACAAGAAAACTTCAATTCCTGATATTGGAAAAATAAAAGATTGCTATAGTCTTATTTTCTATTAAGGCTGCGACGGGTAGTCGAATGCTCGAGTACCCGCACGGTTGACAACTACTCGGGTAAAAAAAAAAAAAAAAAAATGTCCAGGCCCACGCTTACCCGTGCCAGGGAGAGCGGCGTCCGCTGGCATGGTACCGTCGGTAAAAATGTTTCCCAACTCAAGTACTGTCAAACTCACCTTTCAGAAACTGGGACCAAATGTCCAGATTTCTGTTTGGACTTGGAGGAAAATGGATTATTCTGCCATCTTTGGTTTTTAAAACAGCATTGTTTACTGTTATTATTCTTATTAAATCGGCGCCTTCAACTGCAACTCAAAGTAAAGTTGCATGCGTTTTCAGCGAGGGACCTGAGAAACTGCCGAGTGGTATGGTAGTGGCAAAAAAAGAAAAAAAAAAAAAAAAAAAGAAAAAAAAGAAAAAAAGAAAAAAAAAGAAAAAATATTTTTTTTTTTTTAAATTATAAAAAAACATGGCATCTGAATATTCGGGTATTCGCCTGTGAGCCTGGGAGTGTACTCGGGTACCTCATTACACTGTTGTGCACAGCCCTATTTTCTATTGACAGATTGGTATTAGCATGATCGTGATTTTCCAATTGTTATGATTAATTTTTACCCAAGATGTTAAGATTCCATGGTTTGTATTGGTGAAACTAGTCCAATAGACTGGTTTACTAACATATGAAAATATTATGCATACTCGATGAACAAAGGTTGTTCTTGGCAGCCTGAAGGCTTGCCAGACATATGAACAAGAAATGTATGCAGACTGGATTCCAAGTATTGTAGTTAATTCAATAATAACAGGTTAATGAAATAACTCTTCACTAGGTTTGGCAGGAAAGAAACATCCATAAATTTGAATGTTAGGAAACCGGTCTATTTATGTGTTAAAAATCAAGATTTGTTTGCATTTTTTCACCTTGCAGCTGATTATTAATTTTCATGCAATTAGCTGTACCATGCCTGCAAGCTTTTTATTTTAATCTGTTAAATATTTATCCAAAAAAGATGTTGATTAATACATACAAATATAACATCTTTTTAAAAGCTTTATTAATTCTGAGATTCTAGAATTGACATTTCACTCAATTAGTTTGAATTCAAAAAGACATCTTACCACTCCAAACTATTTCTTTATTCATGTCATGTTATAGCTCCTGACAGTGACAGGCTTGCAACCCATCAGTACACCATCCTCTGGGCCAGGCAGCAGTAGTCATGGGTCAGTGGTTCAGACCCAGACTCCAGGACCACCCGCACAGAGCTCCCAACCTCAGGTGGTAACACAAACAGCTAAGCAAGCAGCAGGCACAGGCTCCTATGGACAGGCCAGTATTTCAAAGGTAAGAAACAAATGGCAATGGTCGGACTGGATACAGTAGCAAACATTATTAAAGGCCACTGATATCATATTGTCAGTTTTCACTTCCTTTATTTTGAGGCAAGTTGGAATGGTTGGTGATAATTCATATCTAAAATATTTATGTAAACAAAATGGGAATTTTTTTTTTTTTAATCATGCTTTAAATTTGATAATGAAATCAGATGAATCAAGAAGAGTTCGCCAACACTTTGTTTGACTGCATTTTCTTCTACATTTATTTACATCCATACTACAAGCCCTCAAAGAACAAAAACATAATATACATTCACTGTTAACTGCATTAAAATTTCAAATAGGTTCAGTGCAATATAACACCCTTCATATCTCAACTCCTCTCTCGCTCTCTCTCTCTCTCTCTCTCTCTCTCTCTCTCTCTCTCTCCCTCTCTCATCACAGGCAAGCCTCCATCAGATGGCAAGTGCTCTTCCCATTCAGAACCAAGCAGCAGCTGGAGGTCATACCTATTCTCAGCCCCCTCCCGCTGCTGCCCAGACTAGCCCTCAACAGTCACAGATTGGACCAGTTGGAGGTGGGGGAGGAGGAGGAGGTGGTGGTGGTGGTGGAGCGGGTCAGCCAGTAGAGTTTAACCATGCTATAACTTATGTGAACAAAATTAAGGCAAGTGTAATTGTAAATTTATCCCTTCATATCATTCTTAGGTATTTCATGCTGTTCAAATGTATTTTTTTTTTTTAGGATGGGGTCCATCTATTTAATTTCGATCATTTCTTAAAGCTATTTTAAAAATAGGGATAATTCATTTGTATAAAGAAACACAATCTCTTGGAAAGTTGTTTTATCTGTTTTTGCTGTATGTTTGTAATGCTTAATGTGTATGCAATGGCTTGGGGGGAAAAAGAAGCAAATCATGTACGGCGTTTTATACCTGCCTTTAAATACATTTTTTTTTTAAATCAAAATGATTGTGAGTTGATGAAAGAGCATTTTTAAAGTTGATATTTAAGATTTGGAATATGCAAATCTTTATCACTAATTAGCATATTTTTCTTATTTAATTCAGTGAATGGAGAAGAGATATAGGAAAGAAATCCTTCTGTTATGTTGTGTGAGAGAGAGGAAGAGTATTCTTAATCAAATCTTCATCCTTTTGTTAACAGAACCGATTTCAAAACCAGCCTGAAATCTACAAAGCCTTCCTTGGCATCTTGCACACCTACCAGAAAGAGCAGCGCATAGTCAAAGAATCTGGTGGCACCTATCAACCTTCCCTCTCAGAAACACAAGTCTTCAGTCAGGTCTCTAAACTGTTTGAAAATCAAGAAGATCTCCTGAAGGAATTTGGACACTTCTTGCCAGATGCCAATGGTGCAGTCGGACTAGCCTCCTCCTTTGGATTAGGAAGGGTAGGTGTTCAGGATACAAACACTGTTTCACTGGTAATTTGATATCACAAACTTTTCTGTATGTTATGATTACAGTATATTGTCTCAATGTGTAGAGGTGTTGTAGTTAAATGGTTTTAGTTCTTGACTTGAAATGCAAAGGTCGTGGGTACGATCCCCAATATGGCACTAAGGTCTTTTGGCAAGGTATTGATTTACATTTGCCACTCCATACCCAGGAGAGAAATGGGGACCTGGTAGGATGACAAAAGCCTTTCTGTTAGTAATTGCCCTAAGCCCCGTGGTGACCATGTGGTAGGAATACACTCCAAGGAGTGGAAATAGTGCACGTTGTGCGCGAATTAACCTAATAACCAGGGTAATGATATCTGTAAAGCACTTAGAGAAACGAAGTATTATGCGCATTATAAATGTGAGCTATTATTATTATTATTAGAGACTGTATTTCGTAGCACTTTTTAAATCCAGATTATTATTATTAATATTTACCTGAAACATAGGTAGACAGGTAGCAACATAAGGTGTTATGGAGACTTGTAACATAACTAACATTTATGCAATACTATATGATAGATGATTGCTACAGATATATCTCTGGCAAAAGATTTAGTTTTACCAGAAAATGATATTTTGGTTGGCCCAATAAATGGGTAAAGTAACCTGATTATGATCATTTGGTGTGTAAAATGATATTATTGGTGAAGAAATTAAGATCATCATCAATAGCATCACCAAGAACCTTGATTTGATTTCCAGTGTCATTTATTACTAAACACTTTTGCCTTGAAACTTTGCAATTTTCTGACTCATCTGTGGCATTGATGTGTTTTCTCTTTCCACTATCATAGGACAATCTTTCTAGCATTCTTGTGCGAAGTGAACACTCAGAAACAAAGAAGCCACGCCAAACTCCAAAACACAGCAGTCAGGTGAAGAGGCAAGGGCAAGGAGCTCATCATCCTAGCAAGGTATGTTTGATAGCACTTTTGGTTTTACAATGATAAAGTAAATAGGTAAATCATGATCGTACAATGGTAAGGTCATTAAATAAACCTGGTCAGCGAGTACCGTAGTGTTTGTAATGTCTGTGTCTTCTAGATCAAATTTAAAAAAAATATGTTTAATAACATTTTAGGAAACTGCTTGATATAGGGACAAGCCACTCTTCATGTATCTTTAAGAACATGCATTATTTATCAAAATGATGAGAGTAAATACTGCTAGTTCATTGTATAATTTGTTTTTCTTTCTCAAAACAAAATTCTTCCATGGTTTTCGTTATAACAGAAAATCAAGATTGGCCCAACTAAAGACATATCTCTGGATGAAGCAGGCAAACATGGTAGCCTCAGTGAGTTTGCTTTCTTTGACAAGGTAAGTTGTGTGCTATTCTATTACTTTTTTGCAACCGTCTCTATTTCTGTTGTATACACAATGTTTTAATGGGTTTACTGTACAAATAACCTTGTTTTTAAGACTCAATATTCTATTTTAATGCGAGACTGCACTACTTGTAGCTACTTGCGCCCTCTATACAGCCAACAATGCCTAAGCGGTACCCATTGATCCCCCATGGTCCCCTTTTTCTTATGTTAATTGAGAGCGGATTTGATGAGATAACCACCTGGCAGTGAACATGTAGGGAAGTATAATCTCTCCTGGCCAAACTAGTGCAGATAGGCTCTAAATAACATTGTGAATATAAAAGATTTCAATTTGTTTAGGTTCAAAAAATCGTGTAAGGGGAAATGACAGTCAACTTACTAGAGAAATCCACAACTGTCATATCTTGATTACAGGTGAGGAAAGCTCTCAACAGTCAGCAGGTATATGACAACTTTCTCCGCTGTTTGCTCCTCTTCAACCAAGAAATCATTTCAAGAGCAGAATTGGTACAGCTTGTCAATCCATTCCTTGGGTAAGTCAACAACTTTTTCTTTCTGTCTTTTTTTCTTGGGAGGGGGGGGGGGGGGGTGTAGAGAAACAGAAAAGGAATAGCTTTCCCACTGCCTCATAAATTTGAACCTCCGTCTGTACATTTGATATTATAGTATTTACACAGAATTAATCAAGTATACCACTTATCTCACCAATTATAGAATTCAGCAAATTTTGTAGCTGTAGGGTGATATCAAATATTAATTCATGGATGTGATATTATAAAAATTTGTTGTTGATAAACTTGCAATTAATCCATAAAGGTGACAGTTTGTGGCACTCATGCCCTAAATATTGACAATATTTAGGGAACTTTTTGATATGCAGAACAAGAATCGAAATCCTCTGTTGTATCTTGCATAATGCAATTCAGAGATGCCAACTAGTACGGATTTCCCGTAATTTCGACGGGAAATCGGCCGATTACGGGCGGTACGATTTTCATACCATAAATCCCGGATTTTGCCGATTTTGCCGATTTTCAAAATTAGCACTTTAAGGTTTAGCACGTACTTTTGACTATTGCAGCGCAGCCATCCTTGAATCCATGCATAGAAATCCCATAGGGCTTCCGATTGGACAATTTGTTATCTAGCACACCCCTTTCACAGTGCAGGTGCATACATGTGTGTCTTTGTATATTCTGACTGTGTGCGTGTGTGCCCAGCAGAGAAAGACAGCTTCGCGAGCGGGGGCCGGGTGAAATACCTCTCTTGGCCGCGCCGCTACCGCGGGGCCAGCGCCAGGCCTCGCTACGCTAGCGCCGTGTACACTGTCGGATTTCTCACAGGCTGTCACAGCGTTCGTCGATTTTGGGCGACAATCTGAACTCATGTTGGTTGGATTTAGATATCAATCATCATGTCTTCCACAACTAAGAAGCGTGGCAAGAAGTTACAGACTTTTAAAGAAGAATACAGTTAGAAATGGAAATGCATCGTTCCTTCAAAGAAAAGCCTGAATCATGCTAGGTGCACGATATGTGCATCAGATTTCAACATTGGACATGGCGGGGCAAAAGACTATAGTTAGGCAAATTCATGCAAAAAAATATATTCAAGTAATTGACTTGAAAACACATCAGACAATTACGTGCGTTCTCGAATCCAAAATCGTATCTCACACACACACTCTCGCCATACCGCGAATGGTCCGTCGTGGGGAGCTAGCCGCCCGAGAGTTTGCCAGCGATACCAACGCACCCTCGGAGCTCCGCAGCGCACAATTTTAGCGGAACTCGAAAGGTTCGAGGTGGGAAGGTGGCGGGCTAGCTTTTTGCCAAGACCACGCTTGAACGTCTGCTGGCGAAGTGAAAATAACTACGATCGAGAACATCGTCGGTTTCAGTGAGATAATTCTGAATTCTACTTGAGACTATATAATAAATTATATCGACAAAGAAACCTCGGTAGATCTCTTATAACTATACAAAAGCTTGTTTATTTCTCGTTTTGACATTTGTTTTCGAGCCATTTTTTCGTGCGCGAGTCAATGCAAACTTTGTATTACCAAACTTTCAACACGCAAGGAACGGGGAACACTCGCGGACCCCGTATCAAATTCGTTGCAAAAAAAATTTTCAAGGGTGATTTTGAAAGCAGTGAAGAAAATTTGCGCTGCGATGCGCAGAAATATACTTGAAAGAAACTTAAAAAATCACACCTGAATTTTCAGAAAAAAGTATTTGCATTACCGAGCCTAGTTGTGAGTTGTTTATAACTCAGATTTTATGAAGATTTGTCGGAAAAAAATGTCATTTTTTTTTCGTTTGGTGGTCATTTCTAGGCTAATATTTAAAAAGTTGCATCAGTAATGGGCCCGATGTTTCTCTTATCGTACTCGCATGTTATTTCTACATAGATTAAACATAGGATGGTTAGGGGTAAGACCGGATAACATTATAAAAAAGATATATCCTTCCACCCTCCCATATCCAAGTTTTGGGCTGATTATTGCCGACCCACCGCAGCAAGGCTATTCAGATTTTCGTACGCTCGCGAAGCACCCTCTAGTGCCCCATGAATGTGCCTACTATAGTAACATATCAAGACATTTTGTCATGAGTTCATCCAGTCTTTCAGTAGAATACTTTCAATATGGAGTTGCATGCACATGTAACACCAACTAATGAACAGGTATGTTACTTTTATTTAACTTGTTGTGCTATCGCGCTTGCCTGCGGGAGCTGCGCTTGCCAGCGTGCAGAAAAATTTGCGTCGCGCAGAAAATTACTGATTTTGTCTCCAAATTACTGATTTTTAGCCTTATGATTACTGATTTGTGCTCTGAAAGGTTGGCATCCCTGCTAATTACACTCGTTTCTATTCCCTGACTCTCTGTAGCAAATTTCCAGAGTTGTATCGCTGGTTCAAGGAGTTTCTAGGCTACAAGGAATCAGACAAAATAGAGCCTCCTCACCAACCCAAAGAAAGATCTCAAGGAGAATTATATACTGAAATTGGTAAGTTTCATATTTCATCTTCCAGTATCAGTCTGTTACCTTTTATAGACTTCCGTAATGTTGCATCACACTTTCGTCCCATTGTGTGAAAGGCTTCTTTTTACTTTGGGATATATCGATGGTCATGACAGAGATTTTAACGTAATTTTTATAATAAAATTAGAACAATTAGTACATAAGTGTTTAAATTGTATTGACCCAGATCTGAAAGCATATGAATGATGGCAAATTTAGTAACAGTAATGTGAAAGCTAAATGAGTTTCGTGGACAACTTTTCAGTTTGAATAATCAAATGGCTAAATTGTTGTTTTGCAGATTTCTCCAACTGCAAGCGTTGTGGAGCTAGCTACAGGGCTCTTCCCAAGAGCTACCAGCAGCCAAGGTGTACCGGTAGGACAGGGCTGTGTAACCAGGTCATCAACGATACATGGGTCTCCTTCCCTTCATGGTCAGAGGATTCTACATTCGTTGCTTCAAGGAAAACACAGTATGAAGAACATATCTACAGATGTGAAGATGAGAGATATGAGGTGAGACAGCATTTATTGTTCTAGTGTCAAAAAGAGGGCTTTTAAAAAAAACTCTTTCTATGTATGTGAGGTTTAGTCCGATAATGATAATTCATGACATTTTATAGAGGAGATGATTTTGATTTTCAAAACAAATCCATTATGAGAACAATTTTGTAACTAAATGCAGAAAGACATTAGTATTAAAATACAATTTTAAAAGTTTGGAAAAGTTGCACTAGGTTTGTCGAATTTTGAAGGACTAAATATAAGTAGTTGCAGCAGATAAAAGTGTGAATATTAGAAACATTTCCATTTCATAATGCAGACATTTGTAGAATAATAGAAACATGGGTTGATAAAAAGAAAATCTTTATCTACTGCATTTGAAGTATTGGAGCGACTTGAGCACCTTGCATGGTGGATATGTGCACTATATAAATATCAAATATTGTAATTATTATTATTATTATTATTGTAATATGAGACTTTTTTGTAGGGATTTTTGTTTTAAAACTGAACCGTGGATCAAAGCAGTGGAAAACCAAGCAAAGATCATATTTTCATGTATCCAGTCAGTATTGAATTTTTGTCAAGACTTGTTTTAACTAGAGTATTAATATATTTGCTTTTTGCCAGTTGGATATTGTGATTGAGATCAACTCACACACCATCAGAGTGCTAGAGCATGTATCCAAGAAACTCTCTAGAATGTCTCCAGAAGAATCCTCAAAGTTCAGGCTGGACAACTCGTTGGGTGGCACATCAGAGGTTATTCACAGGAAAGCCATTCAAAGGTATGCCAACAAGTAATAGCAGATTGCTATTGACACTTTTCAGATGGTCTGTTGAGACCCTCAAACGCATTAACTCTACACAAAATGAAATGAGTTTATGTCCTTGCTCAGAGCTGACCATGTTAATTTTAATTCATGTTCTAATGCATCAATTTCATGAGTCTAAATTACTTGACCTCATCTATGTCATATACTGTGAAAAGTCAACAACAGAAGCAATTCAAACATCTGGTCCATATTTGCTTTTTTTTGTTGTTAGAAGTGTGCCTGTTGTACAGTGTAAACTTCTTAAATCTTGAAGGGCTACAAAAGATTACCTAAGATTCTGTTTTAGTCACTATGTGAATCTCTGTACATAACAATTATCTCTTGACTGTGTTCATAGTAATTCTGTTATGAGTGCTTATCAGATGAAATAACCTTTGAATTCTACCTTATAATGTGATTACAGGATATATGGAGACAAGGCAGCAGACATAATTGAAGGCTTGAAGAAAAACCCTGCTGTGGCAGTTCCACTGGTTCTTAAGAGGTACAGTATAGTGTATGAGATATATACCGGTAATCCATTAACCGACATGATATGGTTGAGTGCAAGGCCTTGACCCAATATTCACTGGCATCTTTGATCCAAGATCAAATTTGCATTGTGTTATGGCAATGAAAATATGGTTGTTTTGTCCCAAGAAATTCAAAATAAATTCCTTAGTTATTGATAAGATTTTCTTTTCATGCTCAATTTATCAATTATTAACATAGTCCAAATATTATGAACCATCAAGTATGCTATCAAACATATGTGTCCCAATATCAATTCAAACGATACACAGTGATCGTCGGACAATTTGACAAATGGAGTATAATATATGTCAATGTATTACTTGTATTGTGAAAGTATTGAGGACCTTGCTTTACACTCAAAATAAATGGAATAACATTATTTTCATATTCAGATTAAAATTGAAGGAAGATGAGTGGAGGGAGGCACAACGGAATTTCAACAAGATATGGAGAGAACAGAATGAGAAGTACTACCTCAAGTCTCTGGATCACCAGGGACTCAACTTCAAACAGAATGATGTCAAGGTAACTAACTACCTCTTTATTATGTGTATACATAGAAGCCAGTAATACATTGAGAAGAAACTTGCATAAGATGGATCAACATGCCTTGTATCTTTCTTTGTTGTTTTTCTTTGTAAATGAACTAAGCATCAGTGTTCTGGAAGTATGAAGGCAAAATAATATTTCAGATATTCTTAGGTCTGAACTGAAAGAGAACATTAGATAGCCATTCACGAGTTGCAGTCGTACTCAATCACTTTTGTACCTCTGAAGACTGGGTAATTTTGAAGTCTTCTTACAGATTGTAGCATATTTTACACCTTCAAGACATGTATGATGTTCCATCTTCTCACTACATTCCAAGTCGGAACTATCGTAAACCTTTCATTTGTTCTGTTCTTTGCACACAGGCTCTTAGGTCGAAGAGTTTATTGAATGAGATTGAGGCAATATTCTATGAGAGACAAGAAGGACTCGGTACTGGAGAGAATGGAGCAGGGTTATGTGGACCTCATCTATCTCTACCCTTCATGGACAGACAGTTCATGGAAGATGCTTCATCACTCATCATTCACCATACCAAAAGACAAACAGGTATTATGGATTTCATATTTAAAGTACTCCTAAAAAATTTAGTGAACTAGCCCTAAACCACCAAGAGCAAGTGAACTTGTCAGTGCCTTGGTACTATTATGATACTGAATGAGTAACATGGGGGATATTTCTGGCAATTTTTTTTTTTAATTATTGTAGAAGCACCTTTAATCGTAATGCAATGTTATGCTTTACACTTAGAAGGGTTAGACAGGGCCCGAAAAGTAACAATTGGCACCTGAAATTTTAAAATTTATTCGAGGGGGGGGGGGGGGGGCACACAAGTACTTAATAAAATTTGTACCCTATATTTGAGAAATAAACATTTGTTTTAGAACCCTGTATGAACTGAAGCTACATGCAGAATGAGTTATTTTAGTTGGATAGAGTTTCTGACATGTCAATATTTCTTCTCTTTCAGGCATTCACAAGAGTGAGAAACAGAAGATCAAACAGCTGTTATTCCACTTCTTGCCAGACCTTACCTTTGAGGAGCGAGGAGAGCTATCAGATGATGAGGATGAAGATGAAGGTACATACAGTCGAACTAGCTTTAGTGACCACCCTAATAGAAAGATGACCTGTTTATAAAGGCCAAATTTTGTTTTCCCCTGACCAGTGTTTTTCAAGGAACCCTGTATTAAAGGAAGTGAAGGAACCTTTATTTAAAGACTGCATTTCTTGTCCCTATTGAGCAGGCTTTATATAGAAGTCTTACTGTATTGTTTAGATGGTAGTGTCATAAGATGATATGGAAGAAAACATGCCAGAAAAACCAATCCTGCTGAAGATAACCTCATACCATATTGTATATACAATATGGCTTTGAGTAATAGATGCCCTACTAGACCTACATTGTATTTGACTTTTCACAGATATGGATACAGACGAAGGAGGAGACCAGTGTTCAACAAAGGATGTCACGGAAACTAAGAAATCAAAAATCCCCAATGGCCCTCTGGAAAAGGTCATTTGGGAAGCTGTAAGTATAAATCTCATTGACAATGCTGTTGATATCAATAATCCATATTATTATGGATTGGAAATTGTATTAGACTTTCCTTTTTATAGCATGAGCGTATTACAGTTGACATCTTCCATTTCTATCAATGAAGGTTAAAAAGGCAAAGAAGTAATTTTACGATGTTCATTGACCGGAATAGAAGTTGGCTTTGCAATGCCTTAATACTAATAACATCTCAAATTCAGCTTGAGTGCTATGCTGGTTGTGATAGAAAGAAAGAAATGTACAAAATGGGTGGCCTTATCATTATTATGCTTGTTCTTCAACTTTTTGTGAGTATGATTTGTCACATATTAAGAAATGATTTCCCTAAACTGTCCCTGGTTAAAGCATGTGAATTGATTTGCTTTAGATCTAGACCAATTAAATGTAACCTATTCTTGCATTATTGCTACCATCTAGCCGGACTCATATCGTATGTTCTTTGTGAACAACAACTGGTATCTCTTCATGAGGCTGTACCACATCCTGTGTGAAAGGCTTGAGAAAATGAAGAAGAGATGTGAAGTCATCATGGAAACAGAAGGAGGGTTGAACAGGAGAGCTGCCAAGGAATCAACTGCATTAGCATTGGGCTTGAAACAACCACGTAAGCTCTTGTTTTTACACTCGAGAAGAAGACATATTTTTGTAGATGAATCATTTGCTAAAGGACATATCATTTCATAATTAATTTTTATATTCATCATGGAAAATCACTTGCAGGACATTTATTTTAGTGTTCTCGTTGTATTTTCTTTCAAAGGAGCAGTTATGTGTATTATTATACCTGAACCTACAGTTCTTTCAAATTGCTTCAGTACACATTTTGTTGTGCCTTTTTCCGAAGGGTTACATCAAAATGTTGTCCTTATTGGACATAAAATGTCTAGGCCAGAATTGGAAGAAGTGCAGGATTATGTTTATGTAATCATGAGGCTTTTCCACTATCATTATATATATCTTTCTACCTTTTTCACATATTTTAACAATGCATTCATACAGAGATGGATCCGAGTGAGTACTACAACACGCTGTTGGATCTGATACGTAGTCTCTTAGATGGCAACATTGAGAGTGGTACATATGAAGACCAGCTGAGAGAGATGTTTGGTATCCATGCCTACATGGCCTTCACTCTGGATAAGGTTGTCAGCAATACAGTCAGACAGGTGAGACAATCTAACAAAGTATTTTCATTGTTTCTCTCTAATGATAAATTCTTCCTTTAGCCTGTTATTGAATAATTTGTTGTCATAAAACAATGTTTTTTCTATTAATTGGTTGTTGCTTTTGTTAACAAGCCTCAGGCAAGCTATGGAAATGTTGATAAGTCTATAAAATAGAACTTGCACATTAATACAATTTGCTAGTGTAGGTGATTCCTATAAGGTGAGGAAATTAAATTTCTTTTGAAATGTTTTATCATCCACAAGCATATCGCAATATTCACAGGTGTATTTTGGGGGTCTTTTGTCTGTTGGTCTAGTCCCTGAGGTTATTTCATTTTGAAATATGTATTACAAAAATATGATTGGTCCGTTGGATATATTGCTATCCTTTGATTGTTTGCATGCTCAGGGAGAGAATTTGAAGATGACATACCTATTAAAGAGAAGGTTGAGTTCTGGGGAGAGGTGAAAAGTAATTTGTGAGCGTTATCATTATTATTATGCAAGTGTGGAAGAACATCAGAGAAAAAAAATGTTCCCTGAAAAGCATGGCTCTTCAAATGCCTTCATATTCTACTTATGACAAGTAGCAGCTATAAAAATTAGTCCTGATTTTTATGCCACATGTGTGTGTAGTCCCATATCAGTGCTTATTACTTTACCAAGACTAGGCCAAATTTCTTATCATTTTGATGACTCCAGAACCTTGCAGTACACACCATTATGTAAATGCTACATGATCAACTTTTTTTGTTTGAGCGATTCGACACCGTTTCTTCCACGATGCAATCACATCACCAGAACTCAACTTTACCTTTAAATGTTAACTTTCTATTTTCATGTTGATACCCTGCAGCTCCAACACATAGTGACAGAAGATACATGCATGCAGGTGACGGATTTGTTTGTGAATGAGATCAAGTCTGGGGGTACTGGGGGAAGTCTTGCCACCATGCCAGTCAGAGCAAACGCTGAAGCCCTATACCAACGCAAAGCAGAGCAGCTGCTATCTGAAGAGAACTGCTTCAAGATCACATATGTGTGTATTGCTCTCTTCTCTTCAAATTTTTGTTGCAAAATTTTCATTTACTGTAAAAAGTGTTAATTTTGTCATGAAGTACCTTCCTGAACTCAGTTTTTAAAAAAATAACTGTTCCTAATTTGTTATTCTGTTCTTTATTTATCAGTATTTGATCTTCAATGCTATTGACTTATTGTGTATGTAATAGTTCACCAGTACTGATGGCTTAGACCAAGAATCATTTGAGGAGATCAGATTATATAAAATAGCTGTTTTGGTATGCTATACTTTAAACAGTTTCAGTAGATATTATATTGCTTTATATGAAAACAAATCACCTTAAGTTTTCATTTTGGTAGAAATGTCCAATAGAATAGTGCAATCGGCTACTTTGAATTGATTTTACTTGTATTATTCTGCCAGAAAGATCCTGACTTGTGCACGTCCCTTTTCTTTCCTCTTGAAATGAAGTTTTATCCAATAGGCCATCAATTATATTTGTGCATTATAATGACATCACTGTCATTTTACTTGAGGAACTCTGCCAGTGCCATACTTACAATATGATCATATCCCTTTTTTCCTTCCCAACAGGCCAAGCTTGATCGCAAGCTGTGCATAGAGCTGCTAGACACAGAAGAAGATCCCAGCGATGATCCAGTAGAGGTGGATAAATGGGTGGACTATGTGGAGAAGTTTGTCCTCTCTGAAAGCATCTCACCAGAACTCAGAGATCAACTCACCAAGAAACCTGTCTTTCTTCCAAGGTTGGTCATTCATTGTCTGACTGTAGTGTATTGTTTTGCTTGCTTGTATGGAGATTTTGATTCAGAATGCATTGTCACTGTTTATCCTCTTAAGCCGTATATAATTTGTCTGGAAATCCAAAATCTTATTTTTCAAACTTGAGATATAGTTGTTTTAGCTTGTATGTAACGTGTAAGCATTATGATTGACGCGAGTAAATAGTTTTTCTGTGTGCTAATTTATTAGTTCCAGTATTAAAATCTATATTGACGATTTGTTCCTACGACAGGAGCTTACGAAAGACTCGCCAGCAGTCACTCGAAGAGGAAAAAGACACCTTTCAGGCGGACTTCATCGCACACATCCTGGCATCGGCTCAAGAAGCCACACCCCCTCCTCCCCAAGAAGAAACAGACACCAATCAGGACATGCTAAAACAGAATGACAATTCACAAGACACAGACTCTAGCACAGAGACAAAATCCACCGGCGGCGGCGATCCCAATGGGAAAACCCTGGACAGTGTGCTGGGAAGAGAGGGTGCCACCATGAAGGACGGGAGGAAGATACTGTCCAAGGTGGTGACCAAGGGGGATAAGAAGACCGAAGGGAGAGTTGTGGTGGGTGGTGTGATGAATCCCCTGGAGGGAGTGGACATGGTCAATAACATGGAATGCAAGTTCAACCTCAACTCCTACAAGATGGTATATGTTGTGAACTCAGAGGATTATATGTACAGGAGAACCTCAATCACCAAGGCAAAGCAGGTGAGTCTCACAGGAAATGTACTCAAAACAAATATGATTAATGATATGCAAGGATACTACATGTCGTGATGTGTGTTAAGATTACTGCGGTATAACCAGAAACTTCATGTGCATACAAATTTCCCAAGTGATATTTTGCTATGAAATATATGAATTATATTGAGTCACAAGCGAGTGGGCGAGATCCACAAAAGTTTCTTGCCACAAAAGCATGAATTGAATTGAATCACAACATGAAATCTGTAAAATTTCAAAGGATTCTTGCCATGAAAGCGGCCATCGTTAACAATTCATTAAGAAATTGTCTGGTTTTACTGTAGATGTTTGATATTTGGTGGGGGAAAGGAAACTAATATATCTCCTACCAGTAGGTAACAAAAATCCCAGCCATTCACCTGTAGAATTATTGTAAAATAGAATGGAATAGCACTTTTTCTCTGTATAGAATGGTAATGTGCTTGGATGCCCCATAAGAAATGCCTTTTGTTTATATTATTCATTTTACCTCATGATATTGACAGGTGGATAAGTTGGGATTAGGAGTACAGATAGGGAGTGTGATGTTAGACTCTTCCTGTAAACATTAATGCAAGCTAATTCCATTTGTTTTGCAGGCCCATCCCAAAGTCACCGCCAGGTTATCAGGTCGCTTCCGTAAATGGGTGGACAAGTGGAGAGAGTCTAATGTGACTGATTCCGAGGCTGAGGCTGTTGAGAAGTGGTTTATGGGGGAGATAGATGACTTAGTGCCATGTCAGACTATGAGTTACCAGATCACCAGCTCCAACGGAGTCCACAGAAAATTCAAGGTAGCCTACCCAAAAAAACCTGAAGAGGAACCCATCGAAGAGTCGTGACTGCCACTGGATTCCTGCTTAGAACTTTGAACTTTGAACATGATACAAGCAGGCTGGTGTGAGTTGGAACATTTCTCTAGCGTCAACCGCTGAATCATGTGACGATGTGACGCAGTAGTATTACTCCATGAGACTTCAAGTGTATTCCCTCTTGAGAACATCTTGTATATTAATATTTTGGAACAGTACAATGCTCTTTGTTGAAAGTCATACAAAGATCATTTCTTGTTTTATTTATAGTAGCCCAATTAGCTTCATAGGCATGTAGTAGCTCTTGCCTTATGTAGAGTGAAGCATTTTTTCCTTCTCATTAACAATACAGTTTAAGTTGACTTGCATATTATGTCTGAGTGGAGTTTCAGGTCTAGATTGTTGTCAATGTGGGATGGAGACAGTAACGTAAGTGACATGTGAAAGTTATGCTTATAGTTTCTCTGTACAGGTGGTTAGGTGTCCGGACACTTATCAAACATAAAACCTTCTATTTTGCCTTCTGATTTACTGAAAAATATTTATCAAATAGCACCAACCATCATCGATATTTTTCCTTAATAATATTGTCCAACATAGATCTTACAAGATTTGTGAAATATTGCTTGTAAACTTCTTCAAATTTCTGTTTTAAACCAACTGTCTGGATACACAACGGGTGGGTATATGTCATTTTTAAAAGTTTTCAACAAAAAGACATAAAATCCCTGGTTATGACATTACAGACATGATCAGAACAAATAAATGAGACTTGCTAGTGTTAAAATGTATGAACTTTTTTTGTATCAAAAAAATGCTATTGCAAGTAAAATGTAATCCAATATTTTTATTTATACATTTATAGCAAGATATATTTGAATACTATGGCTGCATTTTTCAGAAAATTTGAAAAGGACATCATACATTCCAGGTCAGTATAGGAACCTACCCACATGTAGTGTGCTCTTCGTTTTTACCTCCCAACTCGTTACTTTTCTTTATCATCCCAATACACCAGTTTACAGTTGTATCAGTGCGCATGCGCAGACAGTTGACCTCGGGTCATTGGCCCTGAATTCAGGGCCAATGACCTTTGACCAGTGGTATTGATGCGTAAATGAAGATTGCGCCCATGCAAATGATGATTTGCGCGCACAACGCAGCGCGTAGGCAGTGATATCATCATAATTTGCATGGGCGCAATCTTAATTTACGCATAAATACATGACCTTTAGGTCATTGGCTTTGTGTAAAATGGCGCACACAACCGTAAACTGGTGTATTGCAATTGTTTTTCCCTGTCTCTCACATTCTCTTTCCTCAATGTTTTAGCACTTGAGTTCATTTACCTGAAAGCTACTGTTCAATCACAATGTCCCCCTCCCTCTCCCCCTCCTTTGGTTTCATGTGAATGAACTACTCAATTTCTCTCCACAAGTTGAGCTTGTTCAGATATGACTCTGTATGGTATTGCTCAAATAGATCAAACTGAATCCATTTAGATGAAAATATCAATTCGATGATCAGTGGGTTCGTTGTAATATTATCCTAACCTCCAGAAATTTCAACAAAATGTCAATTTGATTGAATAGGGGCATGAACTGGCTTTGTCCTGGTGACATAGAGCCACCACAGTCATGATTCCCATAGCTTTACCCATATTTTCGTTTTCTAATAATAATTGGAATAAATATAATGCAGAAGAATGCTGCATTATTGTAACTAGGTTTCCTTGTAGTAGGTCGGAAATGTGTATATTTGAGGAATTGGACAGCCATGAGTGTCACATACTTCAAACCATGAAGAAGATGATATTTTAAATCATGTTTAACAGAGTGTAGCTTGGTAAAAACTGGTTAACGCCCTTTACGTCTTCTTTTGGACAACTGCACGTAAACGAATAGCGGTAGTCAGCGACTTAATCTCTACATGGTCGGCGTTCGCGAAACAGACCGCGCGTGATTGCTGCGGTCGTGTCGTCTGGAGTCGTATTGTACCCAATTGGTCCCAAGTCAGGCCACGGGAAAGACATGTAGTCTCGTCAGGCTACTCTCCCCTTAACACTCTGTGACCATGAGGAGGGACAAGTGGGATCAAAGTGAGCTCCATTCAAAACATACCCGGTACCTTACTATATCTCTCCCTGAATAAGATATGGTCTAAGCCGGGAAATAGAATTACTTCCCAAGTAATTAATAGGGTATTCAACTGAGCAACCGTTTATTTAATTTGGGATGATTTTACCACATGCTTTTTTCTCTGAAATGAAAAATGCGTTCTTGAAACAAGTATTCTGGATGTTGCTTCTGGATGGTCTTTTGTGTCAATTTTAACAATGTATTCAAAATTGAGCAAAGATAGTATTTGTGGTCTCTGTGGTAGGTAGAACTGACAGAGCTGACCAACAAAGTTCAAACTTTCTCAATAAGGAACTGGATTTCCAATATGACCATTCATATTTAATAAAATCAAATTTTTTTGTGTGTTTTTTACTGTTAAAAAGTATGCTTCACTTGATGTAAATGTTAAAGGGATTTAGACATAGTACTGGGTTCTGTAGCTATCAATCTCATTTCTACATACCAGTTGTTAAGGAATGTGGAATACATCTGTATAACTAGATGAGTGGTGCTGTTGCTCTTTGGAGCTTGGGAAATTTCTTCTAAGAAATGCATTCTTTTGATATAAAAATGACCATCTCAGTTAGACTTTGAATAATTGCAGATCTTTGTTTAAATATGACAATCTGGAAGGACTTTAAGGCACTCTCATTTCCATTGCAAGCTTTTAATCATTTCAGGTTTAACTTGAAATAAGCAGAGACCGTTCATTGTTTGAAAGTGAATTGAAAATGACATGAATTTACAATTTGCTTCAAATGGTCGGCATGTAATGGGGGAAAAGGACTTCATGAAAAGTTTCCCTACAACCATGTTAGAATTATTTAACAAATCTTGGCAAATTTGATTGAAAATTATGTTATACATTTTTTTTCCTAATTTGGTAAAATTCTAGATTATGGTTGCATTTAGTCCATAATTGTTTTTAGAACCAACAGATGACTTACTTTCCCTATTGCTCATGTTTTCTGTTGTAAACCCCCTTTTCACAGAGGTGAAATGAGGGTGAAAGATAGAAGAGATGGTATTTGGTCCCACCTGTTGTGACTGGTCTTATTAAGAACCAAGCTTGTATGTATTGAGAGGTTTTTGTTGTTGTTCGTTTGGTATTATAATGGCTATTAGTCAAATTTGACTATTGTTGCCAATTTCATCGCATCTCTTTCTTTTAATGTCTTGGTAAAATTATTATTTCTTTCTTTCTTTTTCCAATCTCATTTTAATATAATATTAGTCATAGTCTACAAAAAAATAAAAACAAAAAATTATTTGTAAATCTATGGGTAAAACCATGTACAAATGTAAATTGGAAATCATGTCTATCTTTGCACTTTGAAACTTGGGTGTCGTGTAGAGACATGTGTGTATATATATGTAAATATATTTTTTGTACAATATCTGAAAAGAAATGATTATTCCTATATCAATATCAGGTTGATGTAAGTATATGGTTTTGTTCTTTTTTGAATGACATCTGCTTGTAGAATAAGACCACTTACAAAAACTAGCCCTTGTCTTTCTGTACAAACTTGTTTGTACAGGTACATATTACAAAGATAAGTGGAAGATGGAGTGTGGTATTGGTCTATAGAGAAATGTATAACGGGGGGATGGACGGATGCTCAACCAGAGCAAAGTGCAAGAACCCTGTACTATTTGTTAACCAACCCCAAATTTAGAGTTTGATCCAGTGATGTGCGCTTTGTATGTATTTAATTGTAAATTTGCCATCATGGATTTGATTTAGCAGCTACATTTATATGCATAGAGTTTTAAAATGAATTTCACATGGACAGACAGGCAGACATGGGATATTGGAACTGGAGCTTCGAAAAAGTATCAATTTCTGCATAACATGATTACATGGAATCATCCATTTCTGATAAATGAACTTCATTTCTTGTTCCATGTTTCTTTTCACTTTTTTTCAAATAATGCAATTTGAGGATCTACTTCCATGTTAAATACTTACGAAAGACTACATGAAATAATGCTCTTTTTCAGTTTTCAAATCAGACTATAATCTATTCTAAATATGAATATCAGTTGATGCCAAAGTGGAGCAATGTATCTGTGTGCAGGTCATAAGATAACTGTACGTCAAGAAATTGGTGTATTTTACTACAGATGTAATTGCTCTTAGCCATTTATAAAAGATTTGGTATTAAACTGGTCCACTATCCACTGAAAGAACAGTTCCTTAAAAACATTTACCCGGTATACCCTGTAGTACATTTAAAAGATGAAGAAAAAAGGAACACCATCTTGTCATTAACATCATTATTTTAGGTACTGATAGACAGAAGGAGGGGCAGATATTTAATTCAAATAGCTTCTTTAAATTTTTATCTTTCTTTTCTTTTTTGTTCATTTCTTTTTAGTGCATGTTCTTTCAAGTCTGTGATAATGCTAATTCCAAAGCAAATACTGTGATACCTGTTTACATTATCAGATAAGCTGCTGACATAATCACTTAAAGTTAGCATGATTTAAATCTTTCCAACAGACAACAAACGGGGGAATGCCTGTTGCATTTTCTCCTAATCTTAGCAGCAATTTGGAAAAGAATAGGCTCCGAAACTTTAATCTTTACTGCCATGACAAAACTGTATTCTATGATATTGGACACAGAAGCCGGCTCATGCAAGACGTGTACTTATAAAACCTTCATGCAAAAGAAGATATCACAGACTAATATACAGGAGCATTATTATTTATTTGAAGAAAAGCAGAATGGTAGGAGAAATGCATCCAATCCTTGCAGCACTGTGTCAATTTCCATTCTGAATATTAGAATATTAATACCGTAACATATAATACTGAAATTCATGTACATGTACTAGAATTTACAAGCAGAGTTTGGCTCCACCACTTCACAAGGGATGGATTAGGAATGGTATGCTTGCGACTGTTATAAGTTCCTCCTAGGCTGTAATGTATAGAGCAATGAGTTGTATCAATTGGAGTAAAGGTAATATTTGTTTTGATTATTAATCATATGGAGGCCTGTGAATGGTGTCCTACCAAAGCAATATCTATCCGTAATCAGCAGGGGAAACTTTCCTTTCAAACTTTATCTGAAATTGAAATCGTCTTGTTTTTTCCCACACCAACCTTGTTTCATCCTGTAGCTGCAATGCTAGACTATGTCTGTAAGTTTTTAATTCTATTTGTGTATTTGTAAAATCAATAGCATTTTGATTTGTGTGAGGATTATTACAGTTGTACAGATGTGTTATATGGCCATTGATTAAGCCAGACTACTTGTAATAAAATGATTTGGGGAAAACCAAATGTTACTGTCGTTATTTGTCATGACTTTCCTGTAGACTTGTAGGTTTCAGTTGTGGAGTAATGCATGAGAGTGATATACTATAGCTACTTTTTTTTGTAGTCTGAACACTGTATAAAGAGACGTATAATGAAACGCATGTTTGAACATCGTTTCGAACGAAAACTGGATAAATCATACTTGAAAAACTTTGTATCATACAAAAGTTATAAAAACTGGACGGGCTTATCATGAGCGTGCACTGATGATTGGCTAGCTGTCTGGTCAATTGACCTCTCCAAAATTTGTTTCTGTATACGATTTTGTTATGTACATGTAGTCTGTAATACTCTCTTCACTACACAGCTACACTAAGATCTTTTATTTGTTTCTTTATACAAGTTTTGAATAAATTTCTTTTTGTCTGAATAGTGCCCCCTATATGGGTGCTCCCATGCTACACCCACCACTGTCTAACAAACTATTCTAACCAATAGACCAGTTTCGTAATTTAATCCAAATTTGATGCACAAATCTTTGTTGGAGTGCCTCGTTACAAATCATTTAATTCCCCCTGTGATAACATGTGTTTCAGTGGTCAGAATGCGAATTGCATACTTTAATTGCTGCTAGGTAGGACGAACATGATGGCTTGATCATTAAAATACAATTATTTGTAACGGTTGAATTAAATAAATTGTAAGAGGCACTTTAGGATTTGTGCATTCAATTTGATAAGATTACTAGACGGTCCATTATCTTTAAGTTAAGGTCATGGCTAAGTTATCTTGTAGTTAATGACCGTTCAGACGCACTTTTGGTTACAAAACTTTGAATTCACTTGACGTTATAAACCACAAACAATCTTACAGTTAGCTCGGTAACCTCGAACAGTGAGAGGTCCTCACTGGAAGGTGCTGTGCAGATGCGATTACGCCAGCCTGGGGTTATAATGAATGTTTCCCCAACTTTTTTTTTTAATTTTTGAATAATTTTTGTTTTGGTCCCATGTGAACCCTGCCGATGGTATTGAATTGTTGTCTATAACTTTGAGGTTTTGCAAACAAAGTTTACGTCTACAAAGGCTATGCAGGTCTTATGTGAACATAGCTATTGTGAAGAGGCTAACAAACTTGTGAGCATGAATAGACACCCCTAGCTAGCATGGCCTCGCGATCACAATCACTAACTTTTAAATCCCGAGAACAAACTCTAAAAGATTAAGATTACAGATTTCTTTAAACTACACACTAAGCAAATGGGGGCAGGGTTAGGGGAGAGAAAGATAATCAATATTATCTTTTGCCACCCTGAGATTCATGTTAATTACTCCCCCCCCCCCCCCCTTCTTCTCTCTCTCTCTGTCTGCCTGTACGTCTGTCTCACTCTCTGTGTCTGCCTCTACCTCTCTCTCCCTCTCTCTCTCATATAACCTGTTCGGAGTGAATGAAATTTATATGGGACCTATATTTTACAACATTGTATGAAGAATCATGTACTGTTCATGAGTGTACAGACTAATAATCAACATTATATAAAGAAACTAGTTTTGATGAGGTCAATGGACTGGACAATCTTTGTACAATTAAATGTTCAGACGGAAGGAACCCGGCCTAATTCTCCATCTAGTTTTTGTTGTTAAAACATGCCTTTCACTATACAACGTTTCTTTATACGATGTTCGGACTAGCCAAAACGGTAATCCCATCTCGTGTAGCTACATGTCAGCGACTCTCATATAGCTAATTTCAAGGGTGTCAAGAAGGAAGAAAAAAATAGCCAAGATGTTCATGTATAATCAATCATTTTAATGTCCTGTTTTCTGCATTATGAGACAACATCATGCAAAGGAATGATTAATAGATATATTATATGTTAGACATATTATAACAATATTAGACATACACATATTTCAGAGAGAGCTGCAATCACAATCTATAAAGTTTAATGATTAAATAGGTGAAAGAAACTTAAGGGAATCATTCTCAACAATAGATCATATTAAATCAAGATCAAATATATCTCATTTCAGAATATAAATTCAAGTTAAAATTGTCAAGGCACAAATTTCATGACATAGAGGTATATATGTGAAAAAATAAAAGTTGCATTAACCAATTGGTAAACCTCTACATGTGACTTAGATATATATTATTTCATCATTAATAAAGTCATTCAATCAATGAAACAAAATCTTCAATGATTCAACAATCCTAGTTTAATGAATTTGTTGCATTAAGAATTACATCTCTCTCTCTCTATCTCTTGTACAGTCTTAAATGCAAAAAGCAATAAAATCTCAAATTAAATCAATTAATTGTAGCAGCAAAGGTTATAGTACTTGAACCTGGCAGAGGTCCTTTTAGATTGTATGCAGTAGTTTTCATAACACTGCATAGATTCATTCAACATGTAAGTCATCAAAAAACTTGATGTCTGACACTGGCAGCAGGGATTAGAAAAGAAATGCCTGAAATTTATTGTAAATAGAAGTGCTAGTTAGTGGCATTAAAAAGACAAGGGCAAATTCATCACAGACTATAATGAAGAAGTTCTAAAGCAGGTGGAGGGGTTCAAGAACAGTGGTGCCATAGTAAGCAAGGGTGGACGCTCGCAGTCAGCAGTAAGAGCAAGAGCTAAATCTGCATGGAACAAGTGGAGGGAGATAGCGGGAGTCTTCAGGGATGAATGCCTGCATGTGAAACTAAAGTACTACTATTTGGCCTTGAAACTTAGACCCCGTTCTCACTCACTTCGTTGGAGCGCTCTGGAGCGCTCTAACTAAGACCCGCTCCTCAGGAGCGGTTCTTAGGTGAGTGAGAATGCTCAAAGTGGTCCAGGAAAGCGTACTTTGAACGGAAGGGAGCTAGTGACCTTCGGTGCGAAACATGTAGTACGGTACATACGGTTTGGATTCCGCGCGCGAAAAAATTTATCTGCTGACCTGAGCTGCCATAGCAACAAGACCACTTTGACTCGTGGAGCGGTTTGAGCCATAAAAACTGCTCGGAGTGTGAACGCTCGCAAACCGTTCCTCAAGACCCGTTCCTCTGGAGCGGTCTGGAGCGGTCTAACTAAGACCACTTTCAAAGTGAGTGAGAACGGTGTCATGGACTCTGATGAAGAAGGAAAAACAAATATTGAAAATGACAGAAATGAGGATGTTACAAAGGATATACTAGGGGTAACATTAAGAGACAGAAGAAGAAACAAGGAAATAAGAAAGGAGCTAAAGGTAGGTAACATCCTGGAGTTGGCTAGGGATATGAGATTGAGATGGTTTGGACAATCGGAGTGGGCTGATGAAGGAAAACGAGCAAAAGACCGTATGACGCGAGCAGTGGAAGGAAGCAGAGGAAGAGGAAGGCCGGAAACTTGTTGGAAGGAAGGTTACTTAAAGAAGGAACTAAATCTGACAGCGGCTCAAACAGGGAACAGAAGAGAGTGGAGATTGAGGATTCGGCCAACCAACCCCTGCTAAGGGAAAATGGTTCATGGAAAAGTAATAGTAAAACTATCATTTGTATTTGTTCCTCTCTTAACTATATATTTGGCTACTACAATAAACATACCTCTTAACACCACAACTCTATTTTCTGTATATATACATAGTTGTAAAAATATAGCATAGATTAAATGGATGCAAATAATCTATATATCTGATATTATGTGAATACTTATTATGTAAAGGGATAAAATTCAATCAGCAACGGGTAATAATTTCCAAAACTCTTTGGAAGCGCATGGAGACGTTATATAATGTGATATGCGCTATACAAGAACCGAGTATCGGTAATAATATTATTAATCAATATCCCTTATTTGGTTATATATTCATATAGAAATACTTTTCCACCATTGGCCCTGATTAAATGTTATGGGGGTAAACACTGCCGAATACCCAGAAAGGGACCCCATATTTATTGATGAAAACAATCACAAGGCATACATATCTCTTTAAACTCAACCCACGTTATGATAACCGAGCTTTAATGGCATCAATTAAATGTACAATGTTATAGGCCGGATTACAATTGTATGCACACATATGAGCTATCAACGCCTACAACTGGGACTGGATCTCTTCGGTTTCTGTATCTATGATAAAGATGTCTGAGGTGCAGTCCCCTCCAGGGTAGCGCACCTCATGAGCCAGGGCAGGGCCTTCAGGATCATCTCCAAAGTCGACCAGGAAGTCATTGTTGACCGTCAGACCTCCCTTCTCGGTGTCAACGTCGAGCTGAAGGAGCACAGACCCGGTGCTGTCAGAATTCAAGATAGGTAAACATTGAATCAATAGTGGTTCAAACACTAGACTGGGGAATCAAAAAGTTGTGGGTTCAAGCCCCGAGCATGGCACTTCAATCCTTCAGCCAAAGACATTGTAGGCCATATTCATAAAACTAGTAAATGTTAGAACAAAAATAATCAATCAGTCTATGTAGAAAATGTATTAAATCTGGAAACCAACCAGTGCTGAAGGCTTATTTTGGTCTAAATCAGTGGGGCAACATGCATTTTCTCCACAGATTTTTTGTTGGGGGGGGGGGGGGGGTCGTCATATACCAATGATTTGTGACCAGCCCTAAACGTTTGGATACTCACTTCATGAGATCTGGATAGAACTGTTTGTCCCACATACTGTATAGAGACATGGTGACGTAGAGACGCTTGCCATCCAAGCTAAGCTGGATCATCTGAGTACTTCCTGTGACCTTACGACCTTTGACATAGAGAGGATCCGGCTGACTGGTCATCTCCGTGTCTTTAGTGACCTTGACTGCTCCGTCCGAGACGATAGAACCTCCAATGAAGATCTGGGACACACAAGATACAAAGTGTGAACAAATCTCAATGGTATTCCCTGTCTTCACCAATTCCCATTGACACTTTGGCACACTTTGCACATGAAACCATACAGGGGAAAAATTCGCCCCAGAAATGCTAAAAAGGGCCCCCAAAAATCATAAAAGGGCCACACACAAAAAAATCTATTTCAATGCAAAGCAAATTAAAGAGTGTTATTTTTTATGCAAGCAAGCTTGCAAAGTAGCCCCTAAAAAAAAAAATCTGGAAATGCGTGGGGAATGATAGAAAGTGTTGGGACATTAAATTTTAAACCATTGATGACTCAAGTATCTCATTCTCATAGCCTTAACATAGAGGCTATATGGTTCATGTGGTCAGTGGGTTCATAATACTAAATGCTTAGAGCTAAAAGACAGCCTTCTATCTCTTAGTGGAAGATATCTCTTCATCAATGTTCAGTTGTCATGTGAATCAGGGTTTGGACTAGCTCCCACCTACCTGTCCAACAAGCTTAGGGTTCTTGGTGTCAGTGATGTCATACTGACGCAGATCACCATGAAGCCAATTGCTGAGGTACAGAAACCTGTCGTCCATTGATATCAGGATGTCTGTGATAAGACCTGAAAAGGAGGGAAAAAGCCATTGTAAATCATAATATCAATTATTTCCTTCGGTGACCAATGCATGTGTCTTCATATGGACTTTGTGTATGCATGATAGCTAGAAATTTCACGTAAAAATGGGTAATGTTTGCAGATCTGAAAAAAGGGGTATATATATGTTTTTAAAGAGCAAGAGATATCAATGTGTGTCTCTTCACAGTGACTTTGAGTACGCAATTAGAAATTTCACATAACATGGGGGTAATTTTTGCTAATATTTGCGAATAATAAATTGTTCACAGGTTTGAAATTAAGGGGTCATATTGATATTTCCTTGAATATTGAGGTTATAGGCAAAATATTTATATCTTTGTGTTTTAAATGAGCCGTCATATTAATTTTACTATTATTATGCCATACATGAATTCTACTCTTAAAAATTGTCACAAACACATCCAAATATTTGTTTAGATGCATAATAGCAATATAATGAACAAAAGGGGTTATCATAATATATTCAAATATATAAATATTGAACAAAGCCATTGAAAATTCAATAAATCTTGAACTTTGAGACGTCAAACGTGTTAAGCCAAGTGCACGTATCACATACTGTACGAGCTGACCTCAATGCCATTTAGGCAGAGTTTGCAATAGCATGAAATATAATATAATATAATATAATATAATATAATATATAATATATTATATCTCTGAAATGCAATGTAAAATTTCAATGATCGACATTTGGAAAAGTTATATGTATATACTAAAATCAAAATTTGAGGGTGCATGCAACAAGCTTCCATGTAAAAGGAAAGTCAAAATTGCCCTAAAAATTGGATTGTGTTTGAGGTGATAATTGTAAGAGCTAAAAATGCCAAATGTTAGATGTAAAAATATCAGATGTAAAAAATGTCAAAACCAAAATTGTCATATGGCATATTTAGAAGGTACTTAATGTGTACTTATGGTAACCCACATTGTTTGATGTAATGGGATGGGTTATATGTCCCCCTAACACCAATCTGCCAATTAGCCTTTCTTGTTTCATATGCTTCAAGTTCTCAGTTAGCCAGGCTATAGTGTCTGTCATCATCCAGACCTGAATATTATAGTCGTTGATTGTGCACTAACCTGGCATTTCAGGCAAGGCCCAATTATCCACAGTCTTGGGAGGGATGGTGATCACTTTCTCTGCAGCCCAACTTCCATTCTGAGTCCAAAATAAAACATGGATTCCTTTAAATATCTTGTCATGTGAGACTATATCTGAAAATAACATTAAATCAATTTACTTTCATGTACATATTATCTTTACTCAACCAGTGTAGACTCAGACTCATACAGTATCTCTGACATGGCATTACAAAAGTACCTTGGATATAAAGGTCCGATATACATTTCCTAAAATCATTCATAAGATATCATACGTATGAAGAGGAAACATTGACTTCCTACACCTTCACTAAGCATATATTCCTACATTTTGTACACTTTACGGACCACTTTCAAATCAGCAATATAAAGACGTCTGATTTTCATATTTCTGTCACATATATCACTCTTTACACCAATAGTATAACCAGCCTGCGCTGTTATGTAAAATCTCAACCTCCAAAGAAATTAGACGGTAAAAGAAATTACCCAAACCATGACTATATCTTAAGAGATCCTAATTGACAGACTAAGAGATGTTGTTAATTCATTACAGACTTTCTTTTGGGATATTTCTATATATTATCCATCAATCAACACAATACACTATAGTTTTTGAGAATTATTCCTCATTCTTTGTTCTAAATGCGCTATTTAACATTTTCACAAAGTCAATAAAATATTTCAGATGTATATTCAATTGGATAGGAATGTAAGAATAAAATCTTTGAAAGTTAGACAGATATCTATATATAGTGTAAAATTGTTAGTTTGTTTTTAAGAAAAAAACTATGACACATGTAACCCTATAATCATATACATCATAGGAACTCAAGTTATTTCTAAGAAATTTCATACCACAATCAGAACCTTGATTATCATGCTTCTTACCACCATTTAGCCATTTTTTCAACATGCATTCTTGGAAGTTATAAACAATACCTTTAAATGACTCTTTCATTTATGCAACATAATTTAATCAAATAAGAAGAAGGGGGAAAACGTTATAAGATCTTAAAATGTGAAATACAAACTGGACCTTTTTTTGCCAACACAGCATAATCCTGGTAGAGTAAAGGATAGAATAGAAGCAAGAACAAATAATCAGGATTCCCAGGTCTAATTGTTTGAATAGTTAAACAAACTGAGCATGCTCAACACATGATCCCTTTTTGACCTGTTTCCAGACAGAGACGATATAGTATTTCAAACTGTAAATACTGACGTGTCTTTTTTTAATGACATTCAAGTTGGACGGCATTAAACCTTTGGTGTGTGAAACGTGCAAGCACTTTGCCAGTACAATTAAGAAAAAACCTATACACTTGGTCATAGAGTAAGCAAATGTTTGGTCAATTAGGTAAGAGCCCTTACATCATACCGTATCAAACTATAAATATTGAATACGCAGCATAATGATCACAATCCCAGACAGCCTTGAACTTTGAGCCGTCAAACGTGTTTAGGAAGTCTTACGGATTGCTGAGTGTCATTTTCAAACCATAAACAAATTTCCTCCTGTACGTAAAACCTGCCTGTTTAATATATTACTCTTCTTTTACTCTCAAGAAAGCTCCTCTCCAATTTACTCTGTTCAGAAAATGTTTTCATAAACTCTAATTTCTTTAGTAATTGATGATAGAATAGATTTGTTTCATACCAGTGTTGTATAAAAGCACATTTGCAATAATAACATTTAGGTTAAATATATGATTGAAAATTTTCTTAGAGGCATCGTGTAACAATGTTAAATCTGAGATGCATGGCCCAACGTGTTATCAGTGTCTGTGATATGGTGTAATACTGAAGCCCTAAACAAATTGCGCTTCAAAATGATCATGAAGTGCCTCAAAAAAGTTTTAAAAATCTTTAGGTGAGCGGTTTTACCATACTCATTCTCCCAATAGACTGACTGACCTGAAGGTTTATAATTATCATTGCAGCATGAGCTATATCCAGGATTTTGTTTCAGAATCTGAGACAAAATTACCCAATCCCTTTAAGGAATAATATAGATTTTAGAAGTTTTTAGTTCAGGTCAAATGGGAGGGGAGCTCGCAAGATATGTCACAGAGTTGCCAATTTGTGTTTAATTGATTGCACCTTCAAAATTTCATGACTTTTTTTTGTTTTAATTGTTTTTCTCAACCTTTCACTTACCATACCTGTTTCTCTCATGTTATTGCCTCTATTATTCAAAATTTCATGACTTTTTTTGTTTTAAATTGTCTTTCTCAACCTTTTACTGACCTGTTTCTATCATGATTATATTGCCTCAATCAAAACCAACCTAATATCAGGGTGGACTTCCCCTTTAAACATATTTGATTTTACACGCCCTCAACGGTGAGTATGAGAAATTGTTATCTGCGCTATACAGTTTTCAACAGTGTTTGACCTGATCAAAAAAAATATCAGTGGCAACTTGTTGATAAAATCGCTCAACCATTATATAATTCATAGGAGGAATGTATCAATAAACTGAGTGGTATGGTGAGAAACTAGACAGATATGTTAACAATATCTATAGAAAAGAAATATGCAGCGACCCTATCAACACAATACAATCTGTCAGTCCATCCTAGCCTTATGCATGCAAAGAAAACTGGCCCTTTACGGCATATATTAGCTCCTGCATCCAGAGATCTCCATGAATCCTTCTTATATTACAAAACATGATTGTCTGTATAAAAACATAAATCATTTTAGCGCACTGATGTTTTTGTAGAGCACATTGAGATTTCACTGCTATAACATTATGTGATATCATTGTATCCCTTCCTATCTTACTAAACAATCTTTTTCCATCCTTTTATTTCTCTAATGATCCTTCTTGGCATCTGTTTTGAATTACAAAATATTTCACTTTCAGAATGTCTCAAATATCCTCCTTTATTTTTTTGTAGAATATACAGACTGAAATAGAATCCTGTCATTTCTCTTTAACCCATTTGCTTTTGTTTTGTTATGATTTTATTTTCTATGTGTGTTTCCTTTTTGGTTTCAAGTTGCATCTCATGATCGACATACAAGCTAACGTTACTATGGATTCCTGTCAAATATCTACCATCATTTGTAGAATCCTATGTTGGAAGATATAGCATAGGCCTACATTTTAATGAGTGAGAAATTGAGTACCTTTCATATATTACTAGTACAGTAGTGCATGACTGTATACAAAATTCAATATGAAACAGAAAAAAATATCATGTACCAGTACATAAATGTGACAATTTTGATTTGATTTTGCCCTAATTTGGGTTATAATTGGTATCAGACTCGTATAACATATAGGAAGTTACACCAGGGAGGTGTGACCTGGTTACACTAAGAATTATGATGAACTACTATAAATGCATTGCAACCCTACTATCAATGTACATCCATTATTTATTCCCAGGGCTTGCTGTGAAGGTACTTTAATTTACGGTAGGTGTTTCTACAGACTATAAATATAGAACGGTTTATTTTTACAGCTTAATAATATCGGAGGAATCCCCCGAATGTGAATGGAAGATCAAAGAACGTAGGAGCTCATGCTATGGAGGGTCATGCAGTTCTCATGATAAGCATATAGCCATGATGAACTGACACAGACACGATACGTAAGTCTTTGTTTTTAAAAAAGCAATAAAATAATTGTGCAAATTGCAAATTGTTTTGAAAGTATAGCACAAGACAGGGTAGAAGTCGAGTATAGTAATGCCTGATAAAATGCTAGAATTGTTCCTCATTTAAAATATTCATAAAACATTGACTGAAGAATAAGACAAACTTACTGGATTCTTGAAGTATCTGAAGACAGTGGAAGCTAGGGCACATCCTACAAATCCTTCGGCGGCTCTTGGGTTATGAAGGAATCGAATCTCAAGCGGTATGGCACCCTCATCGCCTAGTGGAATCTCTTGAAGATATCTGTGAGTCGTCCAATCCCACACATGGATACTCTTACCATACAGATCTATAGAACAAAATCAATGTCGGAAGACTGGTGTTTATAGTCCTGTTTTGATCGCCCACACATGCTCAGGCAATTAAGGCACCTGCAAATTAATACTATTACCCTGGCTCCAGCTATAAGCTGCCCTAAATAAATGAAAGTATTCAAAGAATAACTTCCTACCAGGTACCAAATTTCTACACGTGGGTTGAGGGTGGCAAATGTACATTAATGTCTTGCCAAAAGAGATTAGTGCAATGTACAGAACCACAAACCATTAGGTCCACAGTCTGGGGACCTATCCACTAGACTACAACATCCCTAGCAGACCATATCACACCTGGCAAACCACTGAAGACTGGTGTAAAATCATTTTTTAATCCCACACATGGAAAAACTTGCTATATACCATCTACAACAAAACTTTATTATATAGTAGAATAACGTAGTTAACTGGCCCATCCCACACATTAATAAGTTTCTAAACAGTTTTAACGTGGTTTCAGAATAATGCTGCAATACTTTTCTGACTGACACAAATAAAGTTGCACATTTTTCAAAACATGTTTGCAGGTATGTATATATAACAAAATATTTACCAGTTTGGCAACTAGCCTTATGGACAATATTCTACAAATCTTGAAAAATAAGCTTGAATAACATAATAAATACAACTACTGGTATTGTTATTTAATTGAAAAGGAAGGGTGTAATCAAAATGTGTTGGTTTGTTTTTCAGCACATATGAATTTTAGAACTTCATACTTTGACTTTCCGGTTTGAAATGGTGAACTGCAGTAATTCAAAGAGGGATAAGTATGGGAAGGTTATGTATAACAGATAAAGTGGAACCCCTTGAGCCCCAGATGCAACTGTAGGTGCACAATTGATCACATTATTTCTCCTTTAAAAACTAGAAGAGCTCTTTTGTCCAATCTGCTTACATTTGTACACAAAGAACAGCATAAGCTCAAACGTACACATAAGCAAACCCTTCTATATGATGTAGATAAAGATTTACGTAATGTATACACAAAGTTAAAACCAAGTAGGCATAACCTCAAACCAAAGGGTCCCACAAAATGCAAACAAACTTTAATATTTGTAATGTCTGAGCAACAGGCATATGCTTGATGTAGATAACATATGTAATGATGTTGACTAGCTGACTCAACTTTTTTGGAAATAATAAAAATATTGTCAGAACCATACTGCCGCCGTCTTTGAACGTGAGCAATACAATTATGATTCAGGCAATTGATATCCCTCTGAAGCCAATTGTACTGAAATGTTTCCCAGCTGTCTTACTACAGTCTGATTGAAGTTGAAGTATGAAATAACAGTATGGATTTGGACAGAAACTTGATAGATTGCTACAGCTGATAAATTGCTATATCATATCCAAAAACCAATCAGTTAAATGCACAAAACCACCTTGATATGAACACAACAAACCAGCAAATATAAGAAAGCAGAGGCAAATATAGCACTGAACACATATATTCCTCACACTCAAAGTAGGAATACCCAGTCCCTATGTTATATTCTCTTCTTTTCAATGAATGATAGAACTCAGATTCAAAATGTAAGTCAGAAGGAAAGAGATTAAGTGTTTATTTCATATGGAAGTGCGGTCAATAAAGCTAAATCTATATTTTGGGTGGACAATATAATCCTGCTTTTGACTTCCTTTGACTTCCTAAAAACGTACCTAGTATATCCTCAGATGGTGTTATCATTTATAAAACCAATGTACTGCATTTATAAAACCAATGTACTGCATTTACAAATTCCAATGATCTTAGAAGTTTGATGCCACATTACAATCTCCCTGTGCCGTTAAGGCAAATTAGTCTAAAGGGTTGTTACGGAGCCATCATGTCAAGAAATGGAGAATTTTGCAAAGTCATGGTGTAATTACACAAAGCAATCCTTCTGTCAATAGGTGCCCAACCCCACATGTGTGAAACCAGCAACCATGCAGAGAGGAAATAAAAAGCAACCAAATTGTATACAAATATGAACATTGAAAAAAAAGATAATCTTGTCAGACTGCATAGAAGGATCAAACATGGAAAGAAAATGAAAAACACTGCAAACAAGGAGAAAAGAACTGAGCAATGATGATATGAAAAAAAAATACAAAAACATGTTGAAAATATTTGGAGCCAGACGGGAATTAACTATTACGCTTTCACACAAAGTGAACGCCCTTCTGGCTCTGAACTGGTGATACATAGAGTACCAAAGTGCTAACGTCATATTCGCTTGTGGTTCAGGTTACTGGTTTTAAACAACAGAGACTGCTCATGAGGTCACTGCAAAATCATTCAAGATACGGCTGAAGCAGGGCAAGTTCGGTTTTGGGGGTTGGTTTGATCATCGATCGCAATAATGTTTCGCACAAAATTGTTTTGAACCAGCAACCGTAACAACTTGGTTAGTCTGTCGTCACACTTTAGTACTCTATTGGACTGAAGAAGAAGATAAAAAGGACATACTGTTTGCATAATCAGCTGGATCAAATCCTTTGAGGAATGCCTTGGGAGCACCCCATTCAGTGCTGATCATCACATTGTGAAATGGTTGATACCAGTAGTCATAGTTAAAGGGGGCATGTTCTCCATGATGCTCCCAGTTACCTTTGACCTGGAATGTTTTGCCATCAAGGAGAATGAATCCACCTGCAGGCAAAACAAATACAAGATATTGGGTCTTACAGGATTGTCATAAGTTTCAAGTTTGCAAAACCTGAAAGTTTTAAAGGACTACTCACTATTAAAGAAGAAGCAGGTTTATAAAAGGCCGGGACGACAAGTGTTCAAAGTTTTAAACTACAAACAGTCGTTGAAACAATATGCTGCCAAAACCTCCACATTAATGTCTGCATGGCCTATTAGTTAAAATTGACCAAACTATTATGAAATGGATGAATCAATCAGTCAATCAATACTTATTAAAAATAAGAGAAAGAGAAAAAAATAAGAAAACAAACAAACAAATAATTAGTCTGTATACCTTTTCCTTCTCCCTTGTTGTTATAGTCTCCCAGACAACTGATCATAATCTCTCCATTAGCAAGGCAGTGAGTTGTATGTGGTTGAGTAAGACCAGTCTGATTGCCAATGTCTTCTGGTTCAATAGTCTGAGCAGAAACACAGTTACACACAACACTTACAGGTCAAAGGGCAATAAAAAACAAGATGTCCGCAGACCATACACTAACCTGAGCTGATGAAAGTAGGGTCCTTGCAATAAGGAACCTATAGCTTCCATCCCTTTTGCACCAGTTATTAGGATTTATTGGAACATTCAGGGGTGCTGCTCCCAAATCCTCAAACAAAATTACTGTAGGTCTAATTCTTCGCATAAAAATGATTCCTACAATGTTTAGCCAGAATCCATTCCAACATTTTGGTATGAAATCATTTACTTCATGATCTATCAAGATATGAAATAAACTAGATGGAATTTTGACTGCGCGCAGTCGAAAATGATGCCTCCGCCATAGAGCAATTTAAACAAGTTTGGAGTTTAAATCTCCAGTGGTTCGTGAGATATCATGATAACAATCTCAATGTATGGCATTTCGTAAGTTGACCTCTGTGACCCTTGACCTTTGACCTACGTGCTCCAAAATCTAATCAGATTGTCTTCCTATGGTGATACACACTATCATTAAGTTTGAAGTTTAAATCTCCAGTGGTTCTTGAGATATTATGATATGGTGATACATACTATCATTAAGTTTGAAGTGAAAATTCTCCAGTGGTTCTTGAGATATCGCAATAACGATCTCAATGTATAGAATTTCATAAGTTGACCTCTGTGACCCTTGACCTTTGACCTACGTGCTCCAAAATCTAATCAGATCGTCTTCCTATGGTGATACATACCGTCCTTGTTTTCACGAAGTGACGGTAGTGAGGAAAATCGTAACGCAAAGTGAGTGCAATTTTTTTTCGCTACCGTCACTTCGTGAAAACAGCGACGATACTATCCTTAAGTTTGAAGTTTAAATCTCAAATGGTTCTTGAGATATCATGATAACAATCTCAATGTATGGAATTTCATAAGTTGACCTCTGTGACCCTTGACCTTTGACCTACGTGCTCCAAAATCTAATCAGATTGTTTTCCTATAGTGATACACACTATCACTAAGTTTGAAGTTTAAATCTCCAGTGGTTCTTGAGATATCATGATAACAATCTCAATGTATGGAATTTCATAAGTTGACCTCTGTGACCCTTGACCTTTGACATACGTGCTCCAAAATCTAATCAGATTGTTTTCCTATAGTGATACACACTATCACTAAGTTTGAAGTTTAAATCTCCTGTGGTTCTTGAGATATCATGATAACAATCTCAATGTATGGAATTTCATAAGTTGACCTCTGTGACCCTTGACCTTTGACATACGTGCTCCAAAATCTAATCAGATCGTCTTCCTATGGTGATACATACTATCCTTAAGTTTGAAGTTTAAATCTCAAATGGTTCTTGAGATATCGCGCTAACAAACTCAATACAAGGAATTTCATAAGTTGACCTCTGTGACCTGTGACCTTTGACCTACGTACTCCAAAATCTAATCAGATCGTCTTCCTATGGTGATAAATACTATTCCCGAGTCTTAAGTTTAAATCTTAAATGGTTCTTGAGATATTGTGATAACGGTCAAACGGGACGGACGGACGGACGTACGGACGGACGGACGTACGGACGGACGTACGGACGGACAACCCGAAAACATGATGCCTCCGGCACCACCTTCGGTGGCGGAGGCATAAAAATGAGGGTAACCAGGCATTTTGAAGGGAAATCCTTGATTTAAAATGGAATAATTAAAACAAAAATTCAACAGTTTTCAAGCATGCATGCATAATCCCACATTCATCTTTAAAAGTCAATTCCTATTCCCTGGTTAGATCCAAAAATACAAAAATAACACCAGCACTTTCAAGCTTGTTACGTATGTAATACGTCGTCAGAAGGCCTCGCTAAAAATTAGCTTGAAAGTACGCACAGATCATCAGGGCTTATAATTATATTTCCACCTTTGCAAAGATATCATCTGCTGAGACTTAAGAGCCACAAAGGCATTACCGGTACTATAACTCTGTCTTACACTGTAATGTGTATGGGTTAACACCCTTCTGGCTCTCAGTACAGGTGGGGGATATAGAGATAAAGTAACTACAAGGTATAATCAATGATGACAATCATGACAATCATGACATAATCATGACATTTACTTGTATGGAGTAGCATCTGCCATTTTTCTCTACTTTACCATTTTTCAAAGAATAACTGTTTCTAGAGTAATAAAGTATTTTTCAGGAGGCACAAAAACACAGTACACCTTGTAACACTGACAGTTTTCAAATCACAAACATTAAAATACTTGAACTCTGAAATGACAGCTGATAGTGAGAAGAGCTATCTGTTCCACATGACACATTGAGAGAAATGAGGCGTCATAAATGTACTGTAGAAAATATATTGGATCGATCGAGAGATGTAATAATTCCACTAGCAAACTGAACAATCTATTCAATTTAATTCAATTCCATAATTCCATAATGAAAACACTAACATCAACATGCAGTAAATATAATAATAAATATTATAAATAATTATTATATCTTGGTTGCAGTTATCAAAATACAGTCAAACCTGCTTTAGTGACCACCTGTCTACAAAGACCACCTGTCTACAAAGGCCACTTTTTGTGTTTCCCTTGGGCGGTCGCTATAGACAGGTTTGACTGTAGTAAAATATTGACAGTAAAAAGTAGGAATTTGGTTGCTGTATAAAAACCCTAGTGGGTTTGTCTCTACATCCGCCAGCCTACCATAAAATGAGATAGAGTCACATAAACAGTAAAATTATAGTAAAAAAATATCATTTGTCTTACATGGAAGATTCCAGGTCTTCTTGGATCAGTGCCGGTGTCAATGACATAGACCCTGGATGAGTAGAGGGAAGGAAGGATCAGGCGATTCCTGGACTTGGTGGTATCTCCGAAGCAGCTACTACAGGTGTTCCAGCCAGTGTGATGGAGCTCATCGTTCAGATTGGGCATGTTCAGACGATGGATGATCTACAACATCATACAAGAGGTCAACAATGATAATAATAATAATTACATTTATAGGGCGCTTTAAACAGGTGTTTCTAAGCGCACAGGTGGTGCTATCTAACTTAGTATAATTATTTAACATGTTCAATAGTTTAAAAGCAACAAAATAAAATAAAATATTACTAATACAATACAATTCAGTTGAATGGAATTAACTACTTGAGTGCGACTCCAGTATACTATAACTGATTAAAAAAGTGGGTTTTGAGAAGGGTTTTGAATGATTCATTGGATAGGGCATTTTGAATTTGGGGTTGGAGTTTGTTCCAGAGGGCGGGGGCATATTCAGTGATGATGTACGTGTCATGTATCCATATAGAGAAATGGAGATTGGAAATGTGTGCTGTTGGCTGGAGCAGACTTTAAAAGAAAGGGAGGAATGTGGATACAATACTCTGTCTGGCTATCTTCCATAGATTTTTTTCTCCAAAGTTGTACTTTGGCCTACCAGTATAATGGTGTTATTGTATTAGGTAGTATTGTATAAACACAACTGGGGCTCAAATAAAATTATGTGTCCTTGGTAAATTTGCGAGTTCATAAATGCACTGTGCAAAATGTTGTATGATATATACACTATACTTTTAATTTTTGTTTGAGGGGAGCAAAGTTTGAAATAAACTACTTTTCAGAATAGCAGACAAAGATTTATGTTTCTTTTCTCTTTGATGAAGATCATAAGTACATTATATTGATATGCTTACAATATGAGTTAATAGTAATACCTTTCTGAACTACAAATACTTTTTTTCTAAAGAGCTAATGTTCTTGATTTGTTACCATGTCAATATATAGCCTTAGTGGTCACACCAACCTCCAACTTTAGGGCAAACAAGCACATTCAGATAGCTATAAGGGTCCTCACTAACAAGTAACAGAAAAAAATTATTTTAAGATTGTGTCAAAGGGATGGTGGCCATTTCAGTTTTGGGCCAATGGACTACACTGCTAAGACCTGTGAGAATTGCCATATACCGTACATACACTGTAGATGTACATGTTTTGTATTTTCTGCTTAAAATTCAACCCTGTAAAAGGACATCAATTCATTTGGGATAACATAATATGACTTATTCACCACATTATCTAATAATTTCTTTTCTGTGCGTGGCATGGCAACATATACTATATATTTAATCAAGAAAGGTGTTTAAATAGACAGCTTTACTGTTTGTGAAATAGAGGCAATCTTTAAAACCCATATTCTGTGTAAATCACACTTTTACATTTCATGACACCAAATGTGTGTAATATCTAACATTCAAATATATATAAATACAGGTTTAAAAACAATAAAATCAATTGAAAGGCCTTTATCAGATAAAACATATTTAGTCAATACATGAGAAAAATCATGATTTTTTTTTACCTTCTTTCCAATGTTTAGCTTACTCTTTTTTTTCCCCTTTTTTTTCAAGTATAAAATGCGCATGGCATTCAATTGACTCCATCTTATTCATTGGTATTTTTGCAAGAGTTATATAGCAATGCATTACCCCCAAAATGCCATGAAATCTGTTTCCCAAGCCTTTTTTGTTAGTGTTGGACTGGTTTACTATCTGGGAAACCTTGTCTCAGTATTAAATTTGTCATGATAATTGACAGCATTATTTACTTGAATCTACATTAACACAGGTAATAAATCTTATCCTAACAATTTACTTTCGAAAATTTACCATGTAGGCCCACATAAAGCAAATAAACAGACACTATATTCTTCAAGATCTGGAAGTCAATGTGTAAATACCATACCGGTATTTCCCTAAATTCTGTACCTAAACTCCGTCTGAGGCCAAGGCCAAGGCCACTAGAATGTGGCCTCATGCAAGGCCTGCATGACTCAACTACCATATCGCCATACTGCTATGCAAGTTCATAATGTAGCATCATTTACCTGACAGAACGTGGGTGACTCTGGATCAACATCAACGGTAGCCAAGAAATCTGGCTTCTTGATAGGGGTGTTCCTACGCACAGCCGTAACGTACAAGAGCTTCTCACGTGGTGACTTCATGGCAGCCAGGGGGGTGGGGTAGCCAGGTCCCTCATTCTTGCAACAAGCTCCTGCAGAGAATTAAGAACCACTAGCCCATTAGCACCTTGTGATAACATACATACACTCAAACTCAGTCAGCCATTTATACCATCTCAAAGAAACAGCTAGGAACGTGCATACATTGTAGCCAGGGCATATAATGAGAGATATAGTGCAAGATCTTGTTATTTGATGCTATGTGAAAGTGTCTACTCTGAACTACTTTCAGGCAGATGAACTGTAAATACAGCTAAAGGAACGTCCAAGCTAGGTGATTGTCTTTTATACCATACTTTCACAACATATATCTGATCACCATTTTTAGTGTAATCACTGATTCTGTCAAGATAATATCTTGTTACATGTATTTGATGCTATGTGAAAATGTCTACCGATACTCTGAACTACTTTCAGGCAGATGAACTGTAAATACACCTAGGGGAACGTCCAAGCTAGGTGATTGTCTTTTATACCATACTTTCACAACATATCTGATCACCATTTTTAGTGTAATCACTGATTCTGTCAAGTAAATAGCCCTACTAGAGCTTGCAGTAGAGCAAATCACAAGAAAATGTTTTTAAGGTGTGAACTTTGTTTATTTTTTAATTTCTTTCTTCTGCTATTCTTGGTAATGAATAGGACAGCAAAATTCTATACATTAGACCTGCCTTTAAATGGAAGAAAAAAAAGTAAGAGAAACAGATCTGTGAAAACTGTATCTGATAAAAGTCAAACGCAAACTGGCCATTGGTTCTTTGACACATGCTCCATCTACAGTTACCCTACAGTCAGTCAGTCCAAACCACTTAACAAAATTCCTAACTTTAAGCATCTAGACCCTACACTAAAAATAACCCTAACCTAAACCATCTACCTAAACCCACTCTTAAACTCAATTTCAACTCTAACCTTACCACTTACACTATACCTCTGAAAAAATTCATCCTAGAAGCAAATGTTGGATCATAAGTTAGACTGGGTTCACAATCCCACCGCTGCCACAAGGTAATACAAAGTTTTGGTATGGGGTCATGAATTTGGTTCAAATTAAAATATATTGGAAGCATATGAGCCTACAATATTCAGTGAACGTTGTCGTGGTTGAAATGAAGTCTAAAGTTATGAAATTGTAAATAATAAACTCTTTATGTTGTATAGCTTCCTCTCAAGGTCAAGATATTAATTAAGCTATAAAACAATGTTTCTTGACTAAAATCGACCAATTAGCTATTCCTGTTTTGAAATTATATATCACAACTACATATTCTGAGATTTTCATGGTCGCAGCTACCATTGTACGGCCGTAGGCGCTATTTGAAATTTATCCAAATTTACCAGGAGCACCGGTAAATTTTTATATTAAATTTTTCTTCAAAGCAGTGTTTTAGGGGCTAAATTGTCTGTTTTTCTAATTTAAACCTGTGGAAATTTCCTTTTGAAGCTCATGTAAACCTATTGACAACCTTGATTAAATTATTATGACCATTCATAAAGTTATCAAAATATTACTGCATGCAATTCAATCAATAGATTATACACAAGTTACACAGAGATCTAGATAAAGGGGGAGAAAACAGGAGAGAGAGAGAGAGAGAGAGAGAGAGAGAGAGAGAGTGGGGTAGAGATAGAGAACAAGGGAATGAGAAATGAAGAGAGATATCTCACCTTGTATCTCACCTGACTAGTAAGTATAAGGCAAGCTGTGCCCCCCCCCCCTTTTTTTTTTTTGGTTTTGTTACTTGGTCGTGGTCATTAATCACAAAATGCCAGTCCCCTTCAAAGCTGCATAGGACTGTTACTGAAATTGCCTACTTCATGTAAGCATGGTCATGGTCGAGCAGAGATGTAGCCCCCTGAGGTTCACTTCATTAATTCTAATAACACTGCAAACAAGGGGCAGGGACTTAGGCAAACAAACTCTTATGGTCAACATGGTGGACATGCTTTATAAAATGTTTACCAGAGGCAATTCTGAAAACATGGTGGAGGGGAATTGATTTAGTTCTGGCAAGTTGCAAATTAAAGAACTCTGGTAAACTAAAAAAGAGCTCTGTTTACAAAACAAACAAACACAAAAACCGTAATATTGCTGCAAGAAATTGCAACATTTTACGAAACCAAATCTCTAAAAGAGCTCATGTGGTGTGCATGGACAGTCAGTAGGCCCTAACTATATTTTTACACTGGTGGTAGTGTGCACCTACATGGCATATGTGAATATGAAATTTGAATTAGAGTAATTGGCCTAAAATAGAGAAACAAGTAAGAACCCTAAAATATGCCTTCTATAGACTTGATCCACCAGTGTTAAGACATGGAAGAGAGTTTTCGTCAGACTTCATACAGAACAGATGACATTATACAACCAATCATGACAACTCCAGGCATATTTTTTCACCTGTGTCATAAGGTGGGGACATTCCAATTCGGCTGATAAATGACCATCAAAATAGATTTTATGTCAAAGTCATCCTATTGTCTCCTGGTAGAAAATATATAGATATTCAATTTCATATTGTTTGTTGAAGTACCTTTGAATTCAACTTTTTCAAATTCCAGTTGCTACTGAAATACCCATGAGAGGGAGAGAGGCATAAACGTTTCGCATAAAATTTGCAGTCTCTCCCACTTTGGCACACCCAATGTTCAAGGAAAGGTTTTTTGTATGAAAAAAAAATGCATAAAAAGTTTATACATATGAAGTTTAAGCATAAATATAACGAACATTAATACATTATGAGTTATGCATGAAAACTTTGCAACTATGCGTAAAAAGTTTCAGTATCAAAAATGTATGCATGATATACAAACCTACAAACCTAAAAAAAATGATGAATAGAATTTATGCATAAAAAATATAAAAAATAACTTGTATGCATCAAAATTAACAAATTAAAAGTGTATGCATCATCAACAATTCATCATCAATTCATCATCATCTTATGCTCCCTCCACTATTTCGGAGATCAGCGATCCCAGGCCATGGGCTGCAAGATATATAACTAATAAACTGAACATATATATGGACAAATATGGACTGCTGGACCTATAACTAAACATATTTGATAAGAAATATTATGCATAAAGGTTATTTCGCCTGAGAATATCTTACCACATATATAGTTAATTATTTCCTATTTGGCGTGCCGTACACTCATGATGCCTACAAACAATACATCCCAACAAAAGCCGAATAAAAGTCAATAGACACAAACGTGGATAGCCATCGACTCATCACTTCTTTAGACTAGTTGTATTTCGTCTACATTAAAACAATCACACTCAAAAAGTTAATCAGATTAAATGAGAAATACCTGAAGTCTGCATCTTTGTAGTAATTTTGGTAGTATATCTGCAAAACTGTATCCTTCCTAGCTTCTAAGCGACCAAACACACTTGTTGCTGCTCCGGTTAGAGCCAAACACACAATGAATCCAGGGTCTTCACTGCATGCACTGATTACTGGTGTTATGTCCTTGGAAGAGTTGCCTACCGCAGCTAACGATCACTCAACCCACCTCGTAGTCTGAAAACACGGGCTAATTTCTACACTTTGCAAAAGATTCATTATTTTAGCCATGCTGCATATTTTAATTTTTTACTGTATATTTATTATTGGTGCATATAACACTGACCAGGTAAAATAAATGTGGCTTGACCCAACATGACGGTGGATACGCTTTTTTTTTAAGCACGGTTTTTTTTAATTATTATTATTATTAAAATAGAGCCTGCAAATTAAGGCTAAAGTACCCCCCCCCCCCCCTCTACTCTTCCCCCTATCACATTCTCTAAATTTGACACTTTCACACTTTACCTAAAGTATTGAATAGAGCCTAGATGTGCCAGTTTCTGGCTAATGTCAAACCATGGACCCTTCGTAGTAGGGTCCATGGTCAAACACTGAACTCTACACTAGCTGGTGTCGAACCGTTTCAGGACAATTCCCCCCTGGACAATCACTGACCCCAGAAAACTACCCCCCCCCGGAAAATTATCCCCCTTCCCCTGAGGACAACCACCCCAAAGGACAGTTACCCCCGGAAAAGTACCCCATTGGACAATTTCCACCCCCCCCCCGAAAATTACCCCCTGTTCGTTGAAGGGGAAGCTCACCATAAAATATGTTGGTTTTAATATTAAAAAGGAGTTTGTTTTTGTTTTGTTCGGGGGTAATATTCCCAGGGGGGTAATTTTCCTGGGGTAAATTGTTCTCGGGGGTTGGTTGTCCCATAGACAAAAAAAAAAGACTAAAATTGCAATCAAAATTGACATTTTAGTCTTTTTTCTTCTTTTTTATAAATAAAAGATGGGCGCATTGAGGAGTTCACCCAATGGACGTGTAACTAACAAATTTGATGGAAAAACACATGACAAAATGTTTGAAAGTTTGTCTTCTTCTTTTTCCCGTCTAAACATTAAAAACTGACAATGTAATCCTATCTTTACTGACAAGTCCTACGAAAATATCATAAATCTTCCAAAACGTTCAAAAATCAAGAATTCTATCAATTACATATTGTCACAAATACCCCCCTCCTCAGGGGGTACAGTGCCTATTTTAGTCTCACTTTTCAGACACTGTTACCCACAAATGACTGACAATACAAGGGGTTTTTCCCTTTGCAAAGATCACTCATCCATTAATCGAAGTACGCCCATGTGAGGTAATAGGGACTTTTAATGGGGATTGCTACGATCGACGTCCTTTTAATGCACTGCCTTGATTTGAATGGACGTCACACGTATCAGTCCACGCAAATCTAAAAGTCAATTACGGCTTAAACTACTATACCCCGCTAATCTTGAATTCTGGCGAATCACCATCCTGTATTTTGGACCACTGACCACTGTCATTTCAGCAAGTCATGTCATATTTGCCACAGTGTGTTAGAACAAAACCAAAGGCGGGCGCTATATATTTTTCTCTACATGACATAATGATTCTTTATATGACAGTCCCACGAAGCATTTTTGAAGAAATTGAAAAGATTTCTTTTCATTTTATTGGGGGAGGTAGAGAAAGAATAGAACGGAAAATATTATATCAGGATTACTGCTTTGGGTTTATACTCAGAATAACGAATTTCAATTTATTTGTGAAAACGCTTGCTCTATGGAGAAAAGTATTCAGGTTGGAAAGTAACCTTTGACCACTTTTTCAAATCATTGAATGGTCGAATTTTAACTTTTTGTAATTATGACATAGATAAAAATGGATCTGAAGGGCATACCCTTTATTTATAAAGACGTGTTGAAAGCATGACAAGAATTAGATAAGTGCAGACGTTTTGGAGAAAATAGGAATAATCCGGTTATTTTTAATAAAAAGTGTGTACGTCTCAGCAATACAACATTTTTTTATTTAGATAATTTAAGAAAGGTATACTTCAAGCATCAGATATAATCGTCAGAGGTCATTTAAAACCAATCTCACATTTTTATAATTTGGGTTTTGCAACTGAAAGCTTGCTTAAAATTCAAAATATCTTTTCAGCAATCAGAGAAGAATGGATACAAAGTGATTTTATGGAAGTGGACACTTACAATTTTGAAATAGAATTGATGATATTTGGACGTTTATAGAAACTATGTGATATAAATTCTAGACGGTTATATGAAGTGTGACGTCATCAAAAGTCTATTAAGAATTTTTCAATTTGTTTTCTTCATTTTTCGAAAGAGCATCAAAAATAATGTCCAAACTTCGAAAACCAATTGAATATGTTAAGTATTTGGCTGAGATATGACCATCTGAATAAAAAGATTTTCTATTGGAGCTCAGTGTTATTTTGCTCTGGTTCATAACATTACGAGCCAGAGCAAAAAAACACTGAGCTCCTATAGGAAATCTTTTTATTCAGATGGTCATGTCTCAGCCAATACTTAACATATTCAATTGGTTTTCGACGTTTGGACATTATTTTTGATGCTCTTCCAGAAAATGAGTAAAATTTGAGAAATTCTAAAAATAGATTTGTATAATGTCACAGCTTCGGTACTCCAAAAAGATTACACATTAGCCTACATGTTACAGACGGTAACTGTCAATATGAGCTTGGAATGAGGGAATTGAAAGAAACACTCACAAGGATGAAAATGTGCAATGTTATATAATAAACAAAGAGAGTTTTAATACAAGCAATTGCAAGGGGCTGTATATACGAAAAGAGAGCTAATTAAATTTGGTTTTGAGTCAGACCATGTTTGTAGAGTAGAAAAATACAAACATTTATTTTTAGATTGTCATGAAGTAAAACGGTTATGGCAGGAGGTCATGAAAAAGTTACTTTAACCGAAGTTAAATGATGATTGGAAACCCATTTTTATGGGAATATCCGGCAATACTGCTAGAATACTTGTAATAAATTGTATTATATTTCTAGCCGAGGGGACACACGGGGGGGGGGGCACCGTGTGGGAAAGAGAACATATATATATATATATATATATATATATATATATATATATATATATATATATTAGTCCCCCCAAAATCGGAACGACTCAACCAGCCGCTGAATAAGCGGGGGGGGGGGGGGGGGTAAGAGAGGACACTTTTGGTCACGAAATTTTTAAATTTGACATTTTGCTCCGTTGGGGGGGGGGGGGTAAGGTCACCTTTTTAGGCCGGCCATTGGCATTTTTTAAATTCTTTTATTTGTTTATAAATAATGCCCCCTGTGTCCCCCCCCCCCCCTGGATCCGCCACTGCTAGTAATGACTATATATCTTTTTGTTCCTCCAGAAAACAAGGAACTCCGCCATCCATACAGAAGGTAATACATAATAAAAGATTACAGAGACGAGGAATATAAAATAGCCTTCAAAAAGGGAAAACTGGGGATGCACTTACAGAAATGGGAACAAATCGATGCATTTTTACTTTAATGGATGTGTTTTTTTAATAATAATTTCTCTCTCTCTCTCTCTCTCTCTCTCTCTCTCTCTCTCTCTCTCTCTCTCTCTCTTGTAGTAGATCCATGGGTCGACAAACCGGAACAGATTGCATGCAGTGTGTGTGCTAGGTATGTAAGGGGTGTGGGATGGGTGGGCCAAAAAAAAAAGGGGGGGGTGTAATGAGTTTGTGTGGCGCGAGTTGAGGTTGTGCGAGTGTGTGATTGGGTGGGACTATGTTAATTCATACCTTCCGCTAATGTTATTTTTTATTATAAACTGTTATTATGAAAGAAACAATGAACAATCATGTATAATTTGAGATTTGTCTATGTTCATTGTTCATTGATTGATGTAATTCATGAAGTATCTTGTATCGAAGATCTTGTTTTATATTACTTATTGTGGTAATTTCTTTTACATAGTGAATTTATGAGGAAGGAAATAAAATATAATTTAAACAGAAAAATAATTACTGTTTGTTTGTTTGTTTGTTGTTTAGGTTTATAGGCGTTTATCATTCAGGAGTGAATATTTACGCCTGTCTGTTTGGATTTGTTTTCTTTTCAAATTAGATTTGCTTTTTTGAATATTATATTTGGATAAATTGGATTTTAAAACTGTTTATTTAATGTCAAAGTGGTCAATGGCTGACGAGCAAAAGGCCTATCGGCTCAGCAACTTCTTAAAAACCTAATTACATTCGTTTAGTCATTTAGTATAGAGAATGAAGAAAACGGGCAATCCAACTTTTACCAGAAGTTATAGTATGGATACAGAAACAAATTGAGCTATCAATGTATAAATGGAGATCGTTATCAGTTTGTTGTGAATATCATAGAATAGACCGTTTTACTAACATATTCAAATTGTATGCATACTTTTTAAACACTGAGGTTGTTATTTCTTTTGGGTAGATAATTCGTGGCTTGGCAGTCCTGTACTTGATCAGATCATCCAAGTGCAGGGCCCCGTCTGGTAAAGAGTTTGTATCAATCGCAACTATGTACATAAGATATTGGAGACTGCAAACTTGCTATTGATTGGAGGACTTGAGTTGTTTTGGATCAATCGCAACTCTTTAAAAGATCAATAGATATACCCTGTCAGAATAAATAGATAACCAAACTTAAGGATAACTTGTATGCCCGCCCACCTTTCCACCCCACACCCCCTCTACTTCATTATTCTTCCCCGCTTGACGTCAGCTATAGGACTCACCCAGTGGCGGATCCAGGGGGGGGGGGGGGGGGGCGGGGGCCCGCCCCCCCCCCCCCTTTGAGAAAAAAAAAATCATGTAAAAACACGTGATTTTTAACTTTTTTTGGAGTTGGGTGCAATTTTTTTAATTTTCGAGGACCCCCCCCCCCCAAAAAAAAAAATATATATATATATGCTCACTTCCCCCCCCCCCCCCCCCCCCCCTCCTGAGCGACTTTTCGGCCGGCGCGATTTTCAAATTTTCGGGAGCAAAAAAAAAAGAGTGGGGCCCCCTCTTCAAGAAATCCTGGATCCGCGCCTGGACTCACCTCAGACCTTGCAGGACCCAATAGACCATTTTCGAAATGTAATCAAATTAAATACCTAAATCTTTATAAAGTGCCTCTTTACAAAATATTTCATTCAACTGTTACGAATAATTGTATTACAATAGTCAGAATGCGAATTGCATGCATTAGTTGTTGCTAGGTAGGACAAACAAAATGGTTTGCACTACCTAATAACATGTAACATACGCAGTTTGCATATTTATTGTTAAAATACAATTATTTCTATCAGGTGAATTCGTAACAAGGCACTTCACAAAGACTTATGCATTAACTTTGGTTACATCAATAAAATGGTTTATTTTAATTTAGTTTTTTTAATTTTCCGTTCGACTTGAGATGGCTTTTCCGCACAAACTCCTCGGGAGGTAACAAGAATGAAATGCCGAAGTATACGGTACACCAAACAAGTGGTGATGGATCGATATAGCCACTGAAGGGATCTCATTGAATATCTGGGGAGCGCATTGGTCTTGCAAGTTTGAAAAGGGCTCTTTGTATAATTTTCTTTAGTGTCTTCTTTCCCTTTTCTTTCTTCTCTCCCATTTTTTCTCTTTTCGTGATTATTTTTTAAATTTTCATTATCATTAATATTATCATGTATATATTTTTTAATATTTTTATTTATTCATTTAAAAAAAAAAATAATAATTTGTATCATTATTATTTTTTTGTTGGGGTGGGGGTAGGGGGAGGGGGAGGGGGGACTTGGATGGAGCTACTAGCTATCGTTGTATTGTCTTCCTCGGATCGTCCCTCAAGTCATTTCTTACCTAGTCATTGTGGTCGCAGAGAAAAATAATGAGTTACCCCATCTACGGCAGAGTGCTACACTACCTAAGAATTATCTTCCACTTCACATTTTATTCCTTTTTAATAGTCTACCTCCTAAATATGTACAACATTGCTACATATAAATTTATAAAACTTTTTTATTTAATCTTACCACAATAAATGCCAATTGTTTATTTCGAATTAAAAAAGGCATGCAGGATGTTGTGTGAGAGCTATATTTTCCGTGATCAAGTAACCATACAGTGCGTCCCAGAAAAAACGAAACCGAAAACTATCGATGTTTTATCATAACTTAAATCGCAATTATAATTAATAAATTACACATATTTGGAAAGCTTAGATCCTCCTCTTTCATTTGATGCAACTCATATGATGCATATTTCACGCATGAGTGAATAAAAGCAATTTGAAGAGAGGAAACCAAAAAGTCATTTGGCGGGCGGTATCTGAATTTTAAAGGGAAAATCACATTTCTAGAAAGTTCAATTCCTGCCCTTTCATATGACACCTCAATCAGGAAAAATGAGCCAGGAATAACAAAGTTCTGTTTGTTTAAAGTAATGCTTGCACTGATTTCCATAATTTTATCAAACGGGTTCGTTTTAACTGGCTGCCTGCCGTTGCAACGAACAGAGTTGACAAAAGACTTAACTCCGTTTCGTTGACGATCAGCCATGCACAAAGAAGACGAAAGACCTGATGCATTTCGGGCATTTGGGAAGTTTGAAAACTTTGGGAAGTTTTCTCCACGGCTTGATCAATATTTTGGCTATGAAGCCACCATGTATTTTTTCATTTTATTTATATTTCACGGGCCGGACGCATCGAAATCTCCAACCAAATTTCAGTACCAGTCTGCCTGCCCTCCGTTTTTTTTTCCTTTCTTGGATCCGCTTATACGCCTATATAACTATGTTTAGTTCTCTTATAACATTAACATAATTGACATTGACTCCCCCCCCCCCCCCCGGTAACTGAACCCTCACTACAACACTTACTGATACTCATTTGTATGCATAAAATCATCTATCACGGTTAATAATGGTGTAACTAAGACCAGGGTACTCCCTGCTCAGACTTGTCTGAAGCTAGTATAATCTCTTAATTGATAAGGGCCCCTCATCGGCAAGCTAGTAAGAATAAACCGGAAATTTGAACGGGATATGACAATTTACAGTTTATTACACCGTATGGTAAGATTTAAGAACAACGTGAGATTAGACGTCTTTGTCAAGTTATTAATCAATTATAGCAACCTTTTATTGGTGTGAGGTGACGGGTGTCTGGAACTTTTAAAGACACCTTTTCATGTTCAGTGTTAAGTCCAAAGGAGAATTGCGTTTGATTAAAATAAATTATTATCATTTTCGATATGATGACTGCATGTTAGTTTTGTTTGAGTTTGATTTGAAAACTTTGAAGTCTTCTATGCCATGAAAATGATATACAAAGGTAGGCTACTCCGCTCTGTTTTCAGATATGTGTTCTTAAACAAACCAAAATGGCGTAATGTGGGTGACCGTCATGGGATGGGGGGGGGGGGGGGTTCTTACTATAGGTGGATGGAATACAGCAAGGAGGCAACGCGACTATAGGGCGTCGTCGTTGTCACCGAATGGGACCATGATTAGTTTTCAATATTCATTGGAACAATAGAATTGCATTATTCGACTTTATCATATTCATCAGATCCATTATCATGATCAGGAGCGGTGATTTCTTTTCATGACCAAAGGGGGGGGGGGGGGTGTGAGAGACGAGCAGGGAGCATAGTGGAGGTGACGGAAGTGACTACCCCCTTACAGGTTTTTGAAGTTTTGTTGCATTAAAAACACACATTCCTTAGCAAAATTATATTGTAAAAACAAGCAATTTACTTTTTTCCACTTCACTTTTATGCGAGGGAGCGTAGGGACCGAGCGAGAAGAATTTATTAGTCTAAACGCTGCACTCTTGGGCCCTCCAGAGCCAACAAGTGTGTTGCAGTCCCCCCCCCCCCTAAAAAAAACTGAGGAGGGACGTGTCCCCTCTGGTCCCATCGAGATCGCCGCCTCTGATCATGATATCGAAGTCATTGATAACACTAATACCAACATGGAAATATATGTTGATAATAATATTTGAATAGTTTGAATTGGAAGAAATATCGCCCAAGCAGGCCATGCTTTACATATCATAATCATGTTATAGGCCTAGCCTTTACATGTATTATTAGTCAGTGGTGGCTGGCGAGAACACACCTTCAGAATTATTGTCGGGGAAGATCGAGGTCAGTCAAGTGCAACAATATTTACTTAAATAAGTCATCACTTATATAGCATCTTTTGAAGCAATTTGCAGTTCCCACGTTGTTTATTCAAGAGAACGTTCTGAGAAGAGAGAGGTGTAAAACAAATAAAAAAGAAGGAAAAGATTGTTTCTGTTATTGCAATGAAGCCGTCATCCTGAGTCTGGTGGAGACACAATGTAAATGGGTAGGCATTCCGATTTTTTCTTCAATGTGTCACGAAACTTTGAAGTTGACTTTACTTTGGATTTGGGATGGCAAACAGATAACAAATAAGTAGCAAGTAACGTGCAAACAAAACTAAAGACCTAATTGTGACTCATTGTTTGAAACAACATCGGCAGGAATAACGTCTTGGTGTCGTAAAAAAACACCGTGTTCTTGTACTATAGACTTCAGTATCAGCCTATTGCAAATCATTCTCCAGAAAACAAAACAGGAGTTTCCTCATTCCTGAAATTAATTGAGGCTTGAAGTCGGGAATTCTTGATCGGAAATAAATTGGCTATACAATTTATAAACGAAATCAACAAGAGACTCAATAATAGGCCAACCATTTTCACTTTTCATTCACCCCCATGACGAAAAAAAAAAGTTTTCTTGCATTATTGGGAATTTTGGATGACTGCCAACCAACATTACCGTTCCCTCGGTTTGGTCGGTTTGGTCATGCTTGTAAAATCAATGGTTTGGTTTTATGACTACCGAGTTCCACGTTTTTATTTCGGTGACTCATACTTTGTTGATGGCGAAAACTTTCAAGGATTCTCCTCTGTCGACCAGCTGAGCATAATAATAATAAGCGTCTTTCATTGTTGCGTAAGTAGGGCTCAGTAAGCGTCTTTCATTGTTGCGTAAGTAGAGCTCATGTAATTGTTTGCATTTCCAAGATTAGAAGAGCTGAAAGAGAGGAAATAACTTCTGAGGCATGACCCACTCGCTCCGACACTAAACACAAAAACTCTGAGTAATCGAGCATACACCTGTGCGCACAATAGAATAGGCTACCGGTATTCCTTCTTTTACCACCGCCAGTTCGCACGTTCGGTTTTTCGAGAGCGCGGCGCAGTTCACTTTTCTGCTCTATCTCGTCTGCACTCTTTCCTGACAGCTTGCCTGTGTCGTATACCCCGCCGCTGACCCATTCTGTCTTTCTCAGAAGTGGATATACCGGTCACGTCAATTCTGCTTCTTTTCCAAATTATCTCTGCTCTGTGTTTCACCGAGGTACAGAAGGAGCATACACCAAGTATTGCAGAGTGAGTTTTTTCTTCTTCAAACTTATGCCACTTTATTACTCTTAATTATTAGGTACTGCTGTTTTACCAACTTTTGACATTGTGATTATAAACAAATTGTGGACTTGTCTCGAAATCGAAACCTTGGTCAGAATCCTGCTGGAGCTGGCCGGGGCCAGGGCTGGGTCTTTGACCTCTTGGCTATGATCTATTTACCATTCTACTCTTGCACTTGAACAGTCCTGGTTTATATTGATGGAGTTCATCGTCTTGGAATGAATATACATGTTATACTTTTAGTGGAGTATGTAAGATTATTTTATAAAATAACCTTTCATAAATTTAGTGTAAAGCACTAAAGCCTATTTGCATCCTCGATCATTCTTTATCTATTTAATACCTCTAAATATTGCCTCATAGAAAAAAGGTCTCTCATCCAACTGTTTTGGTAAAGTAAGCCTCTTCAGATCAACACCCAGAGTTTTGACAAAACTTGAGTAAGGAGTTAGTTTATTCAAAGAGGCTGATAAGCCAGTCTTACAATAACCATTGCTACTTTGGTTTGTACTTCACTTTATATTTTCCTTCTCGTGTAGATTACAATTTATGTTTTTCTTCTCAATCACTGAAATGTCTGCCTGTGCATTTCTGTGAAGTCAGTGATTGACAGACATTTGTTCTTTTTGTAAATGTTCCATTCATTGCCACTGGTACAGATAAACACAGGAAATTCATTTAATAGAGAGGATGAAATGTTGATGTTGATAATGTTGATTATATTGACAGATACTTGACATAAATTCTCTTTGATGGGAGCTTGTAAGAATGAAAACAAAGCATGTTATAGGTTATTCTATTCAGAATAGAATTTGGAGGTGATTACACTGTGCTATCCAGATCATTATGCCAGGAAGATAACCCAGAATTCAACGAAATGGGTAAATGGAATGTAAAGACAAGAAATCTGAGGTCTTGATAACATGTAATCAGTATGTTTCATGCTACATTTAGCAATTGGGCATTGTTTGTAAGTCAAGAATAACAAATTTACCCCTTGCTTTATGGTATTTTCTTGCATTTCATCCATCTAATATGTGTGGGTGCCCCCTAAAAAAACAGTGCTACCTAATGGGTGTAATGCAACTAAGAGCCATGTAACTGTCACTGTTTGATTTAAATGCTCTTTTAACATTGTATGGTAGTGAAAAGCAGAAAACCTCAGCTGCTGCTCCATAATACTAAAACATGACCAATTACTGGCTGCCCTTGCAAAGGTTAACCTAATTATACCATCCATCAAATAATCAATACCAGAAACAAACAGTTACATTTTTATGGACTGAATCACGAGCCATGCCATTGATGCCAACACTTTGTAATGGACCAGAACAAATGAATACCGGTCGGTAAAGTGGGAATTCTAATAAGTTATTCAATTGTGTGAAACAGTTGGTAAACTGTAAAGTAATATTTGTGTTTTGATGGTTGGAATCATTTGCCATTATGCCATTTTTAATATTACTTCTCATAATAAAGAGAATCCTTAAGTTTTACCTTTTAGAATTGAATCAATTGTTACCGATGATTGAAGTGGTTTAATGAGATAGCAGTTTAATAACAAAGGGTGAAACATAACAAGGATTAGCTGTTTCAAGGCTATATCCTGCAAATGCACATTAGTAAGAAGTGCTTCAGCAAGGAGTTTGATTTCACTGTAAACATCTTTTATAAATGATACCTAGATGGAGAGGGGATGTAAAGAATTTTTATTAGACTTTAAATCGGATATTCACACTTGAAAATGTGGTTGAATGTTTCCCTTTCTCTACAGGATTTCCCTTTTAAGCATGTACATTTGTAAACATGATTTTACCTTAAAGGTAATACAAAGTTTTGGTATGGGGTCATGAATTTGGTTCAAATGAACATATTGGAAGCATATGCGATCCTACAATATTCACTGATCATTGTCGCGGTCGAAATCGACTTTAAAGTTATGAAATTGTAAATAATAAACCTTTTATGTTGTATAGCTCCCTCTCAAGGTCAAGATATTAATTAAGCTGTAAAACAATGTTTCTTGACTAAAATCGACCGATTAGCTATTCCCGTTCGGAAATTATATACCACAACTACGTATTCTGAGATTTTCATGGTCGCAGCTACCATTGTACGGCCGTAGGAGCTATTTGAAAAAAATTCAAAATTTACCGGGAGTACCGGTAAATCTTTATATTCAATTTTTCTCGAAAGCAGAAGCGTTTTAGGGCCTAAAATTTCTAGTGCTTTTGATACATCCACAGGGGCATCCAAATATATCAAAATTGTAAAGAATCACTGTCCACCCATTTTTCAAAATTTCCCAAAACTTTGTAATACCTTTAAGTTTTATCATATTATTAGTCATATACAGACAGTTGTTATACTTGTGAATATGTCCCCATTTCATTTGCCAGATGTTTGGGTTCGAAGACTGACATGGAATTTTGCCAAATGATTCAGAGCCACCAACCAACACATTTAATTGAAATTTAGCATTCAAACTATCTTTATGTCTACCTACCAGTACAGTATCACCAGGAAAAAAAAATAGTTTCCATTTAGAAATGATGTAGGCCCTATTTGTATAACAGGCTAATTGTGAAATCATGCATGCATACCCTTTTATTGAAATGATTGCGGATATGTACAGTGGGTTACACAGCTTGATTTTTCTGTGTAGTATGTGTCATGGTCCATATGTTTGATGACGTAAATTAATTGATTATCTTCCAGGAGGTGTGTGCTTGTTAACAATGGTGGATCCAGGACTGTCATTGTCAGGATGGGGATGGGGCTCAAGTACATAATAAATTCCTGATTTGGAATATAAAAATGGTTATCAAATTTTTTAGATGCCTATTTAAAAAATGTGCTGGGGGTGGGAGGGGGGCAGGGCAATATTGATGGGCACATTTCCCTTTTGTTCTTTGTATTTACTTTAGGTATGCCAAAATGAGTTCCCCCCCCCCCCCCTTCCTCCCCCATTTCTGGCTCTGCCTCCTATTGAAGCCTGAAGGACCCCTTTAACAGTATGTGCCTGATGGTTTGAGAACATTGAAGTTTCCGGTGAACAATTACAGGAAATACTTGTATATACAAGCAAATATTTCATATTTACATTTCCATATTTTGGTCTCTGGTATACAGTGTACTTCTTAAAATTCACAGCAGTTGTTTCAGTTAAATTCTATTACTCAAACATTTGTGAATTGTTCATGTTGCACATTTTAACATTTAATGTTTAGTCTCACTCTAATACAGAGATCTAAATTATTCAATTTTTATTCCCATGACTGAAATCAAGGAAATCTCATCTTGTTTCCTGCTATTGTCTTGCAATGCCTTGTTTTTCCTGTTGGAATCGAAAGGACTCAAAAGGGATTTAATGGGAGACAAAGTCTTCATTCGGTATTGAACCTGAAAAAAGTTTCTCTTGAAGGAAATGCATGTATGCAATCGCTTTCCAGTGATTGAAGAGAATATTTCATAACACTTAAACTAACACATATTTTAAATGCAAAACAGATCAAATTTCATGAGGCTTTCCCTGTATTCCTTGCATTTATGAAATTATACTGTCATTAATAGTACTTTACTGATCGTTGCAGGGGTCATCATTAATAATAACGGTGCTCATCGAAATGCTCACCTGTGTGTTTGTGTTTCGATTACTTTAGAAATAAAGCGATGGTTAATCCAATAATCGATCTGCAGCAAATCTGGGAGGGGGGGGGGGGTACCAGAGGACCCTCCCTTTCCCCTTCCCCCCCTGATAACTTTTGAAAACTTTTTTTTTCTGCTTGTCAATTTTTCAGACATGACGCCTACCTGGTGCCTGGTGCCTACCCTATTCCCAGTATGATTAGTCTTTGTAGAGAAATCTTTTTACTACTTACTCCCCTCCACTTTTTACATTGACTATAAAACGCAAGATTTGTCTGTTACTTTCCAGGTTGTCAAAGACCATGAGTCTCTGAAGCATCCTTCTAAACCCAGACTGATTAGATAGACTGTTGGACGAATCTCAAACTCAAGATGTGCTATGTGATCGTCACCATCCGGTCTCTCTTCTGGACCCTTCTTAGCGTCGCCATTGTCCTGGGTCACCTGGTGGCCTTGATGACATCACAATGGCTTCTCGGAGAGGAGGCAACCATCAACAGTGCCAGCAACCTCTATGAAACAAACAATTCTACTGCACCCCAAGACATGGTCGGACCAGTAGAGACCTACACACCCACTCTTGGGGTCTTCATGAGATGCGCAGAGATTTTCCGTGCTATCCAATCGGAAGGAGGATCCACTTCAAATCAAGTTGAATGCACATCATATATCAATGACTTTATGGATTTGCCAAGTGGTTTCTGGAGGGCGATGGTGATATTCTATGCTGCAGGATTCTTTGTCCTTACAGTCGTGGCATTCCTCTCGGTGTTTAGTCTCTGCTTTAGGAGTTTGTGCAAGAAAAGCCTCTTCACTGTTTGTGGCTTCATTCAAGCAATAGCAGGTAAGATATGCACAATTTTACACAAACACTATTTTTTCTTCTTTAAATAAGCTCTGATAGTCTAAATTTAGGATTGACCAGAATCATGGTAGATCAGATACCTCTGCTAAACTTTATCTATGGTTACTGCACCTATAATACCAGTAGTGAGTTTGGATTAAGAAAAATTACAAGTGTTTGATCTGGACAGACTCGATTTTATTAAGAAACACAGAGAGACGACATTAGAAGTATCCATGAATTGGTGATAAGTGATAAGTGAAATGGGCAGTGGACATATACCAACTATCATACTAATATTAGGGTCTGCAAAAGCAAACTGTCACTTGATGGTTCCATAATACTTCCATAAGACAAGTTGAAACCTCTCAAAAATACATGTACGGTACACTGTATGCATCATTCACTCCCCTGTCCTGGTCTGCTCCCCATTACATACTTGTAGCTAAATAAGTTATACTGGTTAGGAAGCCATAAAGTAATTAGTATACTTTTTGTCTGAAAGGCAGTAATTGTTGTTATGAACATGAACACAGCAACAGTATGTGCATGAATCCAGTTCTTACACAATATTATTGATTGAATCCTTCACTATAATCTTATTCTGATTCAGATGAAACTAAATATGTGTAGGGTACATGATTATTTGAAATTGTTTATACAAACACACCTGATATGCTTTGAAAAGAACAAATTTATTTTCAGGCTTTTTTTTTATCATGCACATGTACTGTATCTTCCAAATTTTGCAGCTTGAGAAAAGAGGAGGTTTTAAATGTCTCTTAGTAGTTTGGATTCTTGTCATATTGCATGGGAATATTCCCTGAATTCATGAACTTACAGCTTCGGGGTTACCTACCCAAATTTGACAAAACCCTGTCATTAATTAACTGCTTAACAGTAAACTCCCCTGTTTTCATTCAGTATTTAAGTATTGTAGAGAGAGTCATTTAGCAGTTATTGTGAACTCGGAGTGAGTTATTTAGTACATCCTTCCTGGATCATTATTGCTTTTGAAGTTACTACCATTTGACTTGTCCTGTGGGTGCCCTTTTCTCTTCTGCTTGACCAGCTTTCAATACAGACATAATGGGTGCCTATTCAGTGACAAAGTACCGATTTTCAACTGGGAAATAGGAATAGAAAGGAATCAATTTTATTATTTGTGTTTGTGTATTGGTTGGTTGGAATAGCCTGTAGTTGTACTGTACATATATGTTATGTTGTATGCATAGACACCGAGCTGTTGACAAGCTGTTAACATTACAGAAATATGATTTTTCATCCCCTTTTTTCAATGGGGAGGTCTGTAACTCCTTTGGCTCTCCTGGACTTGTCTCTAATAGCCCATTACATTTTTTGAGTAGATATATTATTTAGCAACATAAGTACAAGTACTTGCTGCAGGACTGACAATCTGACAGATTTGCTTATCATAGGTCCATGTCATCTCCCCTAGGTCCTTTCCAAAAATGGAAAAGCACATTACGTGGGTATGCGCCACCATCTCGATCGAGTTTGGGAAGGTTTCCCCAGGAATGTCACTTGGGAAATTTTCTCTGAAGTTGAAAAGTTCACTGGCCCAGGATAATCCTGTAAGAAATTTGATTTGATAGATGGCTGTATCCAATCTTACAGCTCCAAACCAAAGCATGATTTTTATGGTGAGGTAAATCTAAAAGCCTATAGAGTAAAACAAACTTGAAAATGTCAAACGTTTCCTTTGTATACCTATGATTTTCTGAAAATTTTGGTAGACTAGGTTTCTGTGCAGCTATGCCATATTTTAATCTTGTGCATAAATGTTAAAAGTATTTTAAAGATTAACAGAACTTGTTGACTGACCTGTCCAAGATTGAAGTTGGGACTCTATTTGCTAGGAGGGATATTGCTTGAGTTTACTCTTTTTGTCTGTTACCTTCATAAAGAGGTCTTTCTCTCTTTGTGTCAGAAGACTTCCTTTATTCTCAGGAAGCGATGAGTAACACCACTGTTCGTCCAGACAATCTTACCAAACTCTATTCTATATTGTCTGGTAAACAGGCTTTCCCATGATCTCATTCTGTGGTGAAAGTTCACTTTTTCAAAGCTAATCTCTCCACCCTACTCGCTAATTGAGGAGCAATTCATGTACACACCCTAATTGTCTGTGTGTCATAAAATAATTGATATCATATTGACAATGTCTGTCTCAATGTTACCTAATAAATTGCTAATTGCCTGATGACAGTTCTATATATGGAATTGATTTGAAACAATTCCTCTTGTTTTTTATATTGTCTGCAACTCTGCATCAACTCATATACACGTACCTTTTACATTCATAAAAGGCCCTTCTGACTTCTGAGTTCTGACTCTCAGCAGATAATGATAGCAGTGGAATTTAGTCTTCTTGAAAATGAACAATTTATTTCTGTTACTATATTGAATATCTAAAATTTTCATGACTGTATTATATTTTCATGAGGATATCAAACTTTCATTGTATCTTTAATCAGCTGTGTGCCTCTTTGCTGTTTGTGTGTATCGTTTTGGATCTGGTCTCTGTGGTTTTTAACTTGGGTTTGGCATGATCGACCCACTTCCCATGATTTCAGTTAATTAGAAGTGTCCTGTTCAAGTCATTTTTCAACATCCTTTTAAGCCTATAAATTAAAAGAAAGGGCCTACAACTGTAGATCCATCAAAATTCCATGTTTCAAATTACATGTAATATCATTCTAAAACATCTTGATTCTTGATCATGAGAGTTCTCATAATTAAAACATTCATAACTTTCTTATAAACGGTCCGATTTATTTCAAAATTTCGCCATTTTATTTGCTTTCATACAAATAAACATATTACAATGGTTGAATTGCCCTTCGACTCAAAGTGCAGGTTGGCAGAGGATAACAAAAAGTGGATCTCACCCTGAGCTCCTTCTGTATTGCCTAGTGTGGGTGGGTCTTGTTTTTGGAGAGGTTCCAATCGGGTAATACTGACTGATGCTCATCCTCACTAGCTTCTTCAAGTATTTCTATCTTATCTTCAGGCATGAAAAGAATAACAAAAACCTCTTTAGAGATCATACCAGAGTTGCGTGATCATACCAATTCGAATTGGGCATGATCTATTAAAGGGGTACATTGATGCCAATGTTTGAAAATGGAATGTGCTTTCACATGATGCAGACCTCGATGTCATGTCATGTAACACATTTTGACAAATTTCCTGAATTATTTGAAGTGATTTTTCAAATTGCTGTAGGCTTGTATTATAATTTATATACCCAGTGTGAACAGAATTGAGTCAGTTTAAATCCTTTTTAATAGGTTTATTCAAACAATTTGTAACTAATAATCATTATGATGAATTTTGAATTTGCAGAAATTTAACTAGCACTTTGTATTTGACTGCTCTGTTATAGATAATAATTCTAAGGTTGTGAGTTCCATTTTGTGTGATTATAGTGAACTACCCAATTAGGCCTCCTGTATTTTTTGTATCGTGGAGAATGGACAAATCTATGGTAGAACATGGAGAATAGCTCTAGGGCTTGTTTGATGAAAGGCAAGGTTTATGGAGCTTTGTTTGCCACCAAATAGAAGTTCAAAGATCACTTCCCAACAAATATGTACAGGTCTTGTTTAATCAGAGGATTAGAAACTTTCATGAAAAGAACTTACGTGTCAAGCCATTTGCTAGAATCATGAAGTATGGGCAAAAGTGAAATTCAGTTAACCAAATGACCAGCATGTGCAAACATATGTTGTGGTTCATTGTACATTTAAAGTATAGTCTGTCATCACTTGTTCGGAGTGACACACACTTGATTAAAGTGTCAGTCAGATCTGTCTGATGGGCAGTTTTCATTCCAGTAAAATGTTTGTCAATATTTACATTCTTTCTTTAGCAAAATGTGTATGTAATGTAAGGATAGATACAAGCATACTTATCTCTGCATGTATTGTACACATACAATGCTGTTGTGCAAACATCTCATGAAATTTTGTTGTAATTCATTATTCTTGTACTTAATCCATTTAGCTAAAGATTTGCACCGAGCTGTCTCTTATATGTCCCTCTTTTATTCACATCGACTTCTGGGTGTACCACCCCTTTAATTCTCTGGTCTCCATGTATATGGCTACTCTACCTTTGTCTTTAATACATACTGCCACTAGATGAGTATTTAAATTCTAGATGAGATTAACTCTAATTAGAGTATTTTTCGATGGCTAACCCAACCTACAATTACTGAGGAGGCGATGAAATCAAGAGATGGAAAATAGGATTTGGGACTTACTCACTCATTGGTGAAAGACTCATTGCTTTTGCAGATCAACGCATTGGAACTAATTTCTTAGATTTCCACAGAGGCCTTGTATAATTGTATCAGAATTTCTGCTCTGGCTCAGAAACTGTGAAATAAATTTCTCCTAAATCATTTCACTCAAGTTTAAGGAACACCCAGGTATATTTTTTTTCCTGTTTGGTCATGATATATGTAACAAAATATGTTCCTTTTTTAGAATTGAGTCTACATGTATATTGAGAAGAATTCTTCCAAAGATTTGTTGTGCTTCTCTGCACTAAGAAGTTGCCAGAGGCCTTGCTATTGGGTTGCATTCATTTGCAACCATTTGTTGCTACAATTACTCGTGAATTGATGAAGGGATTCCAATAAGACTGAGCTCAGATTTGTTTAGGTAAAGCTGAACTGAGTAGACTTTGGGGGTCTTAAGGTCAAGGGCTACAGGTCAAATTTATATGAAGGAGGATATTTTGCACCCCAAAGGCCTGTTTTCATCGGACCGAGGTTGCAAAATAACCCGCTATTTTAACTAGCCCAATCTCAAATTAGCCAGCTAATTTGCGTCTTCATTAGCCAGCTAATTTGCGTCTTCATCAGCCCGCAGTTGCAATTAGCAGGCTATTCGGTCAAGAAAATATCCAGAGAAATCTTGGTCTTGTTTCCAAAATATCCCGCTAATTTCTGAGTCTGAAAATGGTGGGCT